GCAGTCCTGATTCGGGCACAAGCAATGGGCCCAAGTGCTATTTTGAGGCCTCTGCGTGCATAACAGTCAGCACTCTCTCGGGTGTTTGTTGGGTCTTGTGCGAATGACATGCGAACGAGCCTGTGGAGTTCCGTGAGCTTGGGGAATCTGCCTGTTGGGCTTGGTAAGATAGTCAGAATGATAAAAATGGCTACTCTTGTTGGTCATTGTGTCTAAATCCATCACTCGCTGCGGGAGGTCGCTGGTCTGGTCGGCTGCGAGCAGGATCAGCAGCCCCTCTCCATGTGGTCTGGATCTGGGGATCGCGCGCAGGTCAAAGTCCCTAATGGAAGATTCCGATCAATTGCCATGAATCTGAGGCGTCGATGCGAAACGCGCTATGACAGGCGTTTTCATCGACCGCTCTCAGCTCGGATAGTAGTTTCAATGACTTTGCATTCAGCTGAGTGCGCCACCCGCGTATTGACCGCTTGCTTTTTGGGCACCATTGTTTCACGGTCTCGCCCAAGCACGCCTTGTGCCTGGGCGCTTCGAGATGTGCTGGACGATCCGCCCCGAGCCGAGACTCAGCCCTCCCAATAAATCCCACAGCGCCAATGAAACCATTGATCTGCCAGATCTTAATTACGCGGCCCAGTCCGAGTTAGCATACGCATTGATCGCCAAAGCAGAGAGACTATCCCGCGCCGTCAATAAAATGGAATTGCCGGATCCCAATTGAGGACAAGCTGAACCATCCCAAGTGTCAATAGGAGCTACCCTTTAGCTTGGCACTTCCAGCCGACGCCTCGATATTTGCCATTTGCATGCAACCTAATACTATTGAAACATTGGAAATAGATTTGTTACAATTTTTCGTATCAGTATGAGTGAAACATTTCTGCCCAAGGGTGGTGCAATCATCCCATCTAAGATTCCGGCCAGCGTTCTGAGTGAATTGTCAAAGCCAGACCAGCTCGTAATTTTCGGGTGTTCATGGATGTGACGAGTCAAACCTTGCTTGGGACCAGTAGTAGAACTTTTCACATCCATAACCTCAAGGACGGAGGAGGAACCAACTTTTTCTGGCAATTCCACAATATCATCCAATCCAAGCTTTGAGCTGGTTCTGTGATGGTAAAGAGAGGTACCTGTTTTGTGCACATGGTGTCAGCGCTGTCGCAGTCGGCACTCAACAAGAACTTCCCCCAACTCGTGTCATACGATACGGTTTGTCTGTAGCTGCGTTCCGAAACAATTAACGCAGAGAGACCCCGCCGATGAGAATTCCCCAGCACGCATGGATATTTGGTAGGGCCAAACTGGATGGGGAGTATGTTTTGTGCGCCCTCACCGCCATATTACCCCGGGTCAGCCCAGCATCTCCATCACGGCGAGCGAATATTAGATTCCTCAATATGCTATCAGCTGTCTCACTTCAATTTGATGAAAATTTGGCGGGATTACTGTCGCCATGATTGAGACCCTCCCCTCATGCATCAGATAATAGCGACTTATGAGCAATTCTTGAATAATCGCATTCTTTAAGAGCGGCTCGCCAGTTCTCATATTCTCGTCTTGTGCGCTATCTGGGACTCCAATTCACCAATTAGAGGAAAATAGCAGACCCCGATTAGCTTGTGGAAGTAAGGGATGGCTCAAAACTAGACCAGCGTATATCCAGTTATCTCGAAAATCATATATTGACACTTATTTTATTTACAAATATTGGCTCACCCGTTCTAATATGATGATGTGTGAAAACAGAACGGCCGTTGTTACCTTGCAATTGCCGAATCCATCTCGCATAGCCGCACAGTTGGGAATCAAATGATCTTGGTATTTCGTGGGGATGGCTCGGGACTTGCAGTTGGCTCGTAGTGTGCCTCATAGCCGGGCATCTTGCTCGTTGCTCATTCTCTCTCAATCATCCTGTTTAGTCTTTGCACCTTACTCGATAGCCCTGACAGTGCATTGTTAAACGCTCAATCTAAACAGCTCTGTCTTGTACGTAACACCAACACGTTTCATGTTGGGAGAGCTTGATTCAAGCCTTGGGCTTATAGATTTCGATCGGACGCGGAAACTTCTCGAACAAATACCGCAACCAATCCAACTAAAACTCGATTGTTTACTGAAGGTCAGGTAGGAAAGGCAAAGAGATTGGGGTAAACCAAACAGCTGTGAGGAATACTTTGGTATCAAATATCACATCCCCCCCTTGGCACGATTGAGCAGAAAACCAAAAAGAAATTCAAGGATAGTCCCTAAAGCTGAATGGACAATTCTTTTATTTTCACTCTGGTGTTAAAAAACAATCAAAACAGTTTCCCCTTCAAGTAACGCAGTGGCCAGCTTATATTCTCGAAGAGGGGAATACTTCACTAAGTAATGAAGTAGTTATGCAACACCACATGTAGTTCAATCGTAGTTCGTCGAGAAAATCGGAAGTGTACCATCACTCTTTTCACATTCGAAGTCGGACTGAAGGTCAAGTGAGCATAGGTTGCAAGAGCCCTTTATTTCATAACAACTAATTCACAGCATTTCCCCATAGCCCATCATTATGCCATTCACTTCATGTTTTTCGTGACGCTCAACGTGATAACCTGTCCGCCCTTAGGTGCACTTGACCCACCAAGCGCAGCCCTCGCAGCTCTGGGCATACCAGCAGGGGTTGCCCTTCTCAGTGCAAGCAGTGCCGCCGGCGCACTCCTGGATGTTGGCCAGCTGGCCCCAGATGCACTTCAAGCTGGTGTCCTCGGGCTTGTATGGGTTCAGTGCGCAAGTACCGTTGCCGGAGCTCTGGGCGAAGGCGGGAGCAGCCGCAATGGCCAAGGTAACGATTGCTGCAGTGACACGCATCTTGATAGCTAAACAACACAGATTAGCTTTTCTAGTCGAAACAGTCGAGGAGGAGAAGCGGTTTACTTTAGGAATCGGGTTTATGGTGGCAGGCGCTTGTGAAGAAGGTTTGAGATGTAGATCAGGGTCAAGTAATCTGGGGAGGTCAGCCTTATTTATATTTCAAGTTTTCCTTGCCCAACAGTTCATGTCAACAAACTACGATCAGACCGTGGGTCGGTCCGTGTCGGTGCATTGACAGTCTCGCACCGGTGCCGTAGTCGTCGGGCAAAGGTTATAACTACCTGCCTAATGGGGGCACTGCATGGATCGCAACACCAAGAAACTTGGCATGACTCAGATCCTTTGGACAGCGATTGAGGTATTGAACGCCTGTCTATAATATGCTCAGCTTTCGGAATGGGATCGATACTCGATGGATTTCTGGACATAGTGGCAAAACTATGGTTGTTGATGTTGCATCGAGGCATACTTGCGGCACTAGCTGGACCCCTGAAATGTGAGTTGTGTCATGCAACAGGCCAAGACCCGGGAAATTCGGCATTTGACTACCCCCATATGGACAGCGTGTGCGCCCCTCGTTCGTTTGCGGGAGGCTATGTAGCTCTAAAACCCTAAGATCTAGTCTTCACCGCTCGAGAAGTTTCTTCTTTACAGTACGGTGAGCTCCAGCATCGAAATCGGTGTGCACACCCCATCCCAGAGAGGCTTGATCCTCCCGTCCGTTAGTTTATCCGACTTCCTATAACACCGGCAAACTCTCCTGGGATATAATCTCATCTAGATTGAGAAACAATTAAGTGGCTAGCGGCCACCAGCCAACATCTTTTGTTGTTGAACCCATAATATTGTATAGTACTTCTACCGGAAACGCAAACCCCACGTGCCAAGATACCACGCTAAAAGCCAAGGAGAGGCGGTGTTTACCGGAAAGTCCTTATGTCAAAATTGGTTTCATGGATGCTTCAGTGGTAAGGCAGAATGGGGAGAGTGGAGCAATGAAGGAATGAACGCCTCGGAGGTTAACCCAACTTGAATGGCCTGGGGCTATTTAGGATGTCGTCTCTCTCCTTTATTGGTTGGTTTACGAGGATCCCCGTCGTCTATATATGACCACCTGAACGCTCTTACGTATACGTACGCAGTGGATTTGTAGAGCGGGACTGTCCTATTTTCCCAGGGTTTCGCATAATTTGGATACCCAGCCACCAGTAGGGTTATACGCTTGATTTTCTACGTACTAGGAGACTCTCCTTCTATTGATTCGCTTTACGAATGCTTGCTTCTGGTTAATTCCCATTAGATTAGCGGGTTTTGATGGAGGTAGAGGACACATCAGCAGAGCTTGTCTACTGAAGAGACGAAGAGAACATTGATAACCATATTAAAGCTGTCTGAATGGAATTCGAAGCCGAGCTTGGAATGGAGGGTTAAATTGATCAAAACCGACCGTGCGAATGACACACACAAAGTACAGAGCGGCTTCGATTTCAAATGTCCGACGACGCTGCTCAAAGGGGTGTTTTTGTCTCTCCAATCATTCCCTCGGGCCTGATACCGGACCGTTTTCCTCTCACGGCGCTCTCCGGGGAGAATCGGAAACAAGAGCCATCATCCAAGTGCGTTTGGAGCAAACGTCGAGACATGGTCAACGGTATAAGCAACCAGAAAATGTGCCACTCACTGCTCCACGGGGGGTTCATAATAGCCTGCGCACGGCTAATTCTGCACAATATGCAGCCTGAGCTCATAAATAAATCCTAACCCCGCATTCTCTCAGAAGTCAGGAGAGGGGTTTGGATGTAGTTCGCCATGCCGGGGCCGAATGCAACAGTCTAGGGTCGTCTGATACTATAACAGGGTACAGTTATTCAGTCTGTCCAATGAAAGAAGCCGATATTCCCCATATCTTCCAAGAAATGTTATTGTTAATGTGTAGATGAGATGGTTCATCAAGCTCGGAATTCTTCACCCGATCAACAACATACGTCACAACTCACGAGATGGACACTCCTCAATTCCCAAATAGAAAACCAATCTAGAGACCTCCTCTAAGCTATAATAAAACTTTTACAGGTGTATTTCTATTCCTTCATACTATTAATCAGAATATTAAAACTCTCAGTCCAATATTTCGCCTTCACGATTGTACCAACATGAGCGCTAATCAGGACAAGGACAAGCCAAGCGTTGCTCACAATGAGGACTCGGAACCTGGCCAGATCGGGCCAGAGATTACAGAAGAGGAGATCAAAAGGATCCGTCGGCGAATAGACCTACGGCTCATCCCTGCTTTGGGTTTGATGTATGGAATTTCACTGATGGACAGAACTAACGTTTCTCATGCCGCCATCGCCGGCATGTTTGATGACCTCGATCTCAATACCGGATATGGATACAGTACAATCACATTGATTTTCTTTGTGTCTTATATCATCTTCCAGCCAGCTATGACTATACTCTGCCGCAAAATCGGCCCAAAGATCTTCCTCTCGGCTGCTTGCCTCGCGTGGGGTGTCGTCCTTATTGGATTCGGCTTTGTTCATGACTGGAAAGCAATGGTCGGACTCCGGATTATTGTGGGAGTATTCGAGGCAGGCTTCTTCCCTGGGTCGGTCTATCTTTTGTCTACATGGTATACTCGATGTAGGGTCATCTCTCTGCGCCAGTTCGCGATGGTAGCTAATCTATCTACTAGATGAAATTGGCAAACGATACTCGGTCTTCTATATGACGGGAACTATCCTGTCTGCATTATCGGGGATTCTAGCATATGGTTTGATGCAACTGGAGGGGCATGGTGGGCTACGTGGCTGGCGTTGGTAAGTGAATATGGCTCTACAGTTCATCACCGGCCAAGCTAACTCAGGCTGGGGTGACAAGGATTTTTATCCTAGAAGGAATCATAACGTGTGCTGTGGCCCTCTTTGATTATATTGTATTGGTCAAGTTCCCAGATCAAGAAGCTGAAATTCCTTCGCCTCTGTTCCTGCAAGTAGACGAAGCCAAGGTCGTGCTTCAACGTCTCGACGCTGACCGTGGGGATACTAAACTCGAACCTTTCTCGCTTGCGGCATTCTTGAAGCCAGCCAAGGAGATTGAGATCTGGGCTTTTGCATTTCTATTCTTGTAAGTGAGGATGATTTTCCTTCTCAATCTGCAAGAGATCTTATCTCATTCTCTATCCCCATGTCTTCCTGTTACCGCATTCAAGCTAATGACCGTTCCACGGGTTGCTGTAGTCTCTGCACGACAGTCACATACTCATTTGGGTTCTTTGGCACTGTCGTCTTGAGGCAAAGTCTCGGTTTCAGTGTAGCAGAAGCTCAATGCCTCGGATCACCACCATACGTTTTCGCCGCAATTGTCATGTTCACCGGTTCTTGGGCTGGTGATCGGTACAAGAAACGAGCACTCATCATCTTCATCAACTGCGCGATCGGAATCATTGGCCTACCAATCATGGCTTTTCACCCTGATCCCAAAGTCAAATATTTTGGCATTTTCATTGCTGTCGCAGGCGTAAATGCGAACATTCCTGCCATCATGTCTTACCAGGTTCGTGAGGAAATCCAGAAATCTGGGAGGATGCCACAGCCTGGTCATGCTAATCTTTTGAACCTTGTCACCATAGGCCAACAACATCCGTGGTCAATGGAAACGAGCATTCTGCTCTGCTCTACTCACCATATTTGGCGGCATCGGTGGCATTGCTGGCAGTCTTGTTTTCAGAAGCCAAGACTCTCCACACTACCGACCTGGTATGATTGCTTGCTTGGTGTAAGTCGCGTTGCCCTAAGTTCATATCTCACCTCATGTCTATACATCCGATATTATTCACATTTTCAACTGACATTCTTCTCTCAGCTGTACTGCGCTCATTGCCATCGTGACAGCAGCAATGTCTCTTCTTTTCAGGCACCGGAATAGAAAAGCGGATAGAGGTGAATGTGTCATCAATGAGAGCCCAGAGTTCAGATATACAATCTAGTGCCTCAATCATCACGACATGCGAAAATGCATTGCCTTGTGGTCTTCTCGGGTTGGGATGAAACCGATTTGGGACAAGCTTCAGCTTCAGTCGCGGCTTTGAGGGCCCTCTGTGAATGCTTAGCAATCGGTATACAAAGAAGTCTTACAATAGTCTAAATTCATGTCATCGTGAACCACTCAACCCTCTTATTTTGGCGTTCAATGACTACCAAGGTGGTAAAACCCTCTAAGACCGAGCCCAGTCAAGTTGTGGCTCATTGTGTGGCTTACAGCATGTGGCGTAACATCAGCCGATAGCCTAAGCAGCGCACTATACATCCCCAGCCTTCAAATTTTCCAGTTACCTTAGCCCTTGAATCGTCAATAGGCCATTCGCTCGTCTTTACCATGCCAATGCGCGGTTATTGCATCTTGGCACTGGTATCCGTTGGCGGTTAAGATCCATGAAGACCCCGGATTTTTTGCCACATTCCCAACCATTTGTGGGCCTGCCAAATGCTTATCTGACTAACAGATGTACAAATACTAACCAGTGAGCCTCGGCTAAAATAAAGTACTTCCGCTATGATAAGATAATCAGCCCCCGCCAGCTCGCTTAAGAAAATGCCCATTTACCAACCATGATCCCACAATCGTTCCATCCGACTCATCATCTCAGCGACGGCCATTGAGGCGGATTCCTCCTTATTGCCAGATATTCACAATGTCGAAATCAAAATCAGCGAAGAGGAAGCGAAACGCACAGCTCGAAGACCCCCGAAAAACCCCCAAGACTCAGACAGCGACCGGCGCGACGCTCGTCACTCCACCCCCAGACGATCCGAAGAGCATACACACAGTCATCTCAGAAGAGGAGCTCGACATCACCGTCGATACCCTCAAGACCCTTGCCCAATTCCCCGGCCTTATCAAGACGAAGGCATGCAAGGATCTTCGCGTGGCCTCCTATGACTTCCGCCAAGCGTGCACGACTGGCTCGATTGCCGCAGGTATGTCCCGACCAGATGCCCTCCTAGTCCTTGTGGATGACGTCGGTTCAACCAACTGACACATGCTTTTTTCCTTATTATTAGAGGGCGCAAATCTGTCGGCACGAGTTTCAGCAGCGTTAGCGGACGAAAAATATATGGAAGCGAGGATTCTACTAGCGGAGATGAAGATCCGAAATCAAGAGCCGAAGCTGGGGACTCTTTGTCGCTGGGTTCGCGATCTCGATGTCATCAGTGGCCTGTCGCAACCCGACAGCGTTGCCAATGGCGGCAATGTTGAGCGCACGCCAAGGGAACAAGATCTCCTTGCCGTCCTCGACTCCGTTCTGCGTGTGTGCGGCCAGATCGATACCAACACCAAGGCCGTCGTCCGCGACCTGCCCTCGATCTTCTACCCGAGCATCACCCTCCAACCCACTTGGGATCTAAGACCGTCCACCACACCGCTTGAAGTGTATGCGTCGGTATTAGACAAGACCATCTTCAAATCAGCGCCACCTGGACTGTCTACAGCACTACGGACGATCGAAACGACGCCTGGCCCCGAACGAAAGCCTCCCAACCACTACCCCGCGATCCTATACACATCCAACCCCAACTCCATCCCGCTCGCAGACAAGGGCCCGGAGGTTGAATGGGTCAAGCACCCCCATGTTCCGGGGCTTGGTCTCATCAAGAACGTTCTCTCGGTTGAGGAGTGCAAGGGCATCATCGCCGCCGGAGAGCATGTCAAGTTCCTTCCTGATGCGCCCCTGCGCGAAGACGGTGACACCAGCATCCTGGCGCATAACTTCTACTGGGTTGTCGACACCGAGTTCCACGACCGCCTCTGGTCACGCGTGTCTCCCTTCGTTCCTCAATCGGTAGATGGTCGTCTTGTCCGCGGCATCAACCGCCGGTTCCGCGTCTACCGCTATGTCCCCGGTGCTGAGTACAGGTCTCATATCGATGGTAATTGCTCAAGCCATTCCCTCCCATACTCACCGTTCATAATTTGCTAACGCTGATTCTCTCACAGGCGCTTGGCCGCCCTCAGGCATCCTCCCAGACGATACGTACGTGTACGACGCATCACCGGCAGACAAAAAGCAGAGCTCGCTCTTTACATTCCTCATATACCTCAATGACGAGTTCGAAGGCGGGCAGACGACGTACTTCTTGCCAGCAGCACGTGAAGGGATGCTGAATGCGTACCCCGTCCAGCCCGTGATGGGCTCCGTCGCGCTCTTCCCGCACGGAGACACGAGGTTGGCGCCGCTGCACGAAGGTACGGGAGTAACGAAGGGAGCAAAATACGTGATACGCACTGAGGTTGAATATGACGTAGAGCCCACTAAAGAGGCATGAATAATGAGATGATTTGCATAACCAATATTTACATTGAAGAAAATTTAGCTGTGATAGTAGTCATGCGTGTGACGCTCTCGGGGTGAATAATGAATGAACGGAATCAATTTGGACATGACCTTGAACACTAACGATAAATGATTTCGTCAATTAAAATATTAAAGATATTTCCAGCGTTCCCTCCCCACATCAAACACGTCAAAAATTCTTTAACAAGCGTATGCATTCTGTTAGTAGTAGGCCGGCTAGAAGCATTGTTATTGAGAGATACTAAGTGCAATGAGACTAAGCCAGGCACAAGCAGGTAGATATCTTGATATTGAGCTTTCACTAGGCTCAGCGGATTGTCACGGGAGGCACTCAGGGAACTTTATTAACATAATAATCTTTCAATTCAAATCGCTACACTCAAAGGAAATTGTCTATGATCCAGTCCTATCCAACACCTCCAAACAGCGAACTCGAAACCGGTGTTCTAGGGGACCGTCGCCGATCCCCCCGAAACATATTTTATACAAGAAAACTCGCCTGGCGGCCGAAGCCGTCGTGAGAGAAGCGGCGAAGAAGCCACTTACTCGTCAGACTCCTCAGAGTGGGACTCGGAGTGAGACTGGCGGTGGGTGGACTCGGACTCCTCAGAGTGCTTGTTGGAGCCCTGGCGGCGGCTGCCGTTGGACTTGCTGGAGCGGTGGTTGGAGCCCTCACGGTGGTTGGAGCCCTCGCGGTGGGAGCTGGTGGCCTTGGAGGCGTGGTTCTTGGAGCCAGCCTTCTTTCCGTGAGCAGTCTTCTTTCCGTGGGCGGTCTTCTTGCCATGGGCGGTCTTGGAGGCGTGCTTGCCGTTGGCGGTCTTCTTGCCGTGAGCAGCCTTCTTGCCGTGGGCGGTCTTGGAGGCATGCTTGCCGTGAGCAGTCTTCTTACCGTGGGCGGTCTTCTTGCCATGGGCGGTCTTGGAAGCGTGCTTGCCGTGGGCGGTCTTCTTGCCGTGAGCAGCCTTGGAGTTCTTGGTGTGCTTGCCGACCTTCTTGCCGTGGGCGGTCTTGGAGTTCTTGCCAGCCTTCTTGCCGTGAGCAGTCTTGGAGTGCTTGCCGACCTTCTTGGAACCGGCCTTCTTGCCATGAGCAGTCTTGGAGTTCTTGCCGACCTTCTTGGAGCCAGCCTTCTTTCCGTGAGCAGTCTTGGAGTTCTTGCCAGCCTTGACAGCCTTCTTGCCGTGGGCGGTCTTGGAGTTCTTGCCAGCCTTGACAGCCTTCTTGCCGTGGGCAGTCTTGGAGTTCTTGGTGTTCTTCACAGCCTTCTTGCCGTTGGCAGTCTTGGAGTGCTTGTTCTTGGAGGCGGCCTTCTTGCCCTCAGTCTTCTTGGAAGCAGACTTGGAGCCGGTCTTGGTGTTCTTCTCCTTCTTGGAGTTCTTCTCCTTGTGGGAGACGGACTTCTCCTTGTTGGAGCCCTTGGCCTTCTTGCCGCCGACCTCCTTGGAGGCGGACTTGGACTTGGAGTTCTTCTCCTTCTTGGAGGACTCGGTTCCGGTCTTCTCCTTCTTGGAGTTCTTCTCCTTCTTGGAGACGGACTTCTCCTTGTTGGCACCCTTGGCGTTCTTGGCCTCGGTCTTCTCCTTCTTGCCCTCGGTCTTCTTGGAGGCGGCCTTGGTGGTCTCCTTCTTGGACTCGGTCTTCTTGGCCTCGGTCTTCTTGGGGGCGGGAGCCTTGGCGGCGGCCTTCTTCTCGGCGCGGGTCTCGAGCTCGAAGTCCTCCTCGTCGCGGGTCTCCATCATGAGCTCGGCGGAGTCGAACTCACCACGGACGGCCATGTCGGAGTCGGAGGCGGCAGGGGCGGCGGCGACGACTCCGAGGAGGAGAGGTGCCATGAGGGTCAACTGCTTGAGGGAAACCATTTTGAATTATTTTTTTCGGGGGAAAAGGAAAAAAATATTAATGAAAGATTATTAGGAAAGGGGGGGTTGAATTGTCCTGTAAAAAGAAACAGAACAAAAGAGAAGAAGAGAAAAGAGAAAAAAGGAAAAAAGAGACCAGCTCTAAAGAAAATGGATTTTTTGTTGTTTTTGTTGTGGATGGGAGAGAAAGTTGGAATCTTGGACGAGGAGAGCGTCGTCTTATATAACAGTTTGGTCAGGCCGGACTCTGGAGAGAAAACATCTCATCTTCGCGGGCCGCCCTAGGCAGGCACTGGCCACGGCGATGAGAGCCGGGATTCTAAAATTACACACACGGCTCGAATTACGAGAACATGTCCGGATGGGGGAGGCCAGCTCTGCTCTGCTGACGGAGTCTGGTCGCGGACCAGGATGTCCTCTCCGTCCTGAGCAGGCTCGAATGTGCGGGTTGTGTGTCTGTCTCGACCCGTTTGGGGTTTAGACGGATTCAGGGGTCCGGCCAAGCTCTGTCCAGTCTTCCGGTGATCCCTGCTTCCATCGGGGCGGGGAGCCAGGTCGGCACTCGCATGAATGTATTTCTGGATTCATGCGCAGCCAAAGTTCCGTCTGGTGTGGACCGGCTTACTCCCACTACCACCACGGCGCAGCTCGCAAAGACCAGCCCTGTCTAGGGCAGCCAGCTGCCTGCTGGGGCCTGGCATGGCATAATTCTCCAGCGATCTGACCTCACAGCAGTGCTCTGGATTACTCCCGGATGCTGCTGTTTCCCCCGACTCTCGCTGTATTTTGGTGGTCTCTTGGCACTAATTATGGACCACGATTGAAGCGATGCACGGCATACCGCCCACTCCATCACTAGCCCTCTGTAGATTATTATCAATCAATCGGCCGCTCACCCACCCTGCTTTACGCGGGAAAGTATATTAACAATACTTGGCGTGCGAAAGAGCTGAAGCTGGGCGAGTGGCCGTGGGCAAATCCTTCCTCCCCACAGGCCCCTGTAGTTTCGCCCTGTAGGTACTGGCCTGTCCCCTACCGACTGCCCTGCGCCCCCTGAAGAGATGCCCAGAGCTAAGCTTCGTCCGTGGTGGTTAATTGGGCTGGCCTTGGCCCTAGTGTGCTTAATATAGCCCTGTACAATCAGTCCAGCAGGCTGAAGGACATGCCTAATCAGCGGATCCTCGCTAATTCAGGGAAATAAGTGCCCAGAGAAGGTCGTGCACCGCCAGAATATTGATTGGGCATTCTTGCCTGGAGTATCGCGACATGTCCGTTCCGATCTTGGGTCAGGTGTGTTTGGATCTGGAAATCCTATGCGTCTCTGCACGGCGCTGAAGGAGGACGTCATGCAGTGCATTTGTTTTGGATGCTTCACACAGCTCAGCCCAAGGAAGGCCTCGGCAGCGTAAGCGAACATCCTTGGTGCGCAGACCGGACAAATCCACTGCGTACAGGTATTATTAATAAAGCTTGACCTCCTCCCAACCAATGGCAACCTGGCTGACAGGCTCTCTGCTCATTTACCCAACCCGCTCCGTCTCTCATCAAACAGACAACTCGGGAGAAGCTCAGCTGGGAGGACACAAGAGCGCAGTCAGCACACTAACGACCAGCCCCATGTATGATCCTCGCAGCTGGCAAACCTGGCCACAGGGCAGAGCACAGTGATTGCTCGGACTCTGGCGGTTTCTGGCTTGGCCCCATCAGTGTCTCCGCTCCGTAATTGAAGATTACTACATCGACAGGAGGGAAGAACTTTGGGAGATGCACCCGGGATCTGGTTAATTAAAACCTGCGACTTGGCGAGATTCGGCGTCGGGTCACGACGAAGCCCGCCTCGGCCTGGATAAGGATGTTGGCATCGGCACTTACTCTATACGGCGTATTGTCGTACTTGGGTGTTGCTCGGCATTTACCACTCTGGTGATGCTGGTGGTGACGCGACATTCCTGCTGTTGGTGTCTCAATCGATTGCAAGTGCTGACCTGTCAGTCCCGGCCATCGCGACTTTGGTTGGAAAATAGTAGCGCAAGTCCCTAACTTTGACGGCACTCGTAGTATTGGTGCCGTAGTCGCGTGGATGTTGTACTCCAGGTTTTGCTGTGCGAGCCGTGGTGAGATGACTCTCTAAGTTTACTCGCTTTTCATGGAGATGCCGTCAGTTGATGCTCCATTTTGTGTCAAGACACAAGCCACCACTCATGATATCGACCAATTATTTTGAAAGTCAACATAACTAATACTCTCGTCACATAAAAAACTAAGCTAGACTTTTGATGACAGTCCAGAATCATGGAAACTCCGAACCACGAGTGACAGTTGATCATCCTTTGCTCAAATGTCGTGGGTGTAGGGTAGGCTCACCGTATATCGTGTCATGACTTTTGGACACAGTATTACGGGATCGAGTGTTATTTTCTGACTCGCCCCCACCCGACTACATCACTCTAAGACTCAGTTAGTGGCTAGGCTTAGAAGGCTTGGGCCTGTCCCTGTCCCTAGAGCCCACGGATGATGTGCTGGCCTAGGCCATTTTGGCATTTCCCAAGCACATGAGCAGCTCGGCGATTTCCTCCAGATGCAGCCAGATCCCCCAGATCAGCGTTCGGTCCTCTGCCTGCTTTCTGCGCATTCCGAACCGGAAAAATCGGCATCAGGATTGGATGGGACGTGTCTAATTTTACGCATGGCTTGAGGAGGCGAGCTGTGTCTTCGGCCTTAGGCATCCTACTGGCAAGGGACCGACCCGAGGTTGGACCCGATGATTGAGGCGAAGACGTAGATCAGCACGCTGGTGATAGGCATACAGAGAAGACCGAGAAGGAGACCATGCCTTGTCGGCCAGCGAGTCGGGCCCCTATGCGCGCATTCACGCCCACAATCCGGCGTTGCCACACACGATCTGCGGAGTTCAGCCAACGTTCTAACCTCATGGTCGGTCTCGGGGCATCACCTGGACGATGCATGTGTCAATGCGTCAGTTGTAAAGGGGAAAATTCAAGGGATTTCCCGCCGTCCGTAGAATGGTGGCGCCGTCCCATCTGCATTTAGATGAAACACTTCATCAGCGACTCTTCTGTAAATATCATCTACTCGTACGTCGTATCTGTGCCACGAGGAACAGTGCAATCGCTTCCTCCCGGTTCTGTCGTTGTCTCCCGAGTTTCATCCTTGCAACTCTCTTCCCCTCGATGGAAAGCCATGCAGCCAAGGACATCCATCCAGACGCGAAAAAGGCAGCCAGCTGTTCCCAGCATCCCGCCCTGGAGAAGATGGGCACTCCTCGGGAGGTGAGATTGCTTGCATAATGAAATTGGCTACCATGATGATTGGTCGGCTCTACTCTGGGATTTTGTAATGCGAATTACCGTGCGGTAACATCTTGAACGGCAGAAGCACTGAAGTGCATCCAATCATGTCATTTGGCGGTGAGACTGACGATCAGCTCACATGTTGATCTCGTGCTGAGGATATTTTCCTCTAAAACACATGGCACATCATTATCGAGGCATCGCGTCGAGCAACTGGAATCTCCTTGTGCATTCGGTCCGCATCACATCTACCTGAACATTTCCATCGGTGGTTCGTGTCGTTATATCTGTTCTATCGACCTGCAATGCTTCTCGGCTGACATTCTTTGGCTAGAGTCTACCATCTGATCCCATCAACTCCCCTCCGTCTCGACGACGAACCTGCCTCCGCCTCCGCAAGCAGCAGCTCGACCAACCCTGCCGAGACCTGCCGAACATTGTTGTGAAATTCTTCATCGTCTGGGTAGAAGGGGCACGCGTCGCTGTCCGTCGCCTTCCCAAACTCGAGCGTGATGCTCTTGATGCGAGTCCCGGGATCGATCCTCAAATACCGCGACTGCGTGTAGTCGCCAGACCCGCCCGACGTCGGGTACAGCGAGACGCTCTGCCGGGACACGTACTCGATGCTGCCCGCGCCGGTGATGGTCTCGGCGAGGCGCGCGGTGGTGGCGATGCCCGCCGCCAGGTTCTCGGGGTCGATGTACTCCTTGTAGACGGCGTCGGGCGGGTCCTCGCCGAGCACGCCTCGCTTGCCGTCGTACGACGCGTTGCCAAAGTTCATCGATGGGTCTACCGTCTGCATGTCATCGATGCCCCAGCCGTAGAGCGCATCGCCGCCGTACGAGTGGACGTCGATGTACCACGACAGGTCCGGGTTCGAGTCCTCCACCCAGACTGTGTTTCGCGTCTCGGCTTCCGACGCCGGACTGAGACCGTGGAAGATCTCAGACGCCGGGTTGTCGGAGGCCGCGGAACCCAGATTGGCCTTGGGGCTGAAGTATTTCAGGTAGTCCCATATGAAGTCAAAGTTCCGGTTGATGTCGATGCCGACCGTACGGGGACTGCCGGGGATGCTGCTCGTAGTGTTGCGGTTCTTCCTCCAGCACGTGTTGGTCTGGGCATCGTAGAGCACGCCGTCGGGGTTGTTGAGCGGCAGAATGACTGCGCCGGCCGATAGAGCCTGCCTGACCTGCTCGTTGGAGAAGGTCTTGCTCCTGTAGGTCAGATCGGACCCGGTCTTGCTCGCATGGAGCAGGTCCGAGATGGCGTAGATGACGTTGTCGGAACTCCCGCGCTCTCGGGCGTGAAGGCCACCTTGGATGAAGACGCGAGGGCTTCCCTTCCCAATCGTAGCTCCGTAGACGGTCCGGTTCTCAAACGTCTGGAAGGGCGCCGAGAAGACCTTGACGTCGTCGTAGGTATTGGCCAGGCTCCTGAGTGCTGAATGAACCTCGTCAATATTGAGAATGCTCTCTAGCGAACGGTCCTCTACACCAAGGCCAACAGGAACTGTGCCGTCTTTGAAACGGTCGCCTGTACCGACTGGATAATCCACATGGGCTTCGCGACGATTGGCAGAGGCTCTCCGTTTGGGGACGTCTCGCTGATGGTCCCTGGTCTCAAGCTCGTGAGGGAGCAGGCACGCTTGTGTCGCGGCAACGCCTGCTGTTAGTAGAATGATTGGAAGCTTCATGATGAAGCGGTCACAAGTACCCCGGAAGTGAATTGACGTTATCCAATGGCAATTGAGGTCAGAAGTGAAGAAATCGTATGGAGACGGGCCCTTGGATAAGATCGAGGTGGTGACGCTTGATATTTTATGCCCAGAGCTTGTAACACCGCATGAGCTCCTACATCTACCCTTGGCCTTTCGTTTCTTTTGATTTGGCCGCCAGAAAGGCCTACGTTGAATATAGCAGGTGCTGAAACAATTGGGTTACATCAGCGCAGCTGTGAATCGATCGTCATCGCTCTCAAGAATCACGCGGGGCAATCACTTCCACCAGAGCAGGGAGGACAGCATTGAGAACAGCCAAGTAACTTGGCGGAGGGCATTTTAACGACCATTTATTACTGGAGTAATGCCTAAAGGGCCTGTTTGCGAGCTGTCGTGCATCTACATGGCTAACGAGCTAATATTGGAGATCCTACCGTAGAAGGGAGGTGGTAGGCTTGGCAAAGAAGGTGTTATATGCGCCCAGAATGACGAAGAGTCGCCTCCTACTTCGATTATGAACTTGACGTAGGATCCGGCTTTTTTCACTGTGCTAGAGCCTAAAGTGAGCTGCAATGATAGCCAGGTAGCCAACTGGATATCGCGATGAATATTCTCAAAGATTCACCCAAGAATGATATTAAGGTGTTGTGAGTAGATATTCATACTAGGAGGCTACCTAATGTTTCTGCGATTGAAGGAGATGGTCTTTCTCAAACTGGTAGATTGCTAGACATCGAACGTCAATTGATTCAGAAGACTATGCCTCGACAACCATAATATCCATTCACATATGCCATCATTTGGAGATTCTGATATGCATTTTATATTCATACGTAGTGTCCCCTTTCCCTTGCCACTATCAGAACAAATTTGATGAACCATTATCCGTGCTTTACATTCGAAACAATTTTACACTTATCGCACACTTCCTAAGACTTGTCCACGTTCCATACCCTGAGGGAACCATCCTCACCTGCTGCAACAAGCTGGTTACTGTCTCCTAGGAAAGCCAAAGAAAGAGTCCCCCCTGCACCCTGACCACCCAGAGCCTTCAATCGAGCTCCAGTGGCCACATTCCAAATACTGATACCATCTGATTCCGACCCTGTTGCCAGCTTCTTCAAGTCGCGCGAAATAGAAGCACATCGAGGAGAGCCCGAGACCTCCTTGAAAGTGCGCAGCGAGGGGTCCTGGGCGAGGCTCCAGGTACGAGTAGTCCCATCAAGCGAACAAGACGCCAGCAGCCGGCCGCTTGCCGCCACCGCTGTGACTTCGCCGCCGTGGCCTCGCAGAGTCCGAAGGCAGACCCCCTGGTCCAAGTCCCAGATCTTGAGCTTGGAGTCCTTGGAGCCCGTGGCGAACCTCTTCCCGCTCGTCAGGACGGGCGCCAGGATGACCTCCTTCCCACCCTCGATTGATTGCCAGCACGTGCCCGTGGCGACCTCCCAGACGCGGATCGTCGTGTCGGACGAGGCCGAGGCGACCATGTCGTCGACGAGCCACGTCACCGAGCTGACCCTCTCAGTGTGCTCTGCGAGAGTCAGGAGACACTTGCCGGTGGCGAGCTCCCATACTCTGACGGACTTGTCCTCGGATCCAGAGGCGAGGCGTTTGCCATCGACGGAGTAAGCGACTGCGAGCACGCTTCCCTTGTGTCCTGTCAGGGTCTGCAGACACTCGCCGGTCGCCGGATCCCAGATCTTGATTGTGGCATCAGCCGAGCCGGTAGCAAAGGTTTTGAAATCTGGGGCGTTTGTGATCGCGTTTACTGGGCCCTTGTGGCCTTGAAGAAGTTTGACTTGGGCGTCCGTTGGTGTCTTGGCCTCGACTGGCTGGTTTGCCTGAGCGGGCTGCGGCTTTGCGGGAACGGGTTGCGGCTTGACTTGAACAGGTTGCGGTCTTGCTTGAACGGGCTGCGGTTTGACTTGGACGGGCTGTGCGTTGACTGGAATAGGTTGTGGCTTTGCTTGAACAGGTTGCTGAGGAGCCTGGACAGGTTGTTGTGGTGGCTGGGCGGTTGGCTGCTGTGCAAGCTTCTCCTTGGCTTTCCTTTCCTCTGCGAGCCTCTTTTCCTTGGCCCGTCTCTCCTCTGCGAGCTTTCTCTCCTTTGCTCGCTTTTCCTCAGCGACCTTCCTGTCTCGAGCCCTCTTCTCGTCTGCAATTCTCTTCTTCTCTTGCACCCGTTTCTCATCGGCCAACTTCTTTTCCTGAGCAAGCTTCTTCTCTTGGGCAAGCTTGTCTTCGGCAGCACGCTTCTCTTCAGAGAGTTTCTGTTCTTCGGCGGCCTTTTCCTCCTCTGCTAGCTTCTTCTCCTGGGAAAGCTTCTCCTCAGCCACCCTTTTCTCTTCTGCGGCACGCTGTTCCTCTGCGACACGTTTCTCTTCAGCTAATCGCTTTTCCTCAGCTAGCTTCTTTTCCTCGGCCAATCGCTTTTCCTCAGCTAGCTTCTTTTCCTCGGCCAATCGCTTCTCCTCAGCGATGCGTTTCTCCTCAGCGATGCGTTTCTCTTCCGCAAGGCGTTGCTCTTCAGCGATGCGTTTCTCCTCGGCGACACGTTTCTCCTCGGCGATACGTTTCTCCTCAGCGATACGTTGCTCTTCAGCGACACGTTTCTCCTCGGCGATACGTTGCTCTTCAGCGATACGGTGCTCTTCCGCGATACGTTGCTCTTCAGCGATGCGTTTCTCCTCAGCGATATGCTTCTCTTTTGCGACGCGCTTTTCTTCGGCGAGACGTTTTTCATCGGCGATGCGCTGTTCTTCGGCTATGCGCTGCTCTTCAGCAACTCGCTGTTCTTCGGCAAGACGTTCTTCGTCTGCGATACGCGTTTCCTCCGCAATGCGTTTCTCCTCGGCAAGCCTTGATTGTTCGGCGAGTCTCTGAACCTCAGCTAGCTGCTTTTCTTCCGCGAGGCGTTTTTCTTCAGCTAACCTCTTCTCCTCGAGTAGTCGTTTCTCCTCAGCGATCCGCCGTTCTTCAGCTAGACGCTCCTCCTCTGCGAGGCGTTCATCTTCAGCAACCCTCCGTTCTTCGACAAGACGGCTTTCTTCTGCGAGTTTCTGTTGTTCAGCGCGATGGCTTTCTTCAGCAAGTCGCTGCTCCTCGGCGAGACGTGTTTCTTCAGCGAGCCGTCTCTCTTCGGCGACTCTTTGCTCTTCAGCAGCACGCTTCTCAGCTAGTTGCTGTGCTTCAACACGCCTTTGCTCTTCGGCAAGCTTTTGTTCTTCAGCGAGTTTCATCTCTTGAGCAAGCCGCGTCTCTTCGGCGATACGCTTCACTTCTGCGACTCGCTGTTCCTCGACACGACGCTTTTCTTCCTCGGCGACCCTTTCCTCCTCAGCGGCCCGGGCGGCATCTGCGAGGCTCTGATCGGCAGTCTGCTTCTCTTCAATCAGTGTCTTGTCGTCGGCCACCGCCTTGTCATTGGCAGGCACCTTGTCAACGATGGAGACATTCTCGTCGGCAAATTTCTCTTGGTCGGCCAGCTCCTCGCCTGCAGCTAGCCTTTCGTCAACAAGCTTCTTTTCCTGGGAAAGCTTCTCCAGGGCCAATGTCTCTTCCTGAACCTTCTTTTCCAAGACGGTCGCTGTGTGCCAGTAGCGGGTGAGAGAAGACTGCATCTCCTCCGTGCCGTGCTGATCGACATCCACCTGGACCCTAGTCTCGCCAATCTTGACCGCCTCGAGGTCGCAGTCCCAGATCTCGAGCGCCGCGGCCGTCAAGGCCGGGAGGTCCAGCTCGCCCGCGTGAGACGAGCAGATGGTCTTGAGCTGGAACTCGAGGACGTCGGTGTAAAGCTGGGAGATGCGCTTCTCGATGCGCTCGAGCGAGTCCACCGAGACATAGTGTGCCTGGCTCTTCTCCAGGAGGAGCTTGACGAGGTTCTGGTACCAGTTGGCCCTCGAGATGGTGTATGTCGCGCCAGCACGGGTCTTGGGCACCCCGGAGGCGGGATCGGAGATGACCTGCTCTGTGTCAATAATTTACAAATACTCGGAGCTTCAAGTTATATGCCACATACCTCCAATGTCAGATAGTTTGTGGCCCATGCGATGGAGGGCTTGGAGGCGGTCTGCTTGATGTTGGCAAACAGCTCTCCGAAAGCTCCCGTTTTACTCTCGAGGCGGGCCGAGACAGACTTGATTATCGACTCTGTCTGCGTTTGTTGTTCCTCTCGGCTTCGTTCAAGCACTAATTTGATACCCGCACCATCACCTCGAAGCTCGGCGGACAGAATCTTCTCATACGCCTTGACGATACCAGGGTTGGTGGCGTTTAGTTTGGCAAAAGCCGCTTTCCATAGCTTCGACTTGAGCTCCTCGGGTGATGCTCCGAGGCTGGACTGAGGCGAGGCAGCTGCTCTTGGGCTCGAGGGGGTGTTTCGATCGGCCGAGGGAGAGATGACGGGCGCGTCGTCGAGTAAGAAGGTACGATTGGTGCCGCCGGAGGCCTGTGTCGGAGGGGGGAGCTGAAGCTCCGGCTTCTTGGCAGCGATGGACTTGGGAGTCGAGAAGGTCGGTGCGGGTATTCTCGTGGACGGCGTCTGCGGACTGGGCGGGTTGGCGCGGAGGGGTTGGGGAGTAGAAGCCTTTACCGGAGTCGATGGCTGGCTGCGATCCGGGGAAGCTCTGCCGGGGGCAGGAAGCTTGCTTGAGCCTGTCATTGAATTGAGCTGGGAGTAGCGAGACTTCTTTGCGGCAGCTTCTGAGATTGACCCTGTTCTCGAAATCGACGAGATCGACGTCTGTCTGGTATGTGTCGGCGACCGAGGGGGAGACAGATCTGGCCTGGACGAGATAGTTGCACGCCGAGTAGGAGGACCCGAGGAAGCCACATTGTTCTTGTCGGTGGATGGCTTCTTCGTCGATGCTCCTTTGGTAGAGGACTTGGGAGTTTCTCTAGAGGGTTGCTCTGACGGTGATGGCTCCGGTGATGCATCATGGGGAGATCGTGAGTTCCCGGAGGCTGTAGCCGGAGGGGGGATCTGGCTTGGGGGGAATTTAGAAGACGAGAATCGCCATGAAAATGCCTTGGATGCTCGAGATGATCTCGGCCGCCGCTCTGGCTGTGTTGAGGGTTCACCATCTGTGGGTTGTGATGGCACGGTTGATTGCTCATTTAGAGCTGGCCCCCTGGCAACGGGAATTCTAGTAGGAGAATGTGTTGGTGATTTCCTCACTGAGGGAGTATCGGGGATAGCAGGGACATCAGGGACATCGGGGATTGGGGAGCGGAGAGACGAGGCAGATGGTGAATCAGTACCAGGACCCGCGGAAGTGGTTGGCCTCACGGGCAGCTCGGCCGAGGACATCCCTGATGTGAAGGCAGACTGTGTTGGAGAGCTTCTCTTGTGGGATAGTGATGAAGGGGGTTGGGCTTGCTCCTTCGACTCATGGGAAGGCTGCCTTGATGAACGTGATAGAGTGAAGCGCCTTTGGAAGGAGAAGGAAGAGCGTGAAGTGGATGGCCTTGCGGGAAGCTGCGCGGGAGGCGGTCCGCCAGTAGAAACAGACTCCAGCGAGGACTCTGGTTTAACCGAGGGCAACGGAGGCACCTCGTCAGTTTCAGCAGATTCGTCTGGCTTCTTGCGAAGCTTCGACTTCAGCCTCTTGAGCATTGCTGGCGCCATTTTCACGTCGCTTGTTTACAAGTCTTCTGGCAAGGGATGAATCACGTTGGACAAGTCAGCAAGGAGAAGCGGCATCCTACAGAAAAGAGAGAATCGAAAGTTTTTTGGACAGGCTCGACAGTTGATCCAGCTCCATAACTCGGCTCGGAGAGTCCCTTGCAGGTGTATTTGTGGGGTTGGAGCTTTCCGGCATGAGAAAGTAATGTTATTTGCTGCATGATGAGTTGTATCAATGCTCCGAAAGGATACCCTTGTCGGGATCTCGCCACTCTGATCTCGCTCCCGCCCTCTGGCGCCCTTGGATTGGCCCCAGAGCATAAGAAAGGGCCCATTAATTCTCAATTCCCTACTCGCCTGAGCTGAGATGCGCGTGATGGTGATATGCAGGAGACGTCGAGAGCCCGGATCTGGCCAGTGAGCGTCTTGGGTGGCTGCGACTGCATGTTACATGCATGCTTCATTTTCCCCTCCGCAATGCCAGTTGATTGTCCCCATGCATTTGCCGGAGCTGCAGTTTCCTTTTATGCAATTTATCATTTCAAAACAAAATAAAGGAGACTGGCTGCGGCTCGGCGATATTGTGAAAACTGGGCCAATTCGATAGGACAGGCAACTAAGGTTTGCACAAACAAGTATAACATGATGGTGCACTCTATATGTGCGTGAAATATCTTCGATTGGCTGCCTCGGGTGCTTATGGTTACATATTGACGGCATTGTTCGGAACTGCACTCTGTGTGCCGGCCGCATAATGCATCGAGCACCGCGCGTCTGCAAAGGTACCGCACTCTACCAAATGCCTAGACACTATCAGCTCGAGAGTGGCTGGCTTCTAAATTAGTGGCAAAGCGTGAAATTGAACAATTGGCAACCATCGGGCGGCATGGTGTCGTAGCATGGCACATTTATGGCGTGGCAACGCAATGTGTGTCCGTGAATTAGACACACCCGCATCGTTAGATCCTGTACCCACCATTCAGATCAGGTACATACATGTGGAAGAAAGGAGGGGAAGTTAGTACACTTCCTCAACTGTCCAATAGAGGCCGCAGGTCGAATCCAGGCAGTCAGATTGGACCAAAGGAGACAAGAACCATTGTTTGCATTGACGCCACTCCACGAGCATGCTTGGCTCGGGCATATTCTGAGCCATCAGCTGTCAGCTTGATGAATATTACGTGCAAGACTTGACAAATTAAGTCCGATTCAATGCATAAGTCTACGCATGATGGATGGTGGGACTATTCGACCGATATTTGCTGAATCCCTATTATACTCATGTATAGTACAGGGCTAAGCTTTCATAAATTATTCGTTTTGGTAAGAACCTTTCATTCTTAAGAAAAGTGGCAGAAATATGGCCTTTCTTGAATTGTTGTCCCCGAGAAAGCACTGGAGTATCCCGACAACGTGTTCTTTTTAGTTCACTCACGCAACTTGATCATCAATTGGGCGATGTTAATCTGTTCGCTAAAGTTAATCACCTAATAAATCTATTCCTGAAATGGGATTCGAGTCTCATAGCAGACCGTGGAGCCGGTGGGCATGAAAGACCATTTAATAATTACTTGAAGACAACTACCAGTTTTGGGAATACCTAGGCGTCGCTTTGTTTGTTATTTATTAATAACACCCTAGGTGCTCTATTCCACTCTTAAAACCTTATTATACCACTAGCTATTCAATTAGATGAACTCGCGCAAGCTGGACAGTTCTTGTTTTGTTTTATTTTTTCCCCATAGGGTACGATGTGCGTTGGATAGCTGGACTAAGTGTCGCCATACTCACGATTATGCTGGTGGCAAGTGCGACAGGAACCTATCAAACTGCCGGGTGCTGGAAGCGAACAATAGGGCCAAAGATAGGCTACGGAACACGGCGAGCTACTGGATTACGGCGCGAGATAATCGTCTAGGACAGTATCGAGAAGGGAGGGCTAGGAACAACCGGTTGCATTAAAAGCTCTTAATAGTGTCATCGAAAGCTGCTATAATAGGTCTATAGAGCTGATCTGGGTCACCTAAAGGGGTTTCAAGGCTCATTCTCCCATCCTTGTCAAAGGGAAAGAGGATCTTCCTAATCTTTAAACACAGAGGTCTAAGATGATGCAGCATCTGAGGAAATTCACCCATAATTCTTTTGAGACTGCCTACGGACATATGACCCTCCTTGGCATCTGCAATTTCGGTGAATGTCCCGGTCTCCCATCTTCGAAGCAGGCTTTCCCTGGGTGGCTGTGACCCACCAGCAAATCCATTCTTCCATGAATGACGCGCACAAAGCCAGATAAGGACCTAGAAAAACGACTCTAAATCGTGGCGATATGTGTGATCAGTGATGCGGAGCACCTCTACTGCCATGAACTGCATCGTACCGGTCTGGTGACGTGCTCCACTCGGACCACTGTCTCTTTCCTTCGCTAGGTCAAGGTCAATAAGCATGCCCTTGAAGCCGCCTGATGCCTCGGCCTCTGTGATAATGATATTATTTGTGGAAATATCGCGGTGAAGGATATTGCCCTTAGTGTAGAGAGACTGGTGCGCCTTGATGGCATCTCGCAATGATTCCAAGAGTTCTCTGACCGTGGTGAATTCACTCACAACACGACCAGCTGGGGAAATAACAAGGACTGAATATATTCTGTTCTGCCACAGGTCCTCGAATGGCGTGCATAGACTCAGTTTAGCACTGTCGGTTGATAGTTGACCACTCAACTCCTTTGGCTTGTGATTACCAGACCGCAACCTCTTGGATCTTCGCACGCTATCAGAGGTGTGATTGGATGATAACTTGCGCTTGCTGCCTCGTGTGCTTATGCCTGATAGGACCGTCGGGCTGTCGAGGTGGGCGTCTTCATTGCGGAAGCGGTGGCGGTGACGTTCTTGGAAATCTAAGCCCTCCCGCAGCTTCGCAATAGTGCCAATCTGGCGATGCGCCACAACCCTGGCTACTCCCTGAACATCCCTTTCTTCTGCTAGCCTGAGCTGTTTAACCTCTAGCTGCCGCTTGTCGGATGCCCATGAGAATTTCGCAACTTGGCTGTTTCGGGTCTCGAAACACGTTGTCCCGCGGCATACAACAGCTTTCTGTCTCACCATCGGTCTTCCAAGCCTGATTCTTGTTTGGTTGCCATTGGTGTCGTCTACAGGGATATAGCGATGCCCGTTCTCTCGCTGGATAAATGTGTCTCGACCCATAGCATCATCATCCATTGTGGCATAGACAATAATAGCACGCGCGAACTTTTCCGGGTTGGCGTGAATATCAAACGACCCTGAGCTGTACGGCCCAGACCGATCAAAGACCCAAAGCTCCATTGTGAAGGCGCAGAGTGTGAAACCATGGACGAAGCGGCGAGTGGGCTGGTCTGCGAAGACACCTCGCACATAACGCGTGAGTTGGAGCAGATCAGCCTCGAAGCGGCCCTTATCGTATGATTTCTTTTGCTCTCCCACGACGAGGACATGCTTATACTCAAAAGCACCGGCTTTTGCGGCGGGTATCTGAAAGAAGATATCCATCTGGCCTTTCCGTTGCTTGAACTGGTTTGCGGTCGTGGTGGTATGAAGCTTATATGGCGCATCGGCGAAAGCACGCTTTTCCAGTGAGAGAAGCCACTCCCAGACCAAGTTTTCATCAGGGGTGGGTGGGAAGCCTTTCCATCTCATTCCATCGTGCTCTGCCATTACCCTCTTCAGCATATCCTGCTGCTGTTTGCCCCAACTCTTGGAGTCAAAGAACCTGTCGCAAAACCCTCCCACATTGCGAAAGGTACATGTCCGTATTTCCTCTAAAAGCTCCCTTTCAACAATATCGCGCGTTTCGCTGTCAGCAAGCCTGCTCGAGCTAGATCTCACCTCCGTACCTCTGAAAGTTGGGGTGATGCTAGAATAAGGAGTAAGTGGACCAAGGGTATCAAAAAGGCCGAAGATTGCAGCCCAGATGGTGTCGTCGGGGGATTTATTGATAACACAGCGGACTAAAGGACGGAATCGATCGAGCTCTATTGTGCTCTTTCGGACACGTTGTAATATGGGTAGCAACTTGAATGCAGCGTTGCTGTTTCCATCTGGAAGGTTGAAAGCAGCAGGGGACGCGACTAGAGTCCCCACAAGGCTCACGACATCATCCTGCCGCGGGGTGTCGGATTGATGGAAGTCGCTCAACTTGATCCGAAAGTAATCCAATGAGTCATTGAAGGGGTGATCGGATATGATTCGGATCTGCTGCTCTGTTAAAGCCGCCAAAGCGTTGCACATCTTGGTTTACGTGAAAGGTAATTGATTTTATGAGGTTTTCATTGTTTCCTGTCGGAGTATTCACGGAGCAACCCCTGATTCTCGCGCCACAGCTCCACATTGCAAGCCACGCTGAGCAGCACCGCCTCATTGATCACCAGGTTATTGTGTGACAATAACAGAACACACACACAACAACTTTGAATACACACATATTATTGACCCAAATAAGCACTCATTGTTAGCCGTATTCGTTTGAATCCAACAGTACTCTCGTCGCTGCGACAAGCATTGACGCGGTCGCGGGTGACCTGCGACAGCGCTTTCCACCATCAATTCCTCCCTACCAAGGCCCTGATTCAAGAGGCCAAAAATCTGAAAATGAAATGGGAAATGCTGCACGATTCACACAGAAATAGAAGCTATACCTTGTTTAGTAAAGACTTTCAGCACAAAATTCACCGCTCACGTCTGATCTTCATCATAAAACGGCTGGCAACATGTTGCATAATAGAAGATAGTTTGTATAGCGCTAAAAGGTAGAGCCGGCTGAAAATCGCCCAGCTAGAGATATGATGTTGGCCTACCAAGTAGGTGAAGTAAAACATGGTACACCAAAGCTCTTTTCATGTAAGGCGGGGACCTCACTTTTTATTAAACACAATAATAAGAATAATTAGAGGAGAATAATAAATTATTCTACGTTATTTAGCTTAATATTATATGTATTACTAGATTAATTATTTTAATATTACGTTAAAATTTAACGCTGGAGTGTCCGGGTGTGCCATGTTTTATACCAGTCGCTTGCCTACCATGTGACCACGTTAATCCGCTAACGTCGTTTATATCGTGTTCGCCTCGAGAAGACGTTCACAAGTGGGTCACTCGGCAGAATGGTTTTAAACTTTGGCATCGCCAAACTTGCAGTCTGCTCTTCACAACAAACATTATTTCTTATTTTCTACGGCCATGTCGTTCATCAAATTGTCGCCGGCTCGAAATGTATCTATTGCCCTCATCACTGCTCCTCTAATTATCCCCACCATCTATATGGCATTCCTCACTTATAACATCTCCCGCAGCACCAAGTCCTCCAAAGGCATCCAGTATCCAAAAGGAAGTCCGCAGCCCCTCACACAGCGCCATCCACAGAATGTCATTCCTGGGAAGCCAGCAAGCCTTCCTGACGATGTGAGATCCGAAGACTCAGACTGGGTCTTGGCATACGAGCGAGTTGCATCTGTCCCTGTACCACTACGAAGTCTTGCCCTCTCTCCGACAAGCACTATCAGCTGCTCACCGTCGCCTTTGCTTCGGGCCTACACATCGGGTGCTCATGTCGCCTTCTCCTCGACACCACAAGCTATTCTCATCCGCTTCTTGGTCGACACGGAAACCAGGCGCACCTTTGAAGCCAGCTGGATTCAAAACCTACAATTTGAGCCCGGGGACGTCGTCAACGGTGCTTACAAGGTCTCATACTGTGGTCAAGGAAATGAGGCAGGGTCAGAACGTATTGAACTCATGATTCAGGCCCCGCCATCTTATAAAGGGCCCGTCCCCAATGGCTTAATCCTCTCCGAGGTTGTACTTATAGAAGGGGCTCCTGCGGGGTCTCTCCCTGGTGATAGTGCTGGAGACGACCATGTTGTCTTTATCAACGAGACTTGGATGTGGAGAAAGGAATCTGAGAAGCCGACTTTGATAGAGTCAAAAGTGAGCGGTTGGATGCACAGTCTGATGGCAGGATGGCTCATCAAGAAAGGAATCAGTACAGTCAGTCTATGATGGCTCCGTTGTTCAAGGTGGAGTTCTCCCGTTTGATGAATATTATAGAAAACATTGACAAGCTCACCCCTCTCCTCATGAATAAAATTTAGTAGCTTACCGGACACAAGGCGATCCAGTTCCAATGATTGTCAGTAGGCTCAAGAGATTTATCTTCTTGTAACGATGTCATCAAGAACTGACAGATTAAAGCTATCAGTGCATTCATTCTTGGCCACTTGGGCGAGTGATGATACACGCAGGCTTCACGTTGCTGACATACAGCCATCTGTAGTGGAGCTGAGCCAATGAGAGTTGAGGTAGGCAAGATAATCCCTACGTCATTATCCCTTGCTCTACCTGGTCACGTGACTATGACATCCCCCACTGTCTGCAGAAACGCTTCTCCTGCTCAAATGAATCGCTATTCCATAATTCCCACAACCATCGGCTTCCACTTATCTAACCGCCAACTCCTTCCTCCCTGTTAGCCTGCCATGTAGCGGGGCAGCGCTTCTCCACCTGATGAAACACGGGAGCGCCAAGCGCCTAACTTCGAGGCCTCGGGAAAGATAGACCACAGGCCAAACACCAGCATCCCCATCATCATGGCTCGCACTCGAGCACAAGGTACTGTTTCATGAAGCGCCAAGTGATGTCGGCACTAACAATCTAATAGGAAAGAAGCCTCAGGGTGTTCAGAAATCGGAGAACACCCGTCGCCCCCATCTCCAACAAATAGCTCTTAAGCCCCCCAATTTGCATCAACAGCCATCACTCCCCATCACTCCTCTACCAGTATGTCACCCATAACACTTTATGGTTCCCCAAACTAAGACACTCAAGGATTTTATACCTTCTGACAAGAGCGCCAAAAGAGACATCGGCCTTGATCACGGTTCAGAACCCCCCCGAAAGCGGCTACGACGATCCCTTCGACTCAATCCTACAACACCCAGCACACGTGCGAAACGAAACGCCGAGACCCTCGACTCTGATACCCCCCAGAAGCAGTCGCAACCATCGCCTACCCAACCTGCCACCGCGAGTGCCGCCGGCCACCCGATAGATCCGATTGAGTTTTGGGCGGAGGAAAGAGTGTGGCCACAAGAATACCTCAACCCAGACATGGCGCATATACTTGCTCGGAAGAGATCCCTGCGGTCCCTTAGCCGTAAGCGATCAAACTCTGGTGCATCTACATCCACAACACCGTGCGACCAGAGGCCAAGGGAGGAGAAGAGTGCGCCCTACCGAGATCCACGGTACAAGACACTGCTTGCTACAAAAAATAGTTTCATGGAAGAGTCAGACCTAGGCATCTCGAAGGACAGCAAGGATACTTATCTATCCTTCCTAAGCTCAGACCAGACAATTCCCGACAATACGTTATTTCATGATAACGTATTCAAGCAGACATGTCAAAGCGTTGAGGACAGAAACGAAGCAAGAGTTATCCGGGATATAATGCCATTGATTGTCCCTTCAGCAGAAATATTATGCATCTATGGAGATCAGTCGCTCAACATCCTAATAGAAAGCACTAATGAAGGCTGGAATAATTCAATACCACTAACTGGGACTCGCCCACAACCTGACTTTTCTGTTGGCTTTCGGCGGGAGTCTTTCACTGAGGACCAGCTTTTAAAACTCTCACCTTTCATATGTGATTTTATTGCTGGCGATGTCTCCTATTTTATGGCAACGTACTATATGTACTTCCCATTTCTTACATGTGAGGTCGAATGTGGTGCTACAGGGCTTGATGTGGCAGACCGGCAGAATGCCCATAGCATGACTCTTGCGGTACGAGCTGTTGTTGAGCTCTTTCGAGCTATAAAGCGCGAGAAGGAGGTGCATCAGCAGATCCTTGGCTTCTCTGTCTCTCATGATCACCGGTCAGTACGGATCTATGGGCACTACCCAGTGATTGATGAGAAGACTACCAATACCAAGTATTATCGCCACCTTATTCATGAATTCTCATTCACGACCTTGGATGGTAAAGAGAGATGGACAGCCTATCGGTTCACAAAGAGCATATATAAAGCTTGGATGCCAAATCACTTCAAGAGAATTTGCTCAGCTATAGACCAGCTGCCATCGGATTGGAATTTTGATGATGTGCCACTTGCGGAAACAGGACTCTCGCAAAGCTTGCAAAGTCATCATCTATCACAGTCTGCTGAACTGGATTCAATATCCTTTGGTTTCGACGGTGCGTCGAGTGATGCATTACAGAAAGTCGATACTCCAGCTACTTCACATGCAGATCCAGGGACTGTAAAGAGAAGGAAGGGGAGGAAGAAAGGCACTTATATTAGCAATAGCATGTACAAATTTGAAGAGAAGCCTGCATAGTAAATTGTTCATGCGCGCCTGAACGATCTACTAGAGTTTAGCCGGATCATTTGTCCGAGTTATCTTTCGCTCAACAACCCACGTAGGAGATCGTTTGGGAGAAATAACCCTCGGAGTCTTGCCCACTGCAATTCTTAGATGATCGGTAGGACGTTGCCGATCTCTTATCGTACTCACAATAAGGTCCACCCAACCCGATCTGCTACATCATCAAACTGCTGTAGGAGGGTACCAGCCACGGGCCGAGGCAGCAATGAACCGAAACTGCCTGTCGGCCTTGATGCTACAATGCCACCTGTAATCTCTAGAACAGTTCACAATATGAACCTGCTGATACTATAGATACGGTAGACACTTGTCCAGCTGTTTTGGCTGCACCACGCTCGGCCCGATCGCTCTGGAGCTTCTTTCTAACATGGCCACTAATTAAAGCCAACATGCTGATTTCTTAATCTTATGAGTTTCTTAGCTGGTAAAGCTTAGCCGGCTCAAGCAATTCGCGTAGTGAATCTCATGCGGATAGTTTGATTTTGAAGAATCGCAGAAACGGCCTCGAAGTGACGTCTGCGGCCAATGCAGCAACTTCTCAAGCATGTTGGTTCTAAGCCCGTAGCACTGAACAGAAACTTCTTTATGTGATTCGATCAGATAACTGCACATCACCGCTTCAAATGCGACCCCTCGGACCGTAGGAACAAGATTGGGGTCGCTGAAAACAAACCAATTCATCAATCTTATATGGCCTATCACTCGTAGTTTGCTATAGACTCTGGCTTTGGCCTGCGAAGAGGCCCAGAGAAGATAAGCAAGTGATCCAGGATGTGGTGTTTGCGAGAGCAAAAGAGGGGTAGAACTTGGATTTCGTATTTTGAGATAGGCTCACGCACGATCGGTTCTGGTCCCCGAAGGCGAGATGTCACCGATTAGAGCAGGGGTTATCATGAGATCTCGCCTAGATGTTCCCTCTGGGCTGGAAGCTTTCAGCACTACATCCTTAAATATTGGCGATGGCTCCAGCCATGCAGAATGATATCGCTGCACCAAATGAAGAGATTAAGCAATTCTAAATTGGCCTGCATATTTCCCATTAGATCTGGAGAATTTCGGAGACATGTTCTCTTTTCTTGCACCTCTGCTCCTTTTAACGAGCCCGGCTGTCGGGGCGCTATCTATTGCACCGGATTCCTTTATTTTGGAAGCAAGATCTTGTTCGCAGTCTGAAGCTCAGGGGAACGCCTCGACATGCTATCCCGAGTACATCAAGATCAATCCCATATCTGGGCTTCAGATCATTTCTATTGAAGCCATCGCTATATTCAATGCCACCACTACCCCAAACTTTCCGAACTCCTTTCCAGCCTCTGCGAACATCACTGGCATAAACTACTGCAACGTTACAGTTACCTCGCGGCATCCAGGATATCAGGAAGCTGGTATCAAGACATCGGTCTATCTGCCCCTGAATAATTGGAACGAGCGCATGATGGGCATCGGTGGCAGCGGTTTCAGCGCAGGGAATCAGTTGGACCGGGTTCTGACGCCGCTGTCCCAAGGCTTTGCCACTGTGTCCACCTCGGCCGGAGTTTCCAGGAACACAATGCAAGATAGCGCTGAAGTTGCCAACTCAGACTTTTGGGCTCTTCGCAGCACGGGAAACGTGAATGTTGAGGCTCTGTCGGATTTTGGATACCGAGCATTGGGAGATGCTGCTGAGATCGGCAAGTCTGTCATCGAAAACTTTTACAAGAAGCCAGCCAAATTCCGTTACTGGAATGGCTGCTCCACCGGAGGCAGACAGGCACTCATGCTTGCCCAGCGGTATCCGAAGGCGTATCACGGCCTGCTGGGCAGCTGTCCGGCGATCAACTGGGCGCGTTTTCTCTCCGCCGATATCTTCCCTCAGATTATCATGAAGAACATCACCAATGGGGGACGAGTACCCGCTCCGTGCGAGTTCCGTGCCATCACAGCTGCGGCCCTTGAGGCATGTGACAGTCTAGACGGAGTGAAGGACGGCTATGTGATGGATCCTTCAAAATGCGAATTCAAGGCTGCCACGGTCCTAGGCAAGAAAATCGCATGTCCCGAGTTACCGAGTGGAAATACTACAATTTCTGAAGCTGCTGTGAAAGCGGCCGAGGTCGCATGGGCAGGTTATCACACAGTAGATGGAACTTGGCGATACTATGGTGTCAGTCATACGACCAACATTACAACAGGTGGTACTTTGCTAGACACAAAATGCGACAATACTGGGAACTGCACTTTTTCACCCTTCCCTATTGCGGCGAACTGGGTGAAGAACTTCTTGATGAAAGACCTTCAGGCTGACCCCATGTCGCTCACGCATAGCCAGTTCGATCGTCTCTGGCAGCTCTCTGTACAAGAGTGGTCGTCATTCATGAGCACGGACGACCCAGGCCTTGACGCATTTAGAGACACTGGTGGGAAACTCATGACGTGGCATGGGCTTGATGATATTCAGATTCAGGCTGGGGGCACCGAGGAGTATTACAAGCGCGTCCTGGCGGTGGACCCCAAGGCTGCCGACTACTTTCGATTTTTCCAAGTGCCTGGAGTGGGACATTGCTCAGGAGGATTCGGGGCCTATCCTGGAACGTCATTCCAGTCCTTGATGGACTGGGTGGAAAGAGGCATTGCACCAGAGACGCTCTATGGAAAAACCAGCGGTGGGGCAGAACGGCCAATCTGCCTCTACCCCAAGAAGGTCTCATACCTTGGTGGCAGGACTGATAATATCAACTCGTTTCAATGTGTCTAGTTCTTGGCGGTTCTAACCAAGATGTAGAGAACATGGGGAAGCCTCCGTATCCATCAAATAGCGGTCTATAGATTATGGTCCCTGCCGAAGTCATGAAGACGTGATTACATAGGAATTTTCAGTTAGCAAGCATTGTTCAGCTGACAATGAACTTGGCCTTGTGCCACGGTGTACATGAGATGTATCGATTGTGAAGAGAAAGTACAGGGTTAATTCATTCAATGCTGTTCCCAGCTTTTCTTTGACAAGGACTAGATCTTTCGCTTCTAAACGAGGGATACAGTTGTCCCAGCTAAACCCCCACAAGAACACTTCGTTGCCATCGATAGGTTCTTGGCATATTTGGCACTCTGAGGAGCATGCCGCAGATGCATATACAAGCGCATGGGTCCTATCATTCCCGTGGATCCTATCATTTCACGATAATCGTAGCGACTGCGGAATTTGTTACCCGACTGAAGATAACATAGCCAAGGTTACCTAGATTGCTACGTTGGGGTCGGGTGGTGGCTCTTTGACAGGCCCCATCGGTTTGCGGGGCCGGGCTTTGTCTATCAGATGGCCGGGGGGAAGGCATCGTCAAAGATGCATGAAACGATCCAGGCTCGGAGGAAGGGCCCCGAGTCTAGTATGATTTCCGATGCGGCATCGGAGTATCGGGAGAACTTGTTAATACTTAGATGGGAATAGCTTTGAAGGCTGCCTATAAACCTTTGGTGAAATCCTTGTTGCTCTGCCGGAGTACGTCCATAGGTTAAGGGACCGGATTTGATATTGAAAGAAATTGAATGTAACTGATTGCCGCCTCAAATAACCTTAATACGCCATGCCAAACAACGGCAGCGCTGTTATCCTCGCTGGGGCTTCAAGTGCCCCCTACCCTCAAGGTCGCCTCATAGCCAGCACCGCCAAGACACACACGTTTTTCATCTCTGGTGTTACATCGCGACGTTCTGATGGCTCCCTTGGTGGGGTACAGACCGCAAGCGATGGCACTGTAACTCTGAGCATCGAGGAACAGACATCCGCTGCGCTTGAGAATATCGACGCCATCATCAAACAAGCAACGAAAGGAAAGGGCGGGCTCGAAAATGTCATTGATGTCACCGTCTTTCTCACCAACCTGGGCGCGGACTACGCCGGGATGAATAGAATCTGGATCAAGGCTTGGCCTAACCGTGAGGGTGCCCCAGCAAGGACCTGCGTGGGTGTTAAGGAGTTGCCGAGTCCAAATCTCCTGGTTGAACTTAAGGCGACAGCTCTTATTGAAGACAACTAAGGGGGATATCGGAAGACTCTCGTTTCTAGCTGTTTGGAGAGGCATAGATCTTGGAGTAGATTTGAAATAAAAATAAAATAGACCAGTTAGAGAGATCCAGTTTCTTTCAACACCAACATGGTGTGTGTCCTGGTTTAATTATGTTAACATCTCCGGAGGCTGGACTAAATAGATCTAATATCATAACGCACAAATAACTGAGTATGATATATTTACCCCTTTTTCATTGAATTTTATAAACTTTACTAATTATGTACGACAAATCAAGACAAAGACTAAAAAGTGAATCTGTTCTCAGAGATTGACATCCTCCAAAGTTTTTAAGTTCGACCCTAGCCACGAGAAGACCGAGCTATCCTAAGAGGGCACAGGCCCATCTTGTCTCTTTACTATCTTCACCCAAACTGGCGGGGGATATTTGACTGCGCTGGCCCTGATGCCTTTACTTATATCTTGCTTCGGGTCAACAAGTTCCAACTAAAACACGAGCCTTGTTAACGTAATTCTTGCAAGTGTGGGAAATCGGGGTAGTACTAACGTTGAAATTCATCATGATCAAGGGAAGGGTCTTCTTCATCTCCAGCCAGGCAATATGGACACCCGTGCAGACGCGTTTGCCTGAGCTAAAGGCCAGGAAAGCCCGGTCCATGCGGCGTTTCTGCTCCTCATCAGCTTCAATCCATCGCTCAGGTCGAAAGTCTTCTGAATCAAGACCATAGACTTCGGTGTCCCGGTGGATGGCATCGATCTGACACGCGACCACAGTTCCTGGAGGAATGAATGTCCCGGCAAGGGTCACACCGCCCTCTGGGACGATGCGATCCAGGCCCCAAGAAGCTATGGGAAATATTCGCATGGACTCTTTTAGAACAGCCTCGAGATATGGCAGCTTGTAGACTTCTCCCCACTTTGGCGGGTTAGAAAGAGTACCATCCTGCAACCCGGCATCTATCTCTGCTTGAAGCTTCTCTCGACAATGCGGGTGCTTGGCGAGGAAGAAGAGCGTGTAAGTAAGAGTTCCGGCGGTAGTATCAGCACCCGCGCCAATTGTCGACAGGATAATGCCAAGGATTTCGTCATGGTTCAAGGCATCTGGATGCTTGGCTCTGCCTTCAAGGAACTTTTGACAAAGATCAGCCAGATCTGGCGGGTTCAGAGCAGTCTTGCGTGCGTGGAACTTGGCCGCGCCGACTCGTGCAAGTGGACTGTCAGTTTTGCCCTTGAGCATGGATGCCAGTGGACCTTTGTTGAGGACATAGTCCATTGTAGGCATTGCCCCCCAACGGCCCCAGTGATCAAATCGATCGATGACTGCGCCGAGAATGCCGTCGACATCGCCGCCTTTTTGCATGAACCCGGGAGTCTCGCTGAAACCGATGCGCATCAGCACGTCCATGGCAAAGAACTGTAGCCACAGACCTATATCAGCAGACTGAAGCTTCCCAACGACACGGACAAACTCCGCAGCTGAGTGGTCAATGTAAGATTCGTAGTCGAGCAGAGAGGTGGTTGCGAAGGCTCGGCCAACAGTCCTGCGCACAGCGGTGTGCTGGGCTTCCTCCATCGCAATGATGCTGGGCAGCACGCGGCCCTGGCTGACTGTGGTAGCACCATAGTAGGAGGGACCTTTTCGCCATACTGGGTTCATGCTGTACACGATGGAGACCGCGTTTGGATCGCTGACCGTGACGTGGTTTGGCCCTATGCGGAGAAGCTTCCCATGTTGTCTATGAAGCAGAACGAGTCGCCCTGCATATCCTTGAGAGTTCTGGGCCCTGAAGCGCCAGAGGTCTGTATGTGCGGCAAGCCAAGGACCTGGTATACCAGCTAGTCGGATGTATGAACGGACGAGCTTCGTAACTCCAAGAGCCGCACCGATGGCTAGCACGAGAAGCACAACTAGCTGCATGATTGAGCTCCTCTTCAGTGTGAGTTTCGGCTGGATAAAGGTTGATGCTGACTACCTAGGTAGAGCATGAACGTACTTCACAAGATACGTTTATGATCTTTCATAGTTTGGTTATGCCAGCACGAGTGGAGGCCCCTCACCCACATGTTGATCGTCCTGGCATGATATCGGTCGATCCGCCCGGAGCTACCTTCCAAACATCCCACTGAGATAGCGTTTGGCTATCCGATCTAGCGCATCTACGGTCCCGGTCTCCGTGGTTGGGGATCCACGAAGGGCTCCGGGGTACATCTCCAAACAGCATAGTAGAAAGCTTGATCGGACCCCACTCCCCGATCACTCAAACAGCTTATCAAGAGGATTCTAGACCAAGCCGCACCCTGGCACGTGATAGGAAGATAACCTCTTATATTAGCTAGTGGCCCGGGGTCCACTCGCCGATTGAAGGCTGCTCTCGTTTCCTGACTATGCAATCCAGGGCCAAATCCTCGCTGGCCCTATGGAAGCATTATGAGCGAAGAGAGAAACCACGCGGGCGAGTATGGTCCTCAACCCACCGGTGCCTCAAGCTACCCCCTCGATCCCCGCAATGTCCTGAGAAGGTCTGTGATTGCGTGCAATCGTTGTCGCAGCAGGAAGACGAAATGCGCTGGTCGCCATCCCTATCCATGCGTGGCGTGCCAGGCTTCTGGTAGTCAATGCGTCTACTCAGAATCTGAGAAGAGAGTGACAGTTCCTGAGAGGTATTTCCTACTTTAGTTATGTCATAGACAAGAATAGTTGTTGGTATACATGGACACATCACTAACGGTTTAGCTATATCCTCGATCTTCAAGCTCAGGCTCGACGTCGGAGGAGCGGACGCCGCGTTCAGGATGATGCTCCAGAACTATCGGATACCTCCCTAGCAGATGTTCAATGGGGGAACACAAGAGCGGAAAACTGGGTGGTCGGGCAGTCAGGACAATATCGTAAGCAGCTGAAAATATATTGAACAAGGCTCACTAAGGCTCACCAAGGCTTACTTGATACCCTACGCAGATTACATGGGAAACTCTTCTTCAGCATACATCGCGAATAGACTCAATCCTACAACAGAAACTGTCGCATGGCACATATACCCTCATTATGAAGACACGAGCTGGCTCAGAAGACCACTTGATGTGGGTGCTGATGAGATGCCCCCGCTTCCGCCGTATGAACTCGCGAAGAGGCTGTATCGCGCTCAGCACGGGTATATTGGTACCATATTCTCCTTTCTACGAGAGGAGGACTTCTTTCAGCGCTTGAGTCGCGTTTATGCGAGACCAAGGCCAAACCCATCGGACAAGGAGGAATGCCTCGTATACTGCCAGATATTACTCGTGCTGGCATTCGGGCAGATGTATTCGATCAACCAATGGGTCGGGGATGACGGCCCTCCTGGGTTCACTTTTTTCAAACATGCGTTGAAATTCCTGCCAAACATGCACGAGGACGGGTCCATTTTGTTCGTTGAAGTCCTCAGCTACGTCGCCTACTACATGCAAACGCTGAACAGGAGGGACGCTGCGTATCTATACATTGGAATTGCGCTACGCATGTCGCTATCCCTGGGCCTACACCAGGAAGTCTCCGATCAGGAGATTGATCCTCCTGCTAGGGAGCACCGGAGGCGGGTTTGGTGGTCTGTGTACAGCATAGAGAGAATCCTCTCCGTGACCTCTGGCCACCCGGTCTCTATTCAAGATGAAGATGTCGACTTACGCCCCCCCAGCCCAATTGGTGGTGAAAACCCTCGAATTTCTTGCGTCCTCAATAGCTACAGCCAGCTGTCGAGGATCCAGGGCATCATAGGCGAGCAGATATATCGGAAGAAGCGGAGCTCAGGAACCAGCTTGTCAGCATCTGTCCTCGACATCATGAAGAGTCTCTCGGACTGGTACAGGAAACTACCGGAAGATGTTCGTCTCGACATATCTGATACGAACGCGACTCTCAGCAGAGAGTCGGTTTCACTATCTCTTCACTATTATCACTGCATCAATATGACTGCGCGACCGCTATTGCTCTACGCGGTCCAGAAACAAATGGCCGTCAATGCACAGAGACACACAGGGGCACGATGGGAAGATGGACTGTCACCAGAAATAGTGGGTGTGATTGATAGTGCAATATCTGCAGCCCGCTCGAGTGCTATGATATTTCACACAGCTGCCAAATTCAACCTCGTCGGTGAGTATGGCATTATCATATCATCTGCGGTGCAGTTGCAGATGCTCATGAGTAAATAACTGACCCATCTTGCCAGCGACCTATGGCTTTATTGACGGGGAGCAAGCATTTTCCGCGGCCCTTCTTTTAGTGATGGTAAATATTGCGTTTCCCTACAACGAGCCAGATGCCAAATCAATGGAGACGGCGCTCCTGGTCCTCCAGGGCATGGCAGAGAGGGGAAACAAGTATATCCAGGCCTGCCATTCACTCCTCTCCAAGATAAATACGATAGGAAAGCCCAATAACCCCCCGGTGGGCAATATGGGGAACTCACAAGCAGGAAGCGATACCACCCAGGACGAAGGAGTAGAGTGTCGTCCGCAAACCGCCACTCTCGAAGCGCCCAATGACGATGGAAGGCTCTCGCAGGCAGTGACAATTACAGAAAACTGGACTGGAAGAACACAAGCGAATATGGAGCAGGAAGGCGCACCCGTTTTGATGGACTCAAGTGAGGATCCGAGGCTCTGGGCTGGGGTTTTGGATTCCATTGCTATTGACATGGACAGACACTGGGTCGAAGCTGCGCTGCTGGGCGAAAACGGGGTTGTAGAAGATCAAAGACACTAATAAGCTCTGAGTGAACATTGATGTGTCGCTGCCACCGGAATATGCACCTGCTATAGATCGTTCTCTTATGAAATGGCTCACTTGTGGATGTTTATGTATTTCGGTAGTTTTAAGCGTTTGCATGCTGCCTGTTCATTATCCCTCTTTAATCCTTCGCAATGTATATCTCATAGCCATGTTCTCTCGCCAACGAATAGATGAGAGAGCCGGTTAATGAATATGTTAGATTTAGTAGTGCTCAAGAACAGGCCTCCTTTTTCCGTGAGGGACCTTTGCATGGTCGATTAACAAATGTTGAGCAGTCTCACAGTTCCGAGGAAATCATTTCGAAGCAGTATACGAATTGAAATCTAAATCCCGAAAACAATTGACGTAAATTGAAGCTTATACCTATATTAATTGCACATTCCCATGTAACTATTCATTGGCAGCCCCATAACCACCACCACCAGGAGTCATAATGACAACCCTATCACCAGCACCCATCTTCACACTACCCTTACCGCCCATGTTGACAACTCTAGCTTGTTTTGTCCACTTGTCCGTGGTCAGCCAAAGATTCAGACCAGTGGCTCCGGCCTCGCCGCCCTCCATTCCGTACGGGCGATGGACACGTCGCTCCGAGAGGATCGAGCACTGTACCGGCGTGAGGAACTCGATCTCTCGGGCCACGCCGTCGCCGCCCCGATACTGACCCTCTCCGCCAGTGTTCGGTCTCAGCTCAAAGCGGCGCAATATGCACGGGTATCTCTTTTCCAAGATCTCTGGATCAGTGATGCGAGTGTTGGTCATGTGGACATGCACGCCACTTTCGCCATACCAGTCGGGTCCCGCGCCACTGCCGCCGGCGATGGTCTCGTAATAGCCGAACCCAGGTACTACCTTTCCAGTCGACTCGTCGGTCTGGGCGTCGATGCCGAATGTCAAGTTGTTCAGGCAACCCTGTGAAGCCGCACAGGCCCGGAGAGCCCTGAGCACGACGTCCGTCACTCGCTGGCTCGTCGTCACATTGCCGCCAACCACGGCGGCAGCTCGTGTCGGGCTGAGTATGCTCGGTCTGGGGATGCGGATGTCGATTGCCCCGAGACAGCCCTGGTTCAGGGGGATGTCCGAGTTGATCATGCACCTCAGCGAGTAAATGATGGCTGAGTGTGTGATCGCTTCAGGAGCGTTGATGTTTCCATGAACCTCTGGACCAGTGCCCTTGAAATCGAACACGGCAGAACCGTCTGGCTGGATTGTGATCTTGAGCTTGATTGGCGTGCCATCATCCATGTAGTCGATGGCTTCGAGCGGCTTGCCTCCGTACTGCTCATACATACCCTTGAGGAGGTTTCTCACAGCTAGTTCAGCAGCTTTCTGGATGGCATACATGTATTTCTGGACCGTCCCGAGCCCATACTCGGCGATGAGGTTGCCGATCAGAGAAATCCCCCTTGCGTTGGCGGCAATCTGAGCCTTCAAGTCCGAGATATTATCGCTAATATTGCGGCTTCCAGAGCAGCCTGGGTAGCGAGCTGGGATATCAAGGAAGAGTTCTCTCATCCGCTCCTCGTTGAACAAACCACCGGACACGAGCTTCTCGGACTCGATTGCTGTGCCCTCTTGCCACAACTCGGTGGAGTTGGGTGGCATCGAGCCAGGTAAAATGCCACCAATGTCGGCATGATGACCTCTTGACGCAACGTAGAAGATGATATCGTCAGTGCCCGGCGCAAAAACAGGAGTGATGACGGTAACATCCGGCAAGTGAGTTCCACCGCTGGCTGGGTGATTTGCGACCAACACATCGCCGTTCTTCAGTTTTCCCAGCCACCTTTCGTGTTGGAATCGGACTGCAAACTGCATCGACCCAAGATGGACAGGGACATGAGGCGCGTTGGCAACAAGCCCGCCATCAGGAGAGAAGAGCGCACAGGAAAAGTCAAGCCGCTCCTTGATATTTGTTGAAACGGCTGTTTTCTGGAGAGTACGACCCATCTGTTCCGCCACAGATATGAACCGGTGGCCGAAGATGGTCAGGCGAACGGGATCAATCTGCTCCTCGACAGTGCCGTTGAGTGGGAGCTTCGGTGCGCTCTGCTCAAGGTCCATGATGATGCAGGTGTCAAGAACGTGTACGGTAGCACCCGGAACGGCGACAAGGGTCTGCGTCTCATCGATGATGATGGCTGGGCCTTGAAGCTTGACATTGGAGCCTACGTCACGCAGCAGGTACACGGGGGTGTCGACAAATCCAACCTTCGAGTCGAAAAAGACCTTTGTAGTCTTGGCCGGACTCCTGGCCTCCTTGAACTCGGCTGCCTTCAATTGCTGGAGGGGACTCTTCTCCGGCTCTCCCTTCGACATGGCAATCGTGCGCACGCGAACGTCATCGACAAGAATAGGCCGCTGCATGGTGAAGTTGAACTCTCTCTGGTGTCGTTCGATGAACGAAGACATGAAGTCCCCATCCTCCGGCTTCAAAACCATCAAGCTCGTATCAGAACCCTCGTACCTCATGTTGAGGAAGAGATCCTGTTTCAGCTGATTGTCTCTGAAGCCTTGAGCCAGTAACTTGCTCGACGAGTCACCAATCAAACGATTGAATTTCTCCTGGATTATGGATTGCGAGCTCTGATACTCGCCAGCCATGGGCTCCTGTGCCTCGTGTACAATGTCGGCAAGAGCCAGTCCGTATGCTGACAGGATGGAAGAGTATTTGTGGATGATGATGCGAGAGATTCCCAACGAGGCGGCAATGTTGCATGCATGTTGACCTCCGGCGCCGCCGAAACAGGCAAGGTGATGGGAAGATGTCTCGTAGCCACGAGCTTCGGTCAAGTTTCGAATAGGTCGCGTCATTGACTCATCTGCCACTTTGAGGAAGCCGAGTGCAACCTCCTCGGGCGTGAGTTTGGCATCACCCTGGTGCTCCATGTTCATTCTGTCGGTCAACTCGGCGAATAGAGTTGCTGTGATCTCACGGTCGAGAGGTTGGTCCTCGTTAGGTCCAAAGATCTTTGGAAAGTACTCTGGAAGAAGACGGCCAAGGAACAGATTGGCGTCGGTGACAGTGAGAGGGCCACCTTTACGATAACATGCCGGGCCTGGGTGGGCGGATGCCGACTCAGGACCAACCATGAACAGCCCGTTCTGCCATGAAAGGATAGAGCCACCTCCGGCTGCGACGGTGTTAATGTCTAGCTGCGGTGCTTGGATGGTAACTCCGGAAATAGTTGATGAGAAGGTGTGATCGAAGTGGCCATCGAAGCGAGACACATCTGTTGAGGTTCCTCCCATGTCAAAACCGATGATGGGGATCTTGGCCTCAGCATCCCAGCTCGTTGCAGAATAACCGACCACTCCGGCAGCGGGACCGGACAATATGGCCCTCAATCCACTGAATTGGCGGAAATCTGCGAGACCGCCGTCTGATTGCATGAATTCGACACGGCAGCCGTGGTCACCTGCCAGACCGCTTTCGAAGTTGGCCGAGATGGAGTCCATGTAAGACTTGATCACAGGTGTTAGGTAGGCATCAGCAGTGGCAGACATGCCTCGAGGAACCACCTTGATCATGGGCTGCAGTTTAGAAGACAGTGCGACCGAAAATCCCATGCCGGCAGCAATGTCTCCAACTCTGATTTCATGGTCGGGGTACGCGAAGGAGTTGATCAATGCAACAGCCACCGACGTGAAGCCCTGTTCTTTGAGAAGTTGAAGCTCCTTGGTAACCTTTTCAACGTTGAGTTCTTCAAGCACGTGAAATTGTTCTCCAGTTGTCCCCGTGACTGCTTTGTATGTCGAAATGGCACCCTCATCGGCTCGAGGGTGAGACGGGATGACCCGTTCGTCCACTTCGACCACAGCTTCAAACAAGACCCCTGGCCGTCTCGCAGACAGGTCAAAGATGTCAGGTCTGGCCTGGTTGCCAATCTTGAGAAGGTCTCCAAAACCTTTGGTGGTCAGGAGGGCCGAGCGGGCACCCTTTCTCTCCAGCAAAGCATTGGTTGCGACTGTGGTGCCCATACGTAGGCATTCTATGCCGTCCAGTCGCAAGGGCTGACCACGGGGTAGGGAGGCACCGGTCGCTTTCTCAAGCACCCGACGAATACCCTCGGTTGGGGCATCGTTGTAATTGTCGGGGTCGACTGATAGAAGCTTCAACACGATATCAGGCTTCCCAGGTACGAGAGCGTGGACATCGGTGAAGGTCCCACCCCGGTCGATTGAGATCTTGATCTTTTCTGGCATTTCCGAAAGAATATGACTAGTCCGTTGCATCGAAATTAAGATGCTGATCTGAATTCAATCACCTCCTGTTTGAAGGTCTCGTGTCGTTTTATACAGCTAGCCGGGTATCAACTGGAGAAGAATGAGTCTGTCATCAACCCGCCATTTTGCTGGAATGATGGAAAGCCCAGAGGAGCGGAGGACGAAGTCCGTCCTCGTCAAACTGCTCGACTCAGTCATTTCAATAACGAAACATGCTTACGAGAGCCCTCGCGCCCTCCCCGCGGTTCTGATCGTACTGACGACGGGTCCGGCCCGAGTGAATACAGCTGAGTCAAGACTCAAGACTGCCAAGCCGGGGCCCACAACCCGATCCATGGCTTGTGATAAGAGATGGACCGGCAACACTCCTGGCTCATCGGATCCCCCCTCTATGTCCCTATCTCCGTAAGACGCGCGCTGGATGATCGGATCATGTGCAATTATTGCCCCCGATCTAGCTTAGGGTCAGCATGATCCAGGCAGAACACTATCTTGTCGTTGTCTTGGGGACGATAGCCGAGCGGTTGTACACGATCTGTCTGAGTCTTCGCATTTAAGATTCGACTCCCTGATCAGCCGTCGTTGTTTTTGGAAACCTCCAGCATCGGCACGATTGATGTTTATTAATTCACAGTTCACACCAACTTGCCTAGTATGGATACTAAAGAAGTCAAAACGAACCCAGTTGGACTGGAGGCCGACCCTTCGGATGCAAGCATCGCGGTTGCGAGTGTCAATGATGGCGACTGGACTGTGGAGGAAGAAGCAGCGGTCCGACGCAAGTTTGACTTCACAATTGTCCCTCTGGTAACTCTGTTATACATGCTATGCGCTATCGATAGGTAGTTCCCCTATTCCTACCTATTCCTACAAGCAATGATAGCTTCTGACTAACGTGTTGACAGGGCCAATATCGGGTAACCAACATCAACTTTACCAACAATTGACGACGGCATGACTGACTAAAGACAGAAACGCTCGCATTGAAGGATTAACTGATGACCTGAATCTCGTCGGCTACCGATATAATATCATTCTCACGGTCTTCTTCATTTTTTACCTATCGTAAGTCGCATGCGGATCGGCTTTCAACGAGAGAGAGGTTAGAGAGGCAAAGGCTTACATCATTGAAGCGTCGAGATTCCAAGCAACGTGCTCTTGAAACGCGTTGGCCCTCGTTGGTATTGTATGTGGATCCATCAACCTGTTTGCAACAAGGACTGAAGAGAACTAATAATGCAGTGCCTGCTTTGGTATTCTGTTTCGGGCTTGTGTCCCTTTGCACCGCCTTTGTCAAGTCGTATCCGAGTATGATTGTTATACGAGCGATACTTGGAATCTTTGAGGGCGGCGCAATGCCCGGCACGGCGTTTTTTCTCAGTTGCTTCTATAAGAAATCCGAGCTCTTCTTCCGCATGAGCATTTTCATCGCCTCAAGTTCTTTAGCGAGCTCATTTGGCGGTCTGTTGGCTGCTGGACTCTCGTGAGTAGTTGTGGGAGATAACAGGTTGGCAATTTACGTACTAACTACATGTATCCTTTAGTAAGATCCCTGCGTTTGGTGTCGAAAGCATGGTGATATCGAGGTACGGCTAAAGCATTTATGCTGATGGATATGATCTAATCTCGTTGTATAGATGGCGCAACATCTTTTTCTTTGAAGGCCTCGTAAGTATCCGCAACCTTGCTTACAGATAAAAACTAACTCATTTCGCAGTTTACTCTCTTGGTGGCCTTATTAGCCCCATTGGCTATGCCGCAAAGCCCAGGCACCTACAAATATCTTACCCCGAGGCAGAGATACATCGCCGCCGAGAGGCTTCGTCGGGAGAGTCTTAATGTCAGAGTGTAACTCGCTGTTTCCGGAGCTACGAAACTAACATTTCACTAGGATCCTAAGGAACAGGTTACCTGGGCTCATGTTCGACTGGCCATTCTGAATATCCACACAAATGTCTGCGCCTGGTGCTTCTTCAGCACCAATTCAGCCGTTCAGGGAATGGGGGCGTTTATCCCGACCATTCTGCGAGAGTTTGGGTGGACTTCAACCCGAGCTCAGCTGCTCTCTGTCCCTCCATACCTGGTAGCGTGCGTCGTCACCATCACGCTTGGTTACCTCAGTGATCGATTCAACAAAAGAGGAATTTTTATGGTCGGGGTTCTTCCTTTATCTATTATTGGCTTCTCAATTCTGAGGTTCTCATCGAATGTCTCTGCCAAATACGCGGCAGTCTTCCTCAACGCGATCGCCTGCTTCGGTGCTAGTAGTGGGTTCTTGAGCTGGGGGATCAACAACGCCGGGAGCCCAGCAGTCGCAGCAGTAGCTGGGGGATATATGGTTATGGTGGGAAGTGTGGGAGGAGTCGTGTCGACGTACGTATTGCTTGAAATGTGTCTCTTGATTCTCAGAATGCTGATTTGCCGCTAGATGGACATACCTATCCAATGACTCGCCACTCTTCCTCAACGGTCACACTATCAACCTCTCACTTCAATTGTTTTGCTTCGTCCTAGCCTCTTTTGGCCTTGCACACTGTATTATTGATAACAAACTTCGGGCAGCTGGGAAGCACGACCATCGCATTGAGGGGCTGTCAGAGTCTGAGAAGCTCGCTCTTGGGCACCGAAATCCCGAGTATAGATACATGGAGTGAGGGAAGGTTCATTTGCCACATTATTGTGTACCTCCAGCTCTTGATTAGGGAGAGTAATCGTGGTGCTTACATAGACAATCGCTGGCAAAAATCCTGCAGCTCTAATAATCCAAGGAGAGGTTGCAATAACCCTCTCCAAACTCTCAAGCCTAATATTATTACTTACAGAGAGTCTTTTATTAGTAACAATTATAATCACATATCCCTCCCCATTCTCAGGAGTCTCGATTTCACCAAAAGTATGAACAGATGCCAGAATACAGAAATTAGAAACATGAGGCTACATTTCGCCGTCTTTGCTAGCAAAGATACTTGATGTTAGAATAGACACTTAAAAGCTACACCAAGTACCTGGAACTTGCAGGGATATCGAGAATGCGACTGAAACTAAAAATCCAACAGACCCAATCTAAACCCAATAATCGTGACTCTCCCCGATTGTCGCCCAATAGCTATTGTTGAATCAGATATCACGATAGGGGAATCTCCATTTGGCCTAAATTCGCCAGGCAACCAGAGAAGGTTCTCACCGTTAAATGTGATCCAGCTATAGTCACTCGAGATCCCAAGCCCAGAGAATTTAGCAGACAAAGGCTCAATATGCACGTCTGACAAGGGACGGTTAATGGGAATTATACCAGTATTTGTGATCAAATCCCAGTTTCTGTTGACTCGTTGCTGGAATGAGATCGAGGTGCAGGTCTTGGGGACTAGAACAATTTGGCGGCATTCGCCTGTCGATGCATCCCAAACCCGACTTGTCCCATCTGAAGAGGCCGATATGATAGATTTGGAGTCTTCGGATAGGGCGACTGCACGGATATCATCCTTGTGACCCTGAAAGGTCTGGATGCAGTTTCCGGATTCCATGTCCCACAACTTCACTGTCTTATCAGCTGACCCTGATACCAGTTGTGAAGAGTCACTCGACAAGGTGAAGGACAGAATCCTTGCACTGTGGCCCTTCAATTTTCTGTAATCGCGGTCAGACTTGGGATTAAAGATCCGAATAGTCCCATCAACAGATGCCGATACCAGCATGGTCGAGTCTGTGGAGAATTTCACTGAGGTGACCATGTCAGAGTGGCCGAGTAGTGTCTCAGAACAATGGCCCGTAGAAACATCCCACATTTGCACCGATCCATCGAAGTTACCAGACGCGATGAGTGTTGAGTCAGGTGAGAACGCTACTGTGCGCACTCCGCCGTAACTCTCCGCGGCCAAGGCATGAATACGCTCCCCGGTTTGAACACTCCACACGCGAACGGTTCCGTCAAATGACGCCGAGGCAAGGAGTTGTGAATCGGGTGAGAAGGCCACCGCCAGAATGCTCTTTGAATGCTCGTCGAGCACATGGAGACACTTGCCTGTGGCCCTGTCCCACAATCGTATCGTGCCATCCAACGACCCCGATGCAATGACCTTGGAGTCTTCAGAAAAAACAATCATGCGAGTGCTTCCACTATGACCATTAGACGGAGCAGAAGCCTCTTGAGTATCAATATCCCATACGCGAATAGTCCTATCAATAGATGCCGAGGCAAGGAGGGTGGAATCGTGAGAAAATGCGACGGATTTGACGGTGTTGCTATGCCCTTCCAGAGTCAGAAAGTGTTTTCCCGTGTCGGTGTGCCAGAGCATGATTGTCCCATCCGTCGAGGCCGTGGCCAGCAACGCCGAATTGTGAGAGAACATCGCTACGGCAACCCCATTGTCGTAGTAGCTGATTCTATGCAGTCTAAAATCCGTATCAACGTCCCAAAGTGTAATGAATCCACGTATTGAAACTATTGCTAGCATTTTGGAATTGTGAGAAAGGGCCATTGAAGCGATCGCATCTTCGTGCTGCAACTCCCAAGTACACTGACCACTTTGTGTATGAAAATATCGGATTTTCCCTTGAAAGTCAGCCACAGCGAGCCACTTAGCATCGTGAGACTGACACATAACTCCAGCTTTCGAGCTCCCAGAGTGTATTCGAACCTCGGGTTCATCCGCAATCTTGATCCCGAAACTGCCTCCAGCGTATCTTTGCCAAGTGGTTATTAAGCCGTCCATGAAAGTGAGATTAGCTTCAATCCCACAGTCTTGGCCATGTTGTAAACGTGCACCTGTTTTCACATGCCATAGCTGGACCTTGAGACCGGACACCGTTGCTATCGACCCAGGGGCCGGCGTAAAGACAGCTTGCCGAACAGGTTGATCATGTGGTATGATCAACGGGCATTCTCCTGTTGCCGAATTCCAGAATCGGACAGACTTATCCAATGATGCCGAGGCGATCAGGGTTGAGTCGGGCGAGAAAGCAACGGAGTTCACCGTCCTCGTGTGGCCCTCAAGTGTCTGCAAACACCGACCCCATTCATTATCACTCTTCGGTCGTGCACTAATCCATTCCGGAATGTTATTTTGAAATATTTCTCGAATTAAACTCTTCTCCGGTGCGAATAGTAGGAGAGAGGAATAGAGTTGTAGGGGGAAGGAATCAAAGGCGAACGAATTTGTGCGCACAAATCGGCGGGCGTCGAGGAGGAATGCCAGCAAGTCTGGGGAATTTTGGTTCTGTAAAAGGTCAGTCGGCGTCTTCGAGGGGGGGAATCTCCAAACAACTCACGCTGACAACTGAGATCAAATTGTTCATGAGTTTAATGCTCTCCAAGCCCTGTCCCGTCAAGCTAAGCGCTTCAATCCAGTGTAGAAAATGGGATTTCAGGAAATTGTGAACACTTTGCATATCCTCTTCACACAACTCTGCTTCACTAATATGATAAACCCAATATAGGCACGCATATTGCAAGTGAGGGGGAAGACAAGTGGCAAGCTTGTCTGGGCTGACATTTTTGGCTCTCGTGCCGGGAAATTTCAGATCGCAAATGTCTTCCTTTAGTTTGTCCATTAAACTAAGACAGTTTCTTCCCAAGGTCCTATGAGCCTCTTTTTCATCAATCCAAAACGCATGAGTATCACGCTTGTCTTGGTCAAGCAAAAAATCTCGAAAGGACAAATGGAACAGTCTCACCGGCTCCTCACTCGAAGCTGGCACGCTAAGGACTGAATGGAGCAAATCCAACCGAGCATCAACAGTCTCTCGTTCGATGAAAAGAATGCCTGCCAGAGCTGAGGTAGAAAGTGGTCTTGCCAAGATGACGACGGAGCCTATAACCAATCGAAATTGGCTCAGAACTTGAGCCTTTTCTCTATTCGAAAGACCAACGACTTGCTGTTCCAACACAGGCAAGTATGTTGCATCAAGTTTTGATTCCTGGATTTTCGTCTGATATTGAAGAACGGTCTCTAGCTGGTTACCAGGGCTGCCGCACTTTCTGTCGGCAAGGAACCGACAAGTAGTGGCGGCAAAAATGAAAAGCGGTACAGCCATATGGACCAACGACGTGATTTTCAGTTCGCCCGGCCAATCTTGGGTAAGCTGTCTGTCTTTCGGCACGGTCGCATTGTACTCATCGCGGATTTCTGAGGTTTTGTACTCGAGAAAAACCTGCAAGTCATGCTCGATAATAGATAGCGGTATGTCATGCAAAATCAAATCTTGGTATTTGCCTTTGATCGCGTGGAAGCCCAGTCGGATCGGTAGCTCCGGTCGGCTTGTGAGAAATGTTTTCAGGCGTAAATTTTGCAACTTCTTTGCTGTAGAAAGTAACTCGATCATGGTGCGAATGTCATCGTCTTTGTCACACTCATCTAAAGCATCCACGACCAGAACAATCGGCTCACCAGTCCGTTTCGGAAGCTTTGAAAATGGTTGGAAGATGAGTTTGTCAAATTGTTCCCTCAGTGTCTTCTTCACTATTCCAGGATCTTCCTCCAGCGTCTTTTTCACGTGATGTGATATTGCTGGTTCCCTGGCTACAATATCGGCAGCGATTGATGTCACAAACCGAGTCATGTTTCCTCGGTCACCTTCACCTCTTTTAAAAAAGAAGCTGGCTCCTAACCGGCCCTTTCTGGTCAGGTCTCTAGCCATGGTACGAGATATTGTGGATTTTCCCGTTCCTGCCATGCCATTGAGCCAGAATATCGCCTCTGAATCCGAGTCATCTGCCCACGCGGATAGCTGCTGAAGTAAGTCTACTCTGGTGTTGGGCAGACATGTCGGATTCCGTCCTTCCTCGTAAGAATCAAATGTAGCGCCGGTAGCCACTGGGAGCTTGTCAAGCAGCACCGTCTGTTCTATATTAAGAATAATCTCACTGTAGTTTAATTCTTAGTGAGCAAGCGCCTATCAATTCGTTCGGGGGGTGAGCGGAATACTAGCACTAACGTTTGGTCAATTTGCAACGCAAAGTTCATAGTCTGCGTGCATCTTTCGATGTCCGATACGAGCTTTTGTGCCTCAGTGCTTTGAAACGGCCATTTCAAGGCGCGGAAGCCGAACCGTTTCATTGTCTGCCGTGTCGGACTTGGCTCGAGTCGCCTGCCCAGCTTCTGCAACTGCTCTTCAGCTTGCCTCGTAACGACGACCAAGTCTTGAGATGTTTTCAGCCTCTCCCCATTATGGCTCTCCAACAGGTGTCTCACGCCTTGGGCGGCCTTTCGCAAGTGCGCCACCGCCTGGGTGAGTCGCTCCACATCATCGCGGGCATTCTTGACGTCTTTGGAGTACTGAAACAATATCGAGCCGATTTTGGAAGCAAGTTGGACGACCGCGATGATGTTGGCAGCAGCACCGACCGCCTCCATTTTGGCGATGGGTGAAGACGAGAGACAATCTGCATGCGACGGGATTTTGAATGCCGGTTCGCAATATTGACGCCAGGCAGTCAGTGAGGGGTTGTCTGTTGTCAGCCTCAAGGCATATTAGGTAAGATCACTGTCGCGTCTGCATGGATATTGCTGTACTGCCTCATCATAGCCCCTCCATAGCCCTGGATAATCGGAAATGCTCCAACCGGGGTTCGGAGGCGATTTCCCACAGGCCTAAACTTGAAGACCCTTGAAGCGGGTCATCTGTAGTTAACTATCGCTACCACTCTTCGCTACAGCTGGACGTTATGTCCATGAATGAAAAGATGGTTTCAATGAAACAGCCGTAAATGGTAGAGGACAATTCGCATGTTGCATGGTATTATTTCAGTTTGACGTTATAATATATTAAGCTATCATTGGCATCTAAAGACTACATTAGTATTATATTTTTATTCTAATACCGAGTTTCCATCCATCAAGACGCAATACAGTCACGGTTGTAAAACGTTGTGCTCGAACGCGAGGCCGGCGTGAAGCCACTCAACTCCCGGGTCGCCCTGAACATGTAGCATATTCCGCTGAGGGCATCCCAACTGAACGAGACGCAGCCCATGTTGATGCCAACGCATGTCTGGTAGCAAGCTGCGGCCTGGGGCACGGGGCCGCTAGCTCTAATGTAGGCGGGGTTGGAGCTGTCGGAAACCGCGCTGCCCATGAGGCCGCAGTCCGCGTACTTGTCAGGGGCCCTGAGGCAGCCACCGTCGTAGAAGTTGATCGTGCTGGCGGAATCCGCTGCAAATCCAATTTGGACGAGGGATCCCTTGTACAATACGCATTCCTGGGTGTTCGTGTTCCAGGAGGCGGCACCGCAGTACTGGTAGGCGTTCTTACAGTGCTCGATGCAGGAGCGGAAGGTGACGGGTGTGGGCCATGGCGAGTCGTATTGCGATCGAGGCCGGACGTAAGACGCCGATTCAGAGGCAGAGAGGCCGTTGCCCGCTGTGCCGAGTTGGACGCACTCTTGGGTGCGCAGAGGGGCCAGGCTGGACGTAGTTGTGGAAGCAGTGAAGGAACTGACCGGAACGGATCCGCTGCCAGAGCCGTAGTCGATAATGTACTGGTCGATGGTGGCGGGAGTAACCTGGTTGGACAGGAAGATGGAGTCAATCAACACCGAGGCCGAGCCACCGATATCACAACGCAGGGAGAAACGCAGTACAGGGTTTGCCTGAGAGGGTCGTCCTTGCTTGGTCACCTGGATGTAAGCTGTGGGTGAGGTGTCGGGCTGCATGATAAACGCCGACCAGAGGGCCTGGTCATCGAAGAAGGCCAAGAGGCGGCAGTCATTCTGGGTTGTCGAGCCGGTTACAATGCTGTAGTAGAAGCGCAAGGTGTAATCGGTATTGACGTCGAGCCCAGTCAGGCCCTGGGAGATGGACACCAGGTTACTGGCGGCTGCTTGACGCTTGAAGTTGCGGCGAGCGGGGGCTTGGGAGCTGGTGCCGCTTCCGGTAACCTTGAGCTTCGCGCAGCCCGTTTCGCTCGTGCTTTCGCCAGTGTAACCGTCGGTCGAGTCGTGTGATACGTCGCCATCGGTTGTGAATCCGTCGGTATTACGGGCGAGGTTGCCGTTCTGGACGGCATTTGTTACAACAGCATCTGACGCAGTAGTCAGTGGTGTCGTAGGTGTTCCAGCAGAGCCACTTGTAGAAGTGGGTGTGATTGCCGGCGTTGTGCTCGTAACAATGCCAGTATTCGTAGAGCTCTCGCTAGGAGTTGCGGCTGAAGAAGAGCTTGGCGTGGTCTCGACGGGCGTGCCAGTCCCAGCACCAGTACTTGGGGTGTTGGACGCAGAGCTCGTCTCCACTATGATGCTCGACGAGGAGGAGGTTGTCTCAAAGCTGAGGCTTGAAGGTGTGGTCGAACCGGAGTTGCCCACTGACGTACTTGGTGTCGCTGTCGAGGAGACACCTGGCGTATCAGTGCTGGCATCGGACGGTGTATTACCAGTCGCGGAGCTGGGGCGATGTACACACTTCTTCGCTGCTACGGCCTGAAAGGCTCCCGCGAGCGCGAGGGCTGCCAATCCCACTGTGGAGCGCATGGTTGGCCGTGTTTGAATTGACAGGAAGCGAAGAAGCTATCTGGAAGGTCTTGAGTTTGCCAACTGCCACCAGAAATCAGCTGCAGAAACCACGGCGAGACTGGCATTGATATATTGGCTTCCCAGACCCATGCTTTCCTTGCCAACTATTGCTACTAGCGACTTGATAGTCGGGATCGACGCATCCATGCCCCTGAGCTAGACACAGTAGCGTCAGTCACGATGCTCCAGATGAGTCTAGACATGGTAATAGCGGGGAATAGCAAGATGGAGAAATGAGAATGAAAATTGGAATGAGACCGAGGCCAATCGGGCGAGAAGGTACAGTTTTCTATCTGTTGTTGTTTCAAAATAGTGCATAACAGGCCGTGTTGGGTTTCAAGGCACTTGAAATCCGTCGCTGTATCTCGCGAGGCGAAAGTTCTAATTGAGTGTGGCCCTTTTTCAAGGCGCGCCCAGAGAATACGGTCACGTGATGATTCAGGCGCATTTTGAGTTGGCAGCTTACCTACCCTAGACCCGCTCAATCGCATGCACGGTTGGGCAGAGATGGAACATGGCGCAAAGGACTAAAAAAAGTGCATAAATATAGCTGAGCAAGAGAGAGAGAGAAAAACATATAGAAGGCAGCGGCAATCCTTTTAAAGACGGAAAATAATCGTGGTGGAGGATTTGAGTCTAGAACGTTCATTATCGTGTAACGCTTTGAATGGCGAAGCGCCCAGAACACTGGAGCAATCCCACAACCATCCTTGCTACCCCAAGGAAGAGCGTGGAGATCTGAGTCCGCACCAAGTCATGTCCCACGTGGTACATTACATTACGGTATACGATTTGTCGTTAAAAAAAAAATCCGGTTTATAGCTGGGAAGACTTTGTTGTTGATAGAGGTGTATTGTTCAACCAACCGTAGGAGGGGTTTAGGTGACGTCACATCACGACAGCACCCAAGAAATTTCCAGTCTCCAGCGAGTTCCAGGATAAAGCTACCAAGGAACAAAAATGGCTGCGAAAGTCTTTGATCAATGCACCAAACAAGTCTTAGACATCCAGGTCTTTGACCAGATCCTGGAAATGGACGAGGACCCAGTTCAGCGGGAATTCAGCACGGAGATTGTCTTCTCTTTCTTCGAGGAAACGCAAAAGGTTTTGGCATCTATGGAGGAGGAAGTGTAGGCTTTTCCAGACACAAAAGAAAGAATCGCTGGGAAAATTATAGAAAATAGGTCTTAATTTCATAGCTAGCCGCTAATCAGTCGTTGTTGTAGTGAGCAAGCAAACTTTCCAACCATAGCCTGCTTAGGCGAACGGATCAAGGGATCCGCAGCGACTCTGGGCTTGGAAAAGGTCAGCGAAAGTGGGAGAAAAATTCATTGCTTTGGGTTCAGAAGGACCGAGGATGGAGCGTCTCATGAGAGCGACGATAGCCGGAGCCTCGGTCGGATTCGCAATGAGATAGCCGTCATAAGACATGAGCTTGTCCAGGCACGCAGAGCTTTGAATGATGTGTTTGAGTTCAAAGACAACAGAAAAACAGTTGAAAGTAAGGTTTGATGTTTTTTTTTCAATACCAAAGATAAAGAAGAATAGCATGAGAGGAGTATTATTATAACGAGCCATTGTTCAACTTGGAAAAGTCGATCCGGGATCCAAGAATCCGAAAAGATAATTTCGTCATCTCTCTCTTTTTTCTTTTTGGGAGTGGCCGGGTGACCAGCCAACATTCCAAACCATGCGGTCAGCAAATTTCTCCGACAGGTTCATTTCCTTTCTTATTTCTTTTTTCATCGGAAAATTGTACTGGCTCAATCTCAAGAGAGGTGAGCCCCGAAAAGTCACATCAATCTTACAAGCCTCGTGCGTGGACAGCGCCGACTGCCCGGGATATTGTTGGATATCATCAGGTCGAAGCTCGTCGTTTCCTGGTATTGCGATATGACGAGGAATCAAGTTCTATGACATTCTACGTACAAAGGAGCTTATTCCTCTATGTATCTGTGGGGTCCAGTTTTGGGCATCAATTGTTCTCAGCTCTCAAGTGGCTTGCATTAGGTGATTCATGCTGACAGGCTCCAGCCTGATCACGTACTCAAGTGTGAGGTAAGAGTACTTCGAAATACCCCGACTGTGGACAAAAGCCCTTCTAAATGTTACTGTTGTGGCGGTAATGTGACCCCAAGCAGCGACACGTGCACCACTGTGAGACCATCCTGTTTGCTCAAGGCGTCACGGCCGTAGGCACCAAGTCCCCCGTCCTTCATAATGGGCCTGACCGTGCTACAATTAGGCTCCCGCGGGCAGAAATTGCAGGGAAATTGCATATTTTCTTTTGTATTCTGCATCGCTGTGTAATTCTCTCAGTACCTGCCTGGGATGCAACGTCTCCTCACTCTCTTCTCCAGTGGCTAGAGGATGAAGCTGGGAGGTGGTGATCAAAGCCCCTATGATTGAGATATAGTTAAAATATATTAAATTAAGAAATATGGGTAAAGCTATAAAAACGAGCGACGAAGGAAGCGATAGAAAAGAAAAGTAAACATAAGAAGAAAGATAAGAAGGAGTGTGAGAAAGGGAATCATTCAATAGCCAAAACAATACCTGTGCCTTATTCCTTTCGTTTACCAAAGCATCCAACTGACCAAATTCATGAAAGCGTCATCTGTGTCCTCGACCGGCCCCTCGCTTCTTCTACCCGACTCCCGGAACTCCCGCGCCTTGGCCCTGAGTTCTGACACCTTCGCAGCGTCAGAGCCATTGCGCTCCGCGACGCGAGCAAGAAACCAACACGCCCTAGCTATGTGAGGATACAGCACAGGACTCTCCCCTTCGCTCATATCGATGATTTTTCTCAAGACACTCGACGCTATGTCAGGAAACCCGCGATCTTCTAGTATAGTAGCAACTAGGAAGAGCGAGTCAGCCACCCTGGGACCTCCATGTGGTCCATAAAAGGTGCGCCTCATGGTAATGGCATGTGAGGCTAGCTCCTGGGCTTCTACTGCCTTGCCTTGTGCCCAACATATACGAGCAAAAAGCATGACATCCCCGCCGTAATTTGAATCCGGCGACGCCTCAACGGACTCTAGTCTCATCTCCCGGTCCCGCCAAAAGTGTTGGAGACATTTGACAGCGTCATCGAGCTTTTTCGCTCTGAGATCTATAAGTGATTGGATAGCTCGAGTTCGGGGGATGACATAAGGCTTCTGGCGACCAGCCTCTGAATCCAGGTGTAGGTACGCTTTATCCACATAGATGGCATCCGCTCTGCTTAAAAATGCTGATGCTTTATCGACATCTCCTGTCTCAATGTAAGCGAGGGCAAGCGAATCACACGCCTTTGCCACACTTGTTGAATTGGGTCCATGCCGATCCTCGAGGATGTTAAGAGCGCTGTTGAGCACATTCAGGGCAGCACGTGGCTGGGCAAGATCCAGAAGGGCGTGGCCCTGCAGAGTATACGTGCTCGCGAGGAAGTCGGCAGACATTCGCACCCCGAACATAGGGGAATGGTGCTCTTTTAGAACGTAATCGACAAAGTATGTGGAAAGGTCTGGTTGTTGGTTCTCTTGAGCATACCTGAAGTGCAAAAAGTTAGTCGAGAACAGGACCCAGGGTGTTCAACACTGACCGGCCTGCCCGCAACACAAGCTCTATCCAATCCTTTTTCCTCTTCGGCCGAATTTTGATATTTCTTGTTACTTCAATAGCTCGCATCATATGTGGCAGCACAACCTCGCTTGCCTTGAAAGACTCGTAGCCTAGTCGTGGGTTTTCCGTAGCCCAAAGGTCGGGAAGCGATTTGTCGAAGAGTCGAGTGGCATGACTAAATGCAGAGTTGACTTGGTCCTCTTGAATTCCTGTGTATGGGCTGTCAAGGGATAGCACAATGTTGTTCCTTTCGTCGATGTGAATAATGGACCGATCGATTAGTTCGGCGATGGCCTTGTCGAGTCTGAACGCGATTGAATTAGCTTGGATGATATTATAGCCATAGAAGAGGGAAAGGTACTGTTCTTTGTTCTTGAGGAACTGATATATCTGATTCTCTACCGTAAAAGCGGGTGTAATAAGCAATGACCTTGGTATGCATTTGGGATTGAAAAAGAATAGGAGGTCCACGACGCTTTTGGCCGTGCGGGAGAGGTTTGGAGCGTTTGGATCTAGCGTCAAAGGCTTGTAAGGGGTAAAAGCCATGGTTCGATGATGCCTTTTGAAAGGAGTGTTAGAGTCAAACTAAACACACTCGACCTGAAAGATAGGCTCCCACCGGGGGGATTTACCCTCAGGTCTAGCACGTATTGAATTTTCAATAACTTGAGAGTTGCGGATGTTTTTGTGTCTGCGCCTCTGCAATACTGAACGAAATTCAAGCTCGGGATGCTAGAACGGTATTCGTAACTTGAAATGACCCAGGATTAAAGAATGGTCCATATGAAGCTTACGGAGTGGGATTGGGGATGGAGAGCCTAATGTGGCAGAAGAGGGGAAGAGAACATAGTTATTAAACCCCGCCTCACTTTTCTTCTTTGTGACCTTTCTTCCCGTTGGTCAAGCTCAAGAGTCATCAGTCCTCAGCCCGACACTATCGGTCTGAATTACTTGCATTTTCAGCCCATCATTATGCAACATTCACTAATATTTCCAGTCATGGGACCACAAGCTGAACTGACCTGTCACTTAATGTACAGTGACAGATAATCTCCCGGATCGACGTGTATGAGAGAGTATTGGGCGGACTGAATAACACAAGATGCATTAGAGAAATGTATCCCTAGAAATATAGTCTTGCGATCAAGATAAGCTATGCTAATGCACATAGAGCGCCCGTCATTTAGATATACGTTTCACCATTCACCCTCTGCAGATGCGAATACGAACCTATTACATCACCAGGCCAACCTATGCTCTGTGCCAAAGTCCTGTCAGCACCGGATTCTGCACCCAAAATTATTATGCAGTGGCCGCGTGAACAGTCTTCGTCATCCTAATGCCAAAAGTACAAGCCCCATTGCGTCAGGCTCCCCCGCCCTTTTTGGAATGACGGCTGTTTTGTTTCAGAAACTGTTCAGCGCGCTCACTATAATATTAAAGTGAGGGGTAGGTATTGATAATGACTCGTAAGGCTACAAAGGTCAAGACGTCGGGATTTACTCCAAGATAGGATAAGAATGTGATTATGCTAGCCAAATCACATCTTGAACCGTCTTGAACATGATGATTGGGCTAATGAGTGGCCAAACGGCGAAACGACCTTCTATCCGTTTCGTAGCTCTGGTTCAGCCGTAAGTAGTGCGCTTGTTCAGACCTTACAACTGCAAAAAATCAAGGTATTTCATTCCGGTAGTGTCGCTGTAGATTGTATGAGGCACCCTCGGTATACTCGTAAGCCAATAGATAAAAGGAAGGCCACTGCGGCTATTAACTATTTTCCTGTAATCCTTCGCCAATCCCTACTGTTTTCCCTCTACTGCTGCCCGGTGTTCTCGGAGTTTTTCGAAACTATCAACAAGGAGTCCCCTGATATGTTCGGCAGAGGTCTTAATGTGCTATATTCTTCTGCATGAGCGGGACTCCGATACCTGAAGCTTTGTTTTGGGATCAAACAAATGGTTTAGGGGGCGTGTCTACCACCAGAGCACCAAACACTTTGCATGGCCGGTCCTTGGAAGCACCAGCACTGTTATGCGACAAATCGGGGACCCGCTGGCGATTCACATATATCTCCAATCTCTAACAAGTTTGTATGCTGTATCAGCCAAGGCGTTCACACGAAATTCACTTCGGGAGACCGCGGAAGAACGTCCAACCTCTGGGAGATTTTCGGGTGTTTTGAATATGCAGTCACAGCCCGACATCATGGCATTCTTGGAATCTAGCGTCGACATGAACCGTAAGCACGTTTCTGTCCCCCCACCCCGAGTGTCAAGAAGGTGGGATGGCTGGAGTTTGGCACAGCCATGTGCTCGGGCCAGCATGAGATCTACGTTTCAAGATCCTGAGGGCTGGTGCCCCTCTATCGTCATGCGCCATAGCCCCAAGCTCTTACCGAGGGAAAGCCGCGACCGGAACCCCTTGGTGCATTTCCGATGCATCACGCCAATGTTGCATTCGGTGTGCTTGTCTCATGGTCCGGGGAGCCCGGATTGCTGAGGAAACACGTGTTGGATCAATTCTAGAGCCATGGATGAGCGGGTCGGGCCATGCCTTTGGTAGTTTTGGCTAGAATAAGCCTCGTTGTTACGGGTGAAAGAGGGGGGCATCGTCCAAAATAAAACCCTCGTGGTGATCAATGCGGCATGCGAACAGCTTGTTCACGCATGCAAGGTACCCAATTGAGGGTATGGCAGCCCATAGTTTAGCATGAACGGCGAACTATATTGGACACAAAGCTGCATAGTAAAGAAGGCTGGCCACCCCAGCTGTGATATTAGATGTAAAGGCTGCCGCCATGAATATATACTCAATCGCGCCCCCGTTTTCGCCCGAAGCTGGATTGTCAATGGCGATAGACACGACTCGCAGTAGGTTTCATTACGGCCACTGTTCGAATCTAGCAAGGTGAAAATGTCTAAGCAAAATAAAATCTCGGCCGAATTGTTACGAGAGTTGATTTGTTTTGATCGTCATTGTCTCAGATTAGTATCATCAGAGTGGGTGCTGGTGATCATTAATTAAAGGATGACATGGTATGTCAGGGTTACAAACCTTCCAAACGTTTACACTAGAAGCGATCTAGCTAGATAGTAAAGGGGCTATCGAAGAATTCCCGGCCCCAAACGTGGTTCCCCTGTGTTCCCGGTGTGGAGTGAGGTGAAGGGAGAACAACTCGCTTTCCCGCGGCTAGCAATGATCTCGACTCGGGTCGCGAAGGATCAATTCCAGAGGAGGTACTTTGCTTTGTATTAGTTCGTTGTGACTAACATCCACGAATCACAAGACAGTTCAATGACTAGAGGAATCCATTTGCTAATTAGTTCTATTATTGTAATTCAGCTCCCAACTTCCGTACGCATGAGTGGGATTGGATTTGCTTGTGAAAGAATGGATGACATAGCGAAACAGCATTAACCTGTTTCCGCGTTGCCCGCCTCCTCAAGAAAGTCTCTCATCTGGATCCACGGTGGTTGGTATCCTTGGTTTCATCCTCGACGTTGTGTTTGGTTTGTCATAAACATATTCCCCTATTTATTGATGCTTTCCCTTTACCGTGGCAGAGATCAATCTAAGAAGACTAAATTTACTGGGATAGATTATATGGAATTTCTTATACCGGAAACCACCTTTGAAGCATTTTGAGCTTCGCCGAATTACGATGAGTGGTACCTTCACACCCGAGCAGCGCATTCACATTGTTGATGCATTTGCCTGCACCCTTTACCACCGTGTCAAACAGCACCCTACCCAAAACGACATCGCTGATATAATTGGAGAACTGCATGGCAGCCTTCGACGGCTAACTGTCGAGGCTAGCGATCTCAACTCCCTTCTACGAGACCCGCGAAGTGCTTACTCTGGTCAACTCCTCGCAGTCATCGACGACTGTGATGGCACTCTAAGACATCTTCAATATACACTCAACCACCAAGGCCGAGCGTTAGGTGTCATTAGATCACAGTTGTGGAGTAGGATCTCGACCATCAATAGGCTGATCGACGCCGTTCAGATGCAGCACCATCGGGGCATGCAGACAACTCCGAGACCACCAAGAGGAGGGCGCCGGGATTCGAAAGACTCAATCCCACGGCCTGGTTCTCGGAACGATCATTCATATTATCCAACTCCAACCATTTCCAAATCGAAGACGGCTCCTCCCCCAATTCCTCCCAAGATCCCTCTCGACAAACCATACAACCAAGTTGGAGATCCTCCATCGTCAGAGCCAGATAACGCGGGCTATTCATATATTCTAACGACATCGATTTCAACAAACGACACAACTGCCGAAGACAATATGGATCTCCGCTTTGTCAGGTCGCCATCACGTTCCCAGTTCCATCATAGAAGAGGCAACTCCCTCCCAATCGGGCGAATGGACACTCCATTCATACCTAGGGACTCTTATGTTTCAACGCATCTCTCTGAGCTTCCAGGTAGTTCAAGTTTTAGAACCCAATCAAGCGCATTTCCCTCCTCTTCTCCACAAAGAGGCCTAGCAATTGAACCTGGCCTGGCACCTGATAGTCGTGGCCAACCAATCCCTTTGAACGCTGAATGGACCAAAATTGACCGCGACATTGTCAGTCCTGGTGTTCTTGAATTTGCTGGGGTCAGATATGAAGCAAGGCCCTCATACGTCGCAGTGCTCGGGCGGCTTTCGAAGGATCAAGTTTCTGCGTTTGCTAGGCAGACTGCCAATTACCGAGCTGGGAGACCCATCCATCCTGAAGACTGGCAGCTCTTTAGTGCCAAAGGAAGGGTACCCAAGACACAAAGGAGGACATCCGATGGCAGCAACAGTAGTAACGCTGAATCTATCTCATCGCGTGCGACTGTTGATCCTCGTAGGAAGAGGCGTTCAACTACCGGCGACGTGCCTCCCAAGTCAGTTCTGAAGAAGCGAAGCATGAACAGGGTTCGGTTCGACCCTAACCCTGAAGAAATCAAACCCAAAACAAGTTCAGTACAAGACGATCGAGAGAAGGCCCACCCCAGCCGAAGCCAAAGCTACGATGAACGGGATCACATTTACGAACTATCAGGGGGCTCACCTCCCCGCCGTCCTCGGAGTGCCTCTCGTGCTAGTAGCCTGAATGACCGACCCCGCAGCTACTCGTACGATGTCGACCATGACTACTACTCTCCGAGCTCGGGATATGATGATTATGATCGACGATCTTACCGAAGTGATGGTAGGAGGTCGAGACTAAGTATCAGTGGCACTGCTAATCGTTTGCTCTCTGCCCTGAGCAGCAAGGGCAGTAGCCAGAACCAGAGCAGAAGAGACAGAGACTTGGCCTACAGTTAGTAAAAGAATAGGTCCCGAACAGGCGACGCGTCTTATTCCACTCGTTCAAATATTCCTTTTATATGACTCATGCTGGCCATTGAGAAGTTTTCTACTACTTGATCTCATTCATTTTGTTTGATGCTGAACAAGGCAAGATCCGCTTGCTAGAAGATAGCCGCTGTTGTTCAAGATGGAGGACAAGAACCACGCATAGATAGATTTTAGTTTGTTAAGCCTAGATGAAGATATGACAATTTATTGTGTCCAAACTTTCACAGATAAAGCTTTCTCCTACCTGAATTGCCGGATCACCGGACCATAGCCTACTTGTAGTTAGACCTTTTCTGCATGAGACTTTTACGTTGCGTTTGCTACCTAGCTAAGAGCACTGAGACTGCAAAAGAAACCCGAAACACATTTAGATTGCAGAGGGGTAGACTTCTCAAGGAATCAATGCTGCCAATAGAGTTAATTCCCCGAGCCTTCGCCTGCAATGGAAGCTTCCACGCAACCCGCCCCGGATAGTGTTAGCACCCATGACAAAAGCCTGGCTTCCAGTAAGTTCTCTAATCGCGGCTCTCGCCTATCAGTATCATTGATTGGATGGTATTGTCACTGAGATACCAGTTGACGTAAAACACATCCGCTTCCCCTAGGTAAATCACCCTAAATAGAACACTATCCCATCAAGAAGCGAATTCAAGAATAGCCAAAAGATTAACAATTGACAGTTTCTATCTTGAGCTCAATTAGCTTTAGGTTGAAGTAGCGAGTCAGCAAAATTATTTTGAGCGCAGGCTAATTCATGATGACGTGATGGGATCCAACGAGGCTTCGGGGCGAGGAGACCAGTCGGATTATTGTCGTATTTCCGCACTTACGGCGAGCCGGTTCTGATCAACATCTACAAGTCTTCCAAGCTGGATGGATTTCAGTTGGCTTTGATTTTTATTCACCACCATTGCATTCCAATTTATTGCACTTAATTGCATCGATCAACCCAACGGCACCGCAGAAATCTCATCATGGTTGTGTTGCCCTCGCCCTTTGGCGAGATTCCCCGCATTCCCTTGATGTATGATCGTCCCTCAGACATGGAATATCTCAAGAGGCTTACGGAGAAGCTTGCATGTGGTGCCGAGATCTGGATGAAGCGGGACGACTGCAATTCGGGCCTGGCTTTCGGCGGCAACAAGATCCGCAAACTGGAATATGTTTTGGCTGATGCCGTTGCCCAAGGGGCAGACACACTGGTGACAACAGGCGGCGTCCAATCCAACCACATGCGACAGACTAGTGCTGCTGCTGCACGTCTCGGAATGGGTGTAAGGAGACCAAATCGCTCGACATTACTGGAGCATTAAGCTGCCAGCAAACGAACTTCTCGCTGACCATCAAACAGGTCGCTTTATACCCACGCGATGCCGTCGCATTGATCGAACCCGAGTATTCGTATGCTGGAAATGTCCAACTGGCTCAGATTCTGGGAGCGGAAACATTCCCTGTGGGCACCACCGAGGATCAGGTCCTGGAGATCCTGAAGAGTCGCGGCAAAAAGCCGTATTCAATTCCTCCTGGCGCTAGCCTGCATCCTCTGGGGGGGCTGGGTTATGCTCGATGTGCATTTGAGATACTTGAGCAGGAGAAACAACTTGGTGTGTCATTTGATGTCGTCACTACTGCGACTGGCTCTGGTTCTACACTTGCAGGACTGGTTGTGGGCTTCAAGCTTGCACAGGAAATGGGATTACTGAAGTCGAGGAAACGATTGATTGGCTTTTCGATTATGCGCAAGCAGAGCGAGGTTGCTGAGCTCGTTCTCAGCATCGCAAGAACTGCTGCTAACCATGTCGGCCTTGACGCAAACGATATAACATCAGAGGATTTCGAGATTAGCGACAGTTATCTCGGAGGGGCTTATGGGTTATTGGATACCAGAACAACGGAGGGTATAAAGGAACTTGCTAGGGCTGAAGGGATTTTAGTTGATCCAGTTTATACCGGCAAGGCTTTCACTGGTCTGCTTGATATGGCAAGGAGAGGCCAATTTAGGCTTCGCAATGTGCTCTTCTGTCACACTGGGGGCCAAGTAGCAATGAGTGCCTATCCTCAATTAAAATAGCGATCAACTAGGTGTACACAATGCCAGTTTTTCTACTCTAACTCTATTTTATGCTTCGCTAAATTCATGCTCTATCAGGTCACTCGTAAGTATTGATGAGGGTGACATTGGGATATCAATCTAGACAATCGCGAGCCAACGCATAGACGGTAGCTTTGACCTGTACTTTGATGGAAATTATAGCGATTACACTCTGGTTTGTCAAGGCCAGAGGTTCAAGCTCCACAAGGTCATCTGCTCACAATCTGACTTGATGCATGCGGCGTTTTCCGAGGGAGGGTCGCATCCACGATATCTTCCCGGATGAGTTTGGCGCACTGACATGCACTGATAGGAGGGTGCAACAGGCCTTCTGGGGGGCCGACAGTGTTGACATCACGTCGATTCGGTGGCTTGTACAGTACCTGTAGACCGGAGATTGCGACCCAAAGGTGCCTGAGATGGATCTTTTATTTTCAGAGAAACGGTCCGACGCAGAAATCTCCGAGAACACACACATGCATCTTCAGATAAAGATTGTAGCTGACTACTATAAAGCTCCCTGGTTCGACTAAACTAACGAACGATAGATCGAACGATAGAGTGGAACAGATGCTGGGAAAACATTGACGCCCTAATATATTTTGCAATATCTATTACACCAGAATTTGAGAGACATGATATATGGTGTAGCTGCAAGAAGGATGACGAGTTGGTGAAAGAGCCTAAATTCAAGAAGCTGGAGGCTATCGGATCGCTTGGTTACGAACTTTGTCAGGTTGTATCTCCACTCCAAGGAACTAAAAGGCGACGTTGAAATGGGGACGATGACATGTATCGAGGCTGTTCTATCAAACGTCGTGCTAGGAAACACCACGTAGGACTCTATAGTGAAATACAATCACCACCGTTCGATTGAATGATTCGAGGCATGTGTAATTCGTAACAATGATAGATACGTGTCGCTTTCGACCGTGATATCCCATAGCTCTTAGTAGTCGAACGAGCCAAAGTTTCGCGTCTTGGTCTTCCCTCTCACTAAAGTAAAGATAGTTGAGATCGAATTGACGCCGAGGAACTTTTGGCAGACTTGGTGGTGAGGGCTTTGTATATTCGACTGACTGATGCTGGGTTACGGTCACAAGTATGCCCAAAGCGTCAGGTAGGAATGGACGAGAAGAGTGCATTATTTTTCGGAGCACAAACCATCTCTCGGAATAATTAGGCAAATTCATGCAATAAGCAATGTAAAAGGTCGTATTATCGGTTGGGCACCAACGTGCAAAACCTGTCATTGGCGGAACGCCTTGCATGACGCAAGGCAGCATGCTCTGAGGAATACTTCAGACACGGCCACTTCCCCGCGATGTTTCTTTCCCCGCTCTCTTTATCTTTTCACCGTGATCGGCCCATTTTTGGCAAGTTGAAAATGATGGCTTTATCTACGCCTCTCCATCAGCCAAATGTCGAGGTCCAGCAGGCGAATACCCCAGATGAACCTCAGTTCAATATTCTAAATACAACAATATTCCCTACGGAGACCGTTGGCCTAGATCAATCTCAGTCTCGCCTGACGGAGTTTCATGAATTCTCTCGTTTCCCAACCGAGATCCAGCTGCGTATCCTGGAGCTTATACCGTCGCCCAACACCAAGCGACTGCTCACCATCCACCTCCATGAAGACCCAAGAATTGATGAAGAGTCTCGAAGCTCATCACCGCAGAGATCTTTGTATACAGAATCAAATGATTTGGGAAATGTCATCAGCGGGTTTAGATATCGCGTTACACTACCTCACCCTCCTATTGGTAGCATCTTGCTCCAAATTTGCCATAAATCCAGAGAGTTAGCCCTTCGAAGATATCGTATCCGCCTTCCCATGAATCCCGGGAATCCCTACAACAACGAGTATCTTTACATCGATCCGGAGAAAGATGCTCTCTACCTTGACTCATTCCACGTGTTGCCTTCAACTCTGGCTGCCTTCTTGCACGATCTTCGGGCATACGATGATCAAAGAAGCGGCCTCTGCAACCTCGCAATCAACACCCAATTTGATGATAACCTCGGGCTTCTGCATTCTGCTACCCCCGACTTCTTGCAGCCAGCGGAGGTGGAATCATTTAAGCAAAGTCTTATGGCCCTGGAGCATCTATGGTTCATCCACCTGCTCGATAATGACAACAGATACACGTCCCCACCACCAACGCAGCCATTTACCGGCCTCAGTTCGTTCTCTGTTTTCAAAAGACCAGTCGCTCACGCTGTGCCTCTTTTTGCCGAAGCTTCTGAGTTCCATCTCATGCCCGCCGACCCTCGCCAGCTTAAGCCTTCCGACTTTGAGCTGGTGCGCTTCTCCAAATATTGTAGCCCAAAGGCTGGGTGCCTTCAGTGGGAACGCATGGAGAATGCATTGGGCATGACGGCAGAGAATGGATCGCTGCCACAGCGCGAGATCTCGTATGTGATTGCCGTTGACGCAACGGCAAACCACTCCGTGTGCTCGCACCGAGAGCACAGCCAGTGCAGGGAACACTCTGTACGCAGCATCAGTTCCTTGGAAACTTATCTAGCAAGGGAGGGGCACAAAGAGCTGTACCAGGTTGGCGGCTTAAATGAGACCGAGAAGCCGCAGGAGGTATCAGTTGCAGGCTTCTGGGTCTTTCCAGTGGATGTGCTTGATGGGCAAGAACCTCATCATGCTGGAGTGCATTCCGACATGGATGTAGTAGATTTCTCCAACAGAAGCCCAGCGCTAGGTGTGTTTTATTTGCCAAAAGGGTCTAACAGAATGACGACCTAGGTTTCTGAGCTTGGTCAGGGAGGAGACCTTACGATGCATGGCTTTTGTCATTTGTAGGGAATGCGAGGTAATTAACAACGGGATTCATTCTTAGTTCTGTGTGGTGACTTCCTATATCCATTCTCTGCGATCACCCTTCTTAAGGGATATGTAAAAGTGCTCTGGTCTGGAGAATGTTCAAGTATCTCTAGCACGGCCATAAATAGTGACAGAGGACTTTAAATCAATGAATTCAAATGTTTCGGATAGATCCATTCAACTCTTTCATTTCCAGTCAAGGAGTGAATTCGAGTTACTTGAGCGCCATGTCCCAACCTCGAATACTCTCCTCCTCGTCCTTCCTTAACCGAATACCAAAGTAATCGCGCAGTGCTTTGATACGTTCTGTCTCTGACTTCATAGTGTGAACAATGTTCGTCTTTCCTCCAAGATTCACTTTGATCACATCGCTGACCAGCATAACCTTTCCAACAACTTTGACTTGATCGACATCGCACTTTGGCTTAAACTTGTCATCGAATAACACATCTTCTCCTTCTCTGAGAAAGCGAACGACAATGACATTCCATCTGTGCAGTGTTTTAGCGCTTGCAAACCAATTCATGACTTCGAAATCCTCCTGGAAGAACTCAATCTCGGCAAAGCTGTAGAAAGAATTCCAATCAAGGTGAGTGCCGTTTCGATACTGGTATATCCATAATGGAGATCTCAGTCCCTGCTTCGGAATTGTTTCATGCACAAGTCGGACTTGCTGGGCACCCAGGTTCTGCACAGGGTTTCCAGACTCTACCATCGGCAGTGGATTGATAGGCCCGTCACCTCCAAAAGCGACATCAACCGAGAACTTGTCACCCGATGGCAGGTGTACTATGTTGTTGATGTGCGTCCTATACGTAGAGGTCAGTAATGAAATCTCCTGTGAAATTAGATCGCATGTGAAGCTTACCATCCTTGGTACTCTCCTCCAGGCACACCATTTGTTCGTGTACGATTTCTAATCCCAGTCATATACACGTGAAAGCCGAGACCGCGGAGCATGTGGTAGAAGAAGATACTCAATTCCATACAATATCCGCCTCTACCACCATTCTCGGGTCCCATCAGCTTACGATAGATAGACTCGGGGGTAATGTCGACTAGATGGGTCTCAGAGTAGTGGACTGATAGGTTCTCATACGGAAACGTGGTGATTTGGCATCTCATCAAGGTGCGCAGAGACTCCTCAGTCTTTGGGAACTCTTGCGGGGATTGAGTATATGACGCAGGCAGTTGGATGCGCCCTAGCCATCTCGAAATCTGGTCCTGGGAGTAGGCAGATTCAGGGAGCCCGTCTTTGAAGTCTTCAATACCCATCTTGGTACGTTTGGCAATGTGAAAGAGCAATTGATTGACGTTTGGCAAAACAACTAATCACGCATGCGGGGCGCCCTGGAACGATCACGCCATCGACGGCTTCTGATGTTAGTGTGGTATTTTGAATAGGCGCTATTTCGATTTCTCGAAATAAACAAGGCAAATCGATCGTGGGAGGGTGCTAGAGCACTATTGTGACTCAAGATCTTGACGAGCGGGACAGCCAGGTGATTGTGACTCACACGGCTTAGAGCCCGGCGGGGAGCAGAAACCCACCGCTTCTCACTACTACTGCACAAATGGAAACCATGTTCATCATTCTTAAATAAAATCAATCAAGACGTTAATATAGAAGTATGGAAGAAACTTATGAGCGTTTAGCGAGCTGACTGGTCAGCGTGAAACCCTCACCATTGAGCTAAGGATCAAGGCCAGAGATTTCCGCGTCAAATTATGCAAAATGGTTAATCCAAGAGGTATATTGCTCAATGTCGAATCTGGACCGAATGATATCCGATATAGGATCAAGAGAGTCAATCGAATTATCTACGTTCCTGTGTTGAATCCAGACATTATTCCAGAAGACAGACGAACGTATGGACCATCAGCAATCGACGAGCTCAGTAAACTTGAAGAATGGAATGACGACTCTTGGAATACTCTTCAAGTTGACCAAGATGAGAACGGAGTTAAGTGTTATAAGGATGTGGCACACCCTCATTCTGTACCAGTGCACTATTTACTACGCCGCTCAATTTATGACATTTCGACTCTCAGGGTCATTCGTGAGTCCAAATACCGGACTTCTGAAGTCTCTCATAATGGATAGGCTGCATTTCTCAAAATCGCACGATTCCCACACGAGCTAAAATGGATAATCCAAGAAATTCAAGCTTACCATGCCTTAGCGGGATCCTCATTGGTACCGAAGCTGCTGGGATACGTTTCCGAGTCTTCGTCTGCGGCCCGGATCATCGGGTTTTTGGTTGAAAAGGTCAATGGCCGTCACGCTGATTTGGAGGATCTTGAGGTTTCCGAGGCAGCGCTGGATCGGTTGCATATTTCTCTTGTTCATGGCGATCTGTGCAAATATAATATCATCATCACTGATAAGGGACCAAAGTTCATTGATTTGGAGGATTCAGTCTTAGTCGGGGCAGATTCTTGGTCTGATGAATTGAGACAGAAGGAGAAGCAAGGCCTGGCTACTAAACTATCAAATACATCTGGACTCGGGCGTCCCTGGGAATGCCAGACAGGATAAATCTTCTTTGGAGCTAATGACGAAGCTTTAGGTAGCTTAAGACTATGTAATGTCTATGGTCTCCTTTGAACATTCCACCCTGGCTCTGAGCCGAAGCTGTAGAGGGGGAATCGTCGAGATGCCGATCCAAGGGCCAGGGTTATTGTCTAATGATGAGAACCCCAAAAACATCCTGAGGACGGTTTTTATGTGATTTCTGCTCCACAGTGTACCCACGAAATGAGGATTGATGTCGAACAGCCTGCCCAGAATTTGGTAGTTGAGCCGGGCCAGTATTGCGCCGTTGAGCGCAGAATTTACCCAAACGGGAATGATCAGGAAAAAACAACACGGCGTAGTCCCTGCTCCAGCAAACATGGAATTTATTTATAACAAACCTGCTTGCCCAGGTCTGGATTTTCGGATCTAAAGGCCATTACAAAAAGCCTCTTTCCCTCATACTTTACACGTATTCAAATCATCAATCTACATCTACGCAACAAAGAAGCTCCCCTTACCTCCAGATTCCCAGAGCATCATGTCCAACCTCAAGACTATCGCATTCTTCGGCGCCTCTGGCGGCTGCGGCCTTGCAGCTCTTAAAGAAGCCCTCCAAGCGGGACATACTTGCATCTGCCTCCTCCGCACACCGTCCAAGCTTGCAGATCTTGGTGCCGCGTCGCCCAATCTTATCATCCGCAAAGGCAACGCCCACGACGCAAACGCCGTAGCATCTTGCCTCACAGTGCCAGGCGAGCACCGCCTAGTTGACGCCATATCATTCTCCATCGGCGCTGTCATGGACCCAAAGACTAGAAAATTTACTGATGCAGACGTCTGCAAGAGAGGAATTGCGTCCGTCCTTGAAGCAATCTCCATGCTCCGTCACGAAAAACAACTACCAGGGAGACCACTCATTGCAACAGTTAGTACTACTGGTATTTCAGATCAGAAGCGAGACTACCCTATTGCGCTGCACCCCATGTATCATTACATGCTTTCCACGCCCCATGCGGATAAGAAGGTCATGGAGCAGCGTCTGCGAAGTAGCAGAGAGCGATTTGTCCTCGTGCGTCCCAGCCTTCTCATGGATGGCAACAAGGGCAACGCCACGATCAAGGAGGGAGTGGAAGATGTCATGTCAGCGGTGTTGGAAAGCTCAGCAGTCGGCTATGCAATCTCTCGGGGGGCTGTTGGTTGGTGGATTTACAACAGACTGCTTAAGATGGACGAAGTCGATGTGCGGCACATGGAAGGGAAGGCTATCTCCATTACATGGTAATATGAATAAAGTGGTGTGAGGAGGTTGCTTTTTGGCTCTCGAGCATATGGGGTCTTACCACTGTAGTCTCAACTGAGCATAAATAAACTAGATAATGAGTGCTTGGTGCTAATTTCAACACGGCCGATATCGATAATTCCTTCGATGCTATTTGCTGCAATAAAATCCAATTAAATTATTACCTTGCTCTTGGAGGTAAATATCATGGTATGAATTTATTGCTACGAGTCACTTTGACCGTTTTCAGCATTCTCCCGCTCACTATTGCGACGACTACAACGAAAAAGCAATGAATTTTTAGACAAATATATTGATATAGGATAACAACTGACTGCAAAAAGGCGTCTGGGAGCAAAAAGCTAATTGACCCGACCACGCCAGGAGTCGAACCTGGAATCTCTAGAGCAGGCGAGGAAGCCGAAATCTAGCGCCTTAGCCATTAGGCCACGCGGCCAATTAACATGAAAAATCCGATCGACAAGTTGAACGAGTTCCTTCCGACAGGCCTGCCTCGTCTCGGGAGACACAGAGAACTGGTCACAGAAGAAGGGTATCTTCCGAAGAGCCTGTTGAGGGTCTAGGCCATATTAAACAGTGTCTCAGGTAGTCAATCATCTCACCAATCAATAACTCCTCAAGTCCCGATGGGTGGGCGGTTCTGTCCCACCTCCAAAGACTCAACCTGGTCAGTATCACTACAAATCCTCTCCCTCAGCTCGGAATGGCGGTTAGCAACCTAAAAATCCCCCGTTCCGTCTCAGTAATGTCTTAGAAGTAAATGGTCTATTGATCCACCTAAACACTGGCTGGTTATACCGGGCGCCTAGCGGGGCCATCCTAACTAACTTTCGGGAAATCCTTTGGAATGAGAACCTCTTCCCATGCTTAGAGCAACAGAAGCAAGGTTCGACTGCTTTTGGGATAAACATGAGCAGATCATAAGGGAGGCCAAAGGCAGTCAGAGAAGTAGGAAGCCCCCCAATGTCTCCCGTACCGGTCGATCGGGTCATCCACCTTCCACAAGATGCGGTCAATGCCATTGTCCAGTAAGACATGTCTTTACCGCTACGGGACCAGAGGAGATGCTCCGGCGTATTAGCTTGTGAGATGACAGACAATCATCCCCAATTATCAGCCAGCCACAACATTCCACCCGTCCAGAATGAGACTGATGAAAGTCCCGGGAAATTGAATACTCGAGTGTCTCTCGGGTTATAAATATCACCCCAATCTCCCCTCAAAGTCTTTTAGCCTGCGAGAAGTAGGCCACTGCTCCGATTCCCAAGCTCTACTACTAGATATCTCTACAATCCCCATCATGCACGCCAATCTCCTTATCAAGACGGCTGCCCTCGCCCTGGTCGCCGCCAGAGTTGCCAGCGCGGAGTGCTTTGCCTGGGACCAGCCTGCCCTGCACTGCTACAACGGCCCCTGGGACAGTCCCCAAGATGTCTCGGTCGAGGACGTCACCTACATCGGAAATTATCTCCGCGCCCACGGCCTCGACGGCAGCAAGTTCTGGTCCATGCCCGCCGAGGACAAGGCCAACTGCCAGGAGTGGGAGGTCTACACCTACCGGTCGGCCAGGCTGCTTGCGAAGCACATCGCCCCAAAAGCCAACTCGTCCGTCCTCTATGAGGATATCGCAAACACCATCGACGGCGGCGCTTCCCGAGATGAGGTCGGCCCCGCTATTATCCAGTGCTTGGCGGACGGCGGCTTCGCTGGTGTGATCTTCAATCCCTTGAATCCCGTCTACAACACCGACGAGTACAAGAAGGAGCGCAAGACCCCCGAGGGTATTCTCCTCAAGATTGTTACCACCGTTCCCGAAGAACTATAAAGCTTTTCAGCCGACGCCAGTTTGGCTATCAACGCTGTGGGATGAGGGACTTGGAAGCATCGATCTGTTCGTTGGGGCATGTTGGTAGATCTCCTTGGCCGATGCACTATTGTACATTAGTTGTGACCTCAATAAACGTGCATGGCCTAAATATGTCACCAAGATAAATCAATTGATGGCTTGCGTGCCTGAGGTCAGATAAAAATATTACGTGAATTCATCGGGTGCCATGAAAGATGGAGGACCCATCGTACAAGAAAGTCTAGAGCACCGACAAGCCGCATCTAGTTCCAAGCAAATCCTCGATCCAGCCATTCTCATTGCGTCCAAGATGCTGTAGCTCGATGTCGCGAAAAGTAGAAGTGACCCAGAGGATTATTACTCAAGTTGAAGACGCCTTATTCACCCAAATAATATACAAACGCGCCGTCAATAAATTACCCATGTAAGCCCAAAGAAAAATGCCAACGTTGCTCATCCGACTTGTAAATCAGTTCCTACCCGCTATGTCAGTGTTAGGGTCTGCTCCATCGGCAGGATGGGGAAGGGGGAAAGTCAACATACAGCAATGATAGTTCCAAGTCACCATGGATTCTGGCTTTCAGCTGAATTTCGATCTCGAGGTTCAGGTCCAGCCTTAGCTTGAGCGACTCGCTCTTGCCGCCGCCTCCTCCCGCGACACCTCCTCCCGCGCCCGTTACTCCGCTGACGGCATTTTGTGCAGTGTTGGTAACGTCCTTTGTCGGTAGGGAGTCGAGGCCGCCGAGTGCGGGGAGAGACTCCAGTGCGTTGTCGCCGCTGCCCTTTCTGCTCTTCTTCTTCTTCTTTTGGCCTAGGAGCTCGGACATGTCGATTTCGGTGGGGGAGTACGGGCTGTACTCCTGGTTGGGGTAGAGTGGGATTAGAGGGTAGAAGCAGAGCGGATGGAGTGGGCGAGAGGTAGCGAGTATCCAAGAGTCTCTTTTATTCCTGATCATTCCCCCCTTTTCTGCTCATCATGTACTTCAGCATAGTGTATTCCTTGATTCTGGCTTTGCTGACAGTTCATGGATGAGTTGCTCTCATTGGTGGAGGCGGTGGCGATCATCGGCCAGGTCGTCACGATCTCGATCTGGGGCTACGTCATGCACAAGCTGCTGACCCGCCTGCAAACCGGCTTTGGGGTGCGCTCGGGCTGATTGCAGCACTCCATGCATCATCGTACATCGAGAACGACGTAGCTTGGATGGTAAAGTTGCCAGATACACCGTTGATGGGCCATGGCATCACCGATAATAGTTTAGGGTTCGCGGTGCTTGCATTTGAACAAACCTCGCTCGGAGAAATGCGATGTCATTATGGGCACATCGTTTCATCGGTGCGGCGCAGCGCGAAGCCGTTTTGACAAGCTTTTGGTCCCTTGGCGTGAGCCAGGGCAGGACCTGAGCGATGACATATGCGCGCGTACAGAATTCTAGACCGAGGTTGGCTTTGGCTAGGTTCTGGTTGTTTTCTCGAATTGTTCCTCGCTTTCCCTTGTGATTAAAACCTTGCACTTCCATCTCAAGCATGTTCCCTTTGGTAAGCCAGAGGCTTTCAATTATGTGCACAACTGCAGACTGCAAGGTCTTCTTTCTTGCCTGAGCTGTTCCTGTTTAGTCGCCCACCAGTCATTTCTTTATTCTCCAAAATGAAGGGTCTGAAGGGTCTGCAAAAGGCTCTTGGTCCAGATTCTGGCTGTGGGGACCCTCGCCAACCCCTTCAAGCCGTCTAGCCCATCAATAACATATCTCAGCGTGAGATGGTCTGATACAAATCTCTTGGTGGTCTTGTACCTAAACAATATGCTTAGGTCTTGTCTGTCATGAGAGTTCTGAAACAAGCCCTGGTAAATAATTCCTCTGGGATCAATTACTAATTAAGTCTACTGCCACGGGGGTTACATAAATCCGAACAATTTCCCGTCCCCGAGTGCTGGTGCAGTTACTAATCTCAACTGACCACGTTGATGGATGACGACTCTTTGCTTGGCAATTGATGTTACAGGTAGCACTGCCTCACTATTATTAATAATAAACCCACGTTCGCAGGCTACCTCCTCTTATCCTTTCGCCTGACTTGCTCCGGCGTCAAAGCGAGAGAGAGCCTCGTTAATTGATCATTTTTCGGAGTGGGCTAGGGTAGGTCCTTGCTGGAGTAAGGGAGGCATTATTGGCTGGATGATGTCTTCCGAGGCAATAAAAAATGAGGCTTTGATGCAGCGGTAATTCACAGACGCCGTTTAGCGGGTTTGACCCCGCTAGTTCTCCCCGCAGGTGTCTCAAGTAGCCTGAAGCACAGGGACAGCTGCTGGTATTTTTAGGCCAGGCCCATCGGGATCAATACCCGCTCCCCAGCCGCATGCAAAATGGATATCACGGATCATCTGTGCCAAAGGATATATTACTTCGCAGTTCCTCAGTACATTAGTTTGGTCGAAATCCAACGGCCTCTTGCCACTAATGACGCTCTAGTGCTTCAAACGAGCCGTTGCTCTTCTCAGTGGAAACAACCCGGAAACATCGCCGACACCGGCTGGAATGGCTTAGCGCCGGGAGTAATCCGTTGGCCGTTGCAGCCAATTAATTGACAGTGCGTCAGACCACGTCTTTAATTACGCACTTCTCTCACATGCATTTCATCCAGCTCTGATCTTATCGATCGCCACTCATCCACACCCGTCTCTATCCCCTGCTTCGGCTATACTCCCCAAGAACAGCATCTGGATCTTGTCTCAGCTCCTTGCGCCATGCCGTGCGGCCAGCTAGACAAGCGGCGAGGCGGCCACCGCTGCTCCTCGTGCCGGAGGAGCCACATGAAGGTCCGTTGAATCTGCGACTCCGGCCCTTGCCTCGAGGACTGACTGACCGTGAAATTAAAGTGTGATGGAAATAGCCCATGCTCCTTCTGCCGTCGTAATGGCCTCCAGTGTAGCTTCCCACAGCGCTCGAGAGACGTCCAGATTGTGCGCGTCTTCCAGTCCCCGTATGCCAGCAAGCCATCAAAACCAGCAGCAGCGCTCACCATCGATTCCTGGTCTTTCATCCACCGATTCTTCGAGGCTACGGGGAAACTACCTCAGAGCCAGGTCCTCCGCAGCCCCCAGGTGGTCGTGCTGAGCCAATCAGACGAACTAGTCAACAAGACAGTCACTGTCGTCGGACAGGTCTTTTCATCCAAGAGTGCTACTCACACGTTGGAGACTAAAGAGCGCAATCAGTTGAGAAGGCTTGTCGCTGCCCAAAAGAGAATCCTCACGCAGCGGATGGCTCGGCCCTCCTCCCAGAACACAACCGTTTTATTACTATGTAGTTTACTACTTGCCATACCAGATGTGAGTTCCATATCCCTCTCCCCGGCTCTTTATCCTCTAACTTTGGTCCTTTTCCAAGCTTCTTCTAAATCCAACTGCCGAGAGTTGGCGGCTATGGATAATCCACGTGCGGAATTTCGCAAATTACATAGTCGAGGAGGGTAAAGACTTTTCACAACTAGATGGAGAGCTCATGAGATTCTTCCAACTCAACGATCTTCTTGGATCCATCCCATTTCTACAGAAGCCCGTCGGGCAGGACTTTGCTGCCAGGTTACAAGAAGAAGCTGCCACAAGTGATAAACCGAGTGATCTAGCAGCGGGGAGGCCTAACCACGTTCTGTCCCTCATGTGGAGATGGGCCGTCTTACAAGAACGGTAAGAATGAAAACGGTCCCGATCCGGTATCTTCGCTAACTTGTCTCCAGCTTGCACCAATGGGATCTACTATCTGCCGATACCGACAATAAGGACCCCAATCACGGGCTGGAGGGTATCGAAATCATTTGCGAGGCTTCCAGTCTCCAAGCAAGCATGCTTCAAGCACTCCTTTCTAACTCCGCTTCCTCCTCCACGCACGACGACTCATACAGCCAGTACATGCGCTGGGCTCTGATCTGTCTATCGCAACAGCTCCAAACGAGTGCTCTGAACTCACTCGAATGTGAGCTTCCCGTAATGACGCCAGAATGTCTTCACGAACAGGCCATCTCTCTGATGGAAGGCATCGAATCTCTGACGGCTCAGTCTTTGATGGATGTGGCGTTCTTCCTCCCTCTATCGGAGGCGGTGGCGCCGGTTATGGAAGTGCAGGATGACCGTACGAGATTGATTCGCTTTCTGGACACGGTAAAGCAGAGGGGGTTTGGTGTTGCTGACGAGTATCGCCGGGAAATCCTCGAAGAGTGGCAAGATGCTTCCATTACCAATTCTCCTACATACAGCGTCTCTCCAGCTCAATAATCTAATACAGATTGATCAATACTCATGTACATTTCAATGAATCACTCGAACTAAGCTCTCAAAGTGACAACTTTTTGATTATTAATATTATCTAGTATGGCTATATAGAGCTGCAATAAAAAAAGAGAGTTAGCATGCAAAGAGGAAATAGAAAATCTTACCTGGTGATAACTGATAGCTGGCAAAGAGAGCACCCCTTTCCGTGACCTTTTCTTCCATTCGTGGAACACCTCACCCTGTTCTCTTAACATCTGACTTTGATCTTTCCGCCAGATTGGTAAAATCTAGCCCCCAAGAGACACAAGCCGGCACCCAAAGTCGAGAGGGCCGCCCACACCTGCGCGCCCGTGAACGACCCCTTCATCGCGGACTGGAGCGCGCCGCCAATCGGCGGGCCGGTCAACGACGCAAACGAGATGATGCTGAAGCACATACCCATCCTCGTGCCCACCATGTCCAGCCGCTTCGTGATGCTGGCGATGGTGGTGGGCATGAGACTCTGCGTGGCCCCGGAGACGAGACCGCAGAAGGCTGTGAATACGTAGAGACCAGGCACGTTGCTCACGGCGAACCAGCAAAACACAATGACGGATATGGACAGGGTGCACATGGTGATGACGTTGAGCGCGCCGATCTTGTCGGCGAGCATGGGCATGAGGACGCGAGCGGGTAACCCGGCGCCGTTGATGACCATGATGAGGAACGAAGCTTCGCTGTAGGAGAGTCCGAGGACTTGGATGCCGAATGATGCAACCCGTGAGGAAGTTAGCAATTGCTCGAATGGGATTATGTGATTGGGATGCAGGGATGAATTGTTTGTTACCATGACCAGTCATAGAGGAGATGATACTGAAAGCCCTAGGTCTCAACGTAGTTAAGAAAAGAAAACCATAGTGGAAACTCACATAGTAAAATAAATAGTAGCTCGCCCAAACGAAGAGAAACAACCCAACTATGTAGAGAACGTAGACCGGCTCTCTGAAGGCAGCCCAATCCACAAGAGCTCCGGATCGGCGGGGAGGGAGTCGCGATCTCATCAGTAAGAAGGCGATCACGTAGCAAACCATGTTCACCAGGCCAAGCACCCTGGCGGTCCACCCGAAGCCAATCTTGGGGAGCAACTGCCTCACTATGACGGGATATAGGATGCCGCCGGTGGAGTTGCCCAGAGTAGCCAGGCCGATGGCGAAGCCGCGGCGACGTCCAAACCACGTCGCCACCAGCCCAAGGGTAGGGGTGAAGAGGATGCCTCCGCCGATGCCTGTGAGGATCCCCTGCGTTATGAGCAGTTGCCAGTACTGGGGATGATCGGAGGCGCTCATGGCGAAGATCCCGGCGAGCTGCAGAGCAGCACCCACGGCGAAGGTGGGGCGGAAGAAGCCAGCATCGAGGAGACGACCGCTGAAGGTTCCCAGGGCAGTGGTGAGGAAGCCCTGGAGAGAGCCGATCCAGGAGATGGTGGATGGAGAGGCGGATGGGAGACCGCCGGAGGTGTAGTAGGACTGGAACGCCCCGAAGGAATTAAGATAGCCCCATGTGGCGAAGATGACGAGCCACCCCGCGACGACTTGGAGCCAAGCCTGGAGACCTCCATCCGGCGGTGGTGGGAGGTTTGATCTGGAGCGGGATCGAGTCCTCACCCGGGTGGGATTGGAAGCGAGGCGGCCAAGGGCGGTGTCGTCTATATCCTCGATGTCATCTAGACGAGAAGCTCGTGGATGATACCTTCCGCCCCTCGTACTGGATTTGGACCCTTGGCCCTCTGCCGCAGTTTCATCAGATGACGATGAAGAGACAGACAGCTGGCGAATTTCATGGCCAGTGTCTGAGGCCGGTCGTTTCTCATTCTCGGGTGGGAGTGCCATGGTGGTATGGTGGGCAAAGGAGCTCTTGGCACATTACAAGATCTAGCACGGAGATTATGAGGAAGCAACCGAGAAAGCAGCCGGGGGACCACTCCAGTGATAGCTCCTCCCGATCAGAGTTTTTGTCGAAATACCATCTCCGACTTCGGGGTATAACCCGGTCGGTGGTCCCAGTAATGTTCACGATGTGGGACTCTAACCGTGTCCGGCTTCCGTGCAGCGGGTATCGGTCCGGAGATCGCAGGCCGGGTAAACCTGCGAGGCGCCGGTGTGTGCCTGTGATTAAGCTGTGGTCATGTAGATATCAGATGGAACGCGAGAGAGTGGCTTCTCGAGCATGTGAATATTCTTGGTTGAATCCGGTTACGGGAATCGATGCTGTTGTGGCTCCGCTTAATGAGGTTCACCGAGTATGCATATGTAGGGCGCGATGGACAATATTAAGTCCATGCTAGACCCGAGCAAGCGAAACTTAGATTTACCCATTCATTTGTTAGCGAATGTATCCGTACCACACCGCTTATCCAGCGTAGCCAGTCAGCTTGATCTGGTGGGTGCCTTGCTTCCGGTGCTTCTTTTACATGTGCTACTCTAGGCTTTTAACGATCATGAAACCGGAGCTATTGTGGGTTTCGTTCACCGTATCCCCTTTACTGTCTCAAAAGTCAAGCTCCAATGCTGACCCAAGACCTCGACCTACATGGTCAAAGTCTGGATGCTGCGGTACCCAGAAAGGTGCTAGATTCGAGATATCGATCATTGCATCCACATCATTATCCACTTCTAGAGGTAGAGGCTCCAGGCCCTCACCATGATTGAAGTCTTCATCCGTTTCATGGTGTGGGTTGTATGAATACCTTGAAACTTCTGTTTGTATTGGCTGGTCTGATGCCGGGGTAAGGCCAAACTAAAGGATCATTGTCAATATCGCCCGATGACAAAGCTTCAAAGGTCCAGAACTTACTGCTGGAACACAGGAGCCTGCCATAGGTTCGTTCCAAGGCATTGGATTCTTCGTAGATGAAACCCGGACGTGGGAGTGGGAATCTGTCATTGCCCTCTTCCAAGCCTTCCATGCGGACCGTCCCCGTTCACCAGAAATACCATTTTCCGTGTTTCGGAGGGTGCTGTTGTTGGTATGGCCGACACTTGGGTTCCTAGGACTGCTCGCAAGGGCTTGGGTGATGCCCCTCAAGCTTAATCCTGCTGCTTCACTTCCCTTCGCGAGTTCTAGGAGGATCCGGATGCCCTGCACGATGGAATTCTGAGGGACAGATACAAAACCCGCCAGCTTGCGACTTGCAAAAATCAGGACGTACAGAGCGGAACTGCAGTACAATGAATCATGAAAGGAGAAGCGACATAACAAAGACAAATCTTTCAGGGCACCCATTATCCGGATAGAAGAAACCGCGGCGTTGACACACTCTTGCGCTTGCTGACGCAGGAATTTTGTCGCACTGGCCTCCAAGCTGTTTGCAGGACGACACGTTGCGACTGCACAGTGCAGGCAAGAGCGGGTTAATAGGATAATGGACTGCTCGTATGTCAAAGCTAGGTGCGCCTCGTATCGGGTCGTGAAGCTTTCAAGCTTGATGTTTGCGGGTAAGCTTTTCTTCCAGTCTCCCGACTCATCCTTCAACAGCTGCAGGTCGTTGGGCCGGATGGTGGCGCCCTTCTCAGAGGCAGGCTTGCAATAGACTGCGTCTACAATCTTGCCAAGGATACGGCATATTCGTGCGAGAGACACCAGTCCGTCAATCTTGCTTGGACGCCCGTGAATATCAGTCCAGCCTGAAACCTCCACGGGGTAAGGTGTGTTGATTTCGGCGTCGTTGATGGCTAGGGGCCGACCCATTTCGATGCTATAAAGCCTGTCCGCGACGTATATACTCCACCAGAGACGGTTGCGCAGTTCGCGAATGTCTGGGTGTATGGATTCAGAAACAAAATGTCGATGTAGCCCCATGTTGATCGCCATTCTAAGGGCCAACCCTAGCAAGTTGTACCCGGCATCCCGACTCGTTGTACTTGGGAGGTATATCCCTTGAAGGAGGCAGACTTGAATACTTGCCATTGATGATGACGAGACGATGTCTGGTAACAATCGACGAGAAACCTCGTAGAATCTCCAGCCCGGGTTCTGAGCGGGGGTTGGTATTTTGATCCGAGATAGGTTGTAGGGAGAAGTCAAATCGCCTTTGAGAACCTCTTCATTTATGAAATCATCATCTGACATGGAGATTTGGCCGCTATCAATATCACCAACCTCGGCAAACTGACTTCCTATTGCAAGGACCATGAATAATACCGACAGAAACTCGATTGATCTTCTTGAACTGAGCGGATTATGAGATTCAAACTCATTCGTGCCCTCGTAGAAGGCCTTGAGCTTTCGTGAGAATATTTCTGGATGCACGCAGAAATAGAGTGTCTGCGCCAGTTGAAAAAAAGTTGTTGTCAAGAATTCGACAACATCTTGAGGGGGGAGCGCCTGGAGAGCGGCTGTTTTCCAATCAGTGCCGAAGCCTATGTTCGACATGGAATGAATGGTTGTCCCTCCACACTCCTAAATCGATGTTAGAAATAGATCATAGCGCTGTATCCTTGAAATTGAGCTAGGGGGAATCTACACTTACCGCTTCACCATCATCATCCTCGTGCGGTGATGTTTCATCAGCAAACGCTTGTCTTACTGAACGGAAGAAACACCACAACGAAGAGTCCCCCTCATAGTCTGATGGGAACAAAGACTGATTAGACTCTCCTACGAAAAAAAGAAAAGGTGATGTAACATACGCGTTTTCCCTTGGCTGACGACGGTCACAGAGGCTGTTCTATTGGGAGAGCTTCCGTCACAAAGGCCATCACTGCCGTGCTGATGATGTTGATGATGCTCCTGAGCACTATTATTCTCGACCGTCGGCCCGGCACTAGACGCAGTTAACTGTTCTCCCCCACACTCTGGCGTGGTAGTTTGCAAACGCATATAGAACCGGCGCAAGCTCTCCGGATCTGTCGAGACATTCGCATGCAGCTTGGAGAAGATGCGTTGAAGCAGCTGCAACTGCTCCTCATGCGAGGCAGTAGTCGCTACTTCAGAGCGTGCTGAAGTCGTGTGTCCCCTCGCTTCGCTTGCTTGTGTGTCGAGGCCGTAATGGCATTGCCTCCCAGTCTCGCTACAGCGCTCGCATGGCTCTCGCCCACTGCAACGGAGCTTATGCTTTCGACAGTCTTTGCATCTGAAGTGATGTAACCATGTGTCAGCGTGGACTTTTCGCCAGGACAGGGCAATGTCTCTCCGCATCTGAGATCACCCCTCGCCCAGAATAGAACCAACTCACGCGATCCTCACTCGTTTCCTCTGTTCATCGGGTACCCCAGGCCGTTTGCGACGACCTGTCAGTTCTCGGGCTGGTTTGGACCCAGGAGTAATCACTTCGGATGCATGGCGGGTGTCGGGTAAGAGACCAGCAGTGGGGGGAGACATGGATTCACACAAGTCCAAGAGCTGTCCTTGGAGGCAACTTCCTGGGGCGCATGGGGTTTGCCAAAGTCTTAAGCGTCCCGTGCAGGCAACCGGACCACGAAGGTTGGTGACGAGGCGCAATTGCCGCAAGTGGCTTGCTTCAGACGAAGGTTTCGGGTACAAGCACCCGAAGCTGATAAGAGCCGGAGTGTGTATGTATAGACAAATCCACTCACTAGCAATGGGTCTAGAACAAGGGATTTGCCATATCAGGTCTCGCTGAAGAAAGCGGGGAAGAGATAAGCGAATGGAGAGAATGACATGATTTGGAAACTAGGACTCATGCATTACATCGTGAAGATTGACTATCGGTACAATTTCCCCCCAGTATCCCTTTTCCGCGCTTAGTGGTTCCCTTCCAAACCCACAACGGTAGTGCTTGCGTGGCTGAATTCCCGTGTGCCTGTCCTGGTAATCTTCAATTGCGATTTGCAATTAGGGTCCGGACAAGCGATCAGAGCATCGGTGCTCATCCAGTCATGGGCGTGTGCCATTCTCTGCTTTGCCGCCAGCAGTGGTAGCACAGCCGCTTTGTCCATGTGAGCACATCAAGCTGTCTTTCACATTGAAATATAGCAAGGATTCGTACATACCAAGACTATATATGCTTATCCCTTGACCAGGGGGTAAATATAACATTTCTCCCTCCAACGTAAAATGGTCGCCTGCCTTTGCGCCGCAGAGAATTCTCTCGCCTTCGGGGCACACAACTTCGACTCGCAGATCGTAGAGCGTGAAATTATCGTTTGTCTCGCCGGTGGAAGCCATGGTGGTTAGAAAATGACGACACTTAATTCTCGTATGACATGGGCTGGGTCGCTCAAACTATCAAAGCATGCGTATCTTCTTATATCTGCTAGTGATTGAGTATCAACAGACAGATTTTATACCCCTCTTTCCAAGATAATAAAAACCCACCCATGAACTACGGTCTCTTCTCTGGCGGAAATAATGCCCATGCTACAGTGGACCTCATACTCGGATGATAGGCACCCGGCAAAATACTCGAGAGACAGACCTAATCTGTAGCCGACTAAGCCCGAATCTCGCCAAACCCTGATATCTGTCCATTGTGAACTTTACTACTACTCGTTGAGCTTTTGGATATCCCATCATGGTATCGAAAACAGCGAACATCAGTGGCAGGAAACTTTAAAGTCCAGAGGTTCTACTTGGGGGATGACTAGTTGGTTTAATTTATCTTTATTCTTCCATTTCCACTTCATAAAGAATGGCACCTGGGATATCCTTCTTCACCCACAATAGCCTCCTTCTATCAGATTTCTAAAATTCCAGTCAAGTTTGACCAATTCTTATTCGAAGTCTAGTATTGACTCACGTCTATTTTGGTAGTTACCTTCTATTCCTCGCTCTCGTCTGTAACCTCCAACTTGCTTCCAGGAGGAGGGAAGTGTGAAAATAGCAACACGGCGACAGCAGCCAGAGCAACAGCCTGTTTCTGATGTTAGTCACTTTCCTCGTCTCAACTTTTGCCTATTATGAAAAGGATATCAAGACCTACCGCGTTACAATAGAATGTCAGGTATGTTTTACCGACCATGGAGAAGGATGAAAAGATGAAGCCGAACAGCCCCAAAGTCGACAACATGGCCACATTTTCGACAAGGGTCATTGCTTGCAGCGCCTCTGCGCGTTCAGATGGAAGACACATTTCAGTGACAACACCCTTACTCGTAGGTGCTGAGCCAGATGCCAAAGGGAGTAGGAAGCCGGCTGATGGCTATGATTAGCGATGTGTGTTGCCAATGGGTCACAATACATACCGAGATAAATGTGCCACCCTTCGGTCGCAAATGCCGTGGAAGCTGTGACCAGCCCATCAAACACCAGACTCCATCGAAGGAAAAAAAGATCAAATTCCCGGCCGCTTTGGCTGCAGGAATTCAGAGAGGCGCGTGCTTGTTCCTCGGGCCCAACCATATCATCACTGCTTTCCCGGACTGGATCTACCGCCTCTATGTGGCCGTCTTGCTTAGATGAAAACCAGGCCCTGCCTGCAGTTATTGTTTTCGGGAAAAGAACCAGTAGAAAAAAGCCCCGGATGAGAGAGTTGGTAGCCATCAAATATCCGTTTTCGCTCGGGAGGAAATTGAAGGCGGCAGTGGCGTACATTTGAATAAGCATTGGTGCGTAGCCAGTGGCTAATACACCCATAAACACACCCAGAGCAAGGAATGTTATCCCGTAATGGGTCATGGCTCTGCCGTTACCTAGACGTAGCCTCTTTGGGCAGAGTACTCTGACACCACCCAAGAACTTGCTCCATCGAGGTTGCTTCGTTTCCTTTGCACCTTCATGAAGGCTCTTAGGGTCAATATATGGGATGAAAAACATCGAGTAGACGCTTGATAGAGAGAATATAACGGTTGCAATCTCGAAGGGCCGACGAATTCCGTAAGCATCGCCAATTATCCCGCCCAGGAGATACCCGACGGCCGTTCCAAGCATGACACTCCCTTGTAGCATTCCAAACATTGCAGTGCGTTCTGAGGGCTCGACGACCTCACCAGCTGCAGTGTTGAGCACAAGTAGATATCCCGACATGCCACCAATCAGACTGACTATTTGACTTGATTGAACAATGACGATGCCTTCTCTCGCACCAACAGTTACCCCAACAACTTGAATAGCGACTCTCAGGGCGGGAAAAGCTGTTTGTAAGACCAATGCTCTTCTAGGTCCCCATCTTCCAATCTGCCACCCTGCGAAGAAGAGGTTGAGGACCCCGCAGAAGGTAGTAGAAAGGCCAAGAATGGAAACCTGAGCGGCCGTTCCAGAGTCTATCTCTGCGCGTTTACATCGATCGGGTGTATTATCGAAAATATGGTGCTTATAGAACTCTTCACATTCCATCCGTCGAAAGACGTAAAGAATTCTACTTAGGTTAGTATCATTACTGTAGGGTCTCGATCAATTTTACCACTTACGGTACCTGCGTAAAACTAAGGGCAACAGAAATCAGGAAGCCAGCCACCAGGATGCGGTTGGCGGCAGAGAATCGTGGCGCCTTCTCCGTTCTCAGATGCTCTTGGAGCAACGGGGTGCTTTCGTCAATTGTCATGGTGATTGATTTCACTGTGTCGCATAGGTTGGCCTCTTTACTTCTCTTCTCAACCAATCTTTCTTTTCTCGAATAGTTTTCAATGGTGTTGAGTTCTCACCGTGATGCGGGCTATGACGGAAAGGACACTAATACTAGGCTGACATCTTTCTTTTGCTGATAAAGTTATTAACCGGTATCTTCATCTACGACTCAATCTTACAGCACACTGCCGGCCACAGCTGTCATCGTTTCCGCATTCGGGATGACTTCCACCACCCGATTCTCGGGTGCTGGTACCCGAGTGTAGATTACCAAGCGAGTCATGCAGTGCGGATGACGATAAGTTTTCCTATCAAGTGCTAAACTAGGGCACCAGCATGGGCAGGGGACCTAATGTTGTTCTAGACTGTGGAGATATCTGCCATCCCCACGTCCATCTCACTTGTCTTATCACTCGAACCCAACCTTTGCGTACAACCTGGGCACAGCAGTCTGAGGATCTGGCCTACAAAAGACAATGGCACAATCCCATTGATCGTCAGAAACCAATCGATATCTCGCAAAGAAATCGACCAACAGAAACTTCCTTTATTCATCATCGCCATGGAGTCCGCCGGCCCCATCGAGTCAAAGCACTCCTTTGCCCATAGGCTCAAAGGTGCGCGAAATTCAGTCTACTCCACTACAACCACGACTAACGTAACGTTCCAGTATTGATTCTCGGAGATGAGGCAAAGACCAAGGAAGAAAGATGGCTTGTTCAGAAGCTAGGTGAGTTTTCATTCGGTTGGTTGTTAAAAAAAAATATCTACTAATCCTGGTTCGTCTAGACTTCTTCATTCTTGTGGGTTTACCAATCTGGTAACCTTGACCTGCGAAATACTAACGTATAAAACATCAGACATACTGTTGTCTGAGCTTTTTCTTCAATTATCTCGATCGATCTGCTTTCGCAAACGCCTACGTACGTCCTCCACAACGATGGAAATAGGCGTTGCTCTAACATAAATGCATAGGTTGCAGGCCTACAGGAAGCATTGTCGCTTTCTGGTAACCAATATAATATTCTCCTATCGATGACTACAGCTGGGTATTGATCATCTACCTCTGTCCTGGTGCAATGCCACTGACAGCAGCTTCGTAGATATGTTATCGGCCAAATTCCCCATGGCATTGCAATCCAGAAAATTGCGCCTCGAATTTGGTTTCCCTCAATGGTCATTATATGGGCAGGTCTGACAGCGTCAAGTGCTGCTTGCAAAACCTATGAACAGCTTTGTGCCGTCCGCTTTCTCATGGGCCTCATCGAGGCCTCTACATACTGCGGTACAATTTACTGCATTGGGTCATGGTAGTGCGTACCATCCAGCATATCCATTTTAAGCCATACGTTCTGACCGGTATTATAGTAAGCCTCGTGAAATTGCGAAGCGAACTGCTATATTCACTGCATCTGGCCAAGCTGGTTCAATGTTTGCTGGAATAATGATGACGGCCATATACAAAGGCATGAGCGGATATGTAAGTATCTAACTTGGTATGTACCATGGATGTTATTTTACTTAACCTACTCTATAGGCTGGTCTCGAGGGATGGCAATGGGTATTCATAATTTGCGGTATCATTACATGCCCCATCGCTATCATGGGATTCCTCTATTTCCCCGACATTCCAGAAACTACGAAAGCTCGCTGGCTTAGTGAATCCGAAAAACGACTCGCATTGGACCGCCTGCCTCCTAAGAAGGCAGATGGACACAACATCAACCCGTGGTCCCTTGCTAAGCGCGTGTTCGGGTCGCCTGCATTTTACATCCTTTGCCTGTTCGCGACGGTTTGCTCCGCCTTAGAAGCCTTTTGTGTCCAGAATCTCTACCTCCTCTGGCTGAAGTATTACTCCAAAGCCGGCTATTTCACTCAAACCCAGGTCAATACCTATCCTCTTGGAATCCAAGCAATGGGTATCGTGTCGAACCTGATGGCAGCAGTTTATATTGATGCCACCGGCCGGAGAGTTCCCATGGGTATTCTTGCCTGTGCGCTTCAGCTTGTTGTGACCACTATCTTATTCATTCGCAGCTCTCCATGGGCGGCCATCATGTTCGCCTTTTATTTGGCCGGGACTTCCTACATCGTCAATCCCCTTCTTTTCGGATGGGCAAACATTATCTGCCAGAGAGATGGCGATGATGCTCGCCGAAGTGTTATTCTCACCAGCATGAATGCCTTTGCGCAGATTCTCTACACCTGGTGGGGTATTGTGCTTTTCCCGGCAAATGAGGCCCCGTACTGGAGAAACGGATATATCGGTATGGTTGTTGTCATCGCGGTGATGTTTTCACTGCTGTGGGTTGTGCTTTGGGTAAGTCATAAAAACGTCAGGTGCTAGCAAAATCACTGACACGAGTATACAAAGCTTGACCGCCGTACCGCTCTACAGTATCCAGAGGCTGCATTTTTCGACGCCCCAGAGACTGTCCAGTTAGCTGCCATCAAAGGAGATATGGTTGTTGATGTCACTAAAAATGATGCCGAGTCGAAAGTTGAGGGCAAGGCGAATGATATCACCACCGTGGCCAGTCTTAAATAATGATATTCGCTTGGATGAGGGAGTGTGACTGGGGAAGTCACAACCAGGAAGTTGAGGCAAATGGTAAGATTGGATTGGATATAATTCAAACGACAAACAATTCAAGTCGAACTATATTATCTCGAGAATAATCACTCATATTAACGCGACTCTGGTGTAATGAATTGCAGAAATTATGCTAAATGGATTGCATGTTAGTGAAGTGGCTGGGTGGTTCGTATGAGATTTAATATTTGCATGCGCTTAGTTGTTCCTGCTTATTCTTAAAATTTTGATCAGGTTTACATCCTTATTATTGCTGCTCAAACTTAGAAAGAATGTGTCATAGAGAAGACGGAGCAAGAATCCCTCTTAGCTAGGTTAAGGGATCTCCCCTTTGGCCTAGAACGCTAACCTTTGATATAACATCGCTCCACCAGTTGGTAAGGATTGGTAAGGTTTCCTTGGTCTGTCACCGGAGAGTGCGTGTCATATGTTCGAGATTGAAAAGATATGCATTCAGTCCTGGTTTATCAAGATAAGGCTAGAGTCCATTGTAGGCTGCTTGATGGTGTCTGTTTAATGCATTGCTCTGTATTCGTTCCCGCAATCACCAAGCCTTTGGAACATAGCCAAACATTTGCTATTGCCAGGACCAAGTGCGACGCGGTTGATTTCTTTCATCTCATCCTCACTCAACCGGAACGTGAACACGTTGACATTATCGCCACTGTGCGCAGTCACACCGAGCCTAGTCCCAACAATGACTGCGCCAACAGCAGGTTGTTGTAGGACCCAACGAGTTGCCACATTGGTCAAGCTCACACTCCTGTTACTAGCAATGGCTTTCAGCGTCCCAAGCAGTGATTGGAACTCCTCCCATTGCCCCCATAAGTTTATGATGTCGAGATACTACTCAAATGTCAATTTACGAGCGGATTCGAGCGCTCAAATAGCATCACTGACCTTGCGTTGAGAAGGAGTCAAGTGCTGGCCCTCTGAATAAACCTCCGGAGCAGGTACTCCAAGCCATTTCTCAGAGATGAACCCACCCGACTTAAGGAATGTCAGCAGCAATACAGCCGCACCGTATGGAGTGGGCGGGGTTACGTACAAAGGAACCGTATGTTAGAAGTTTCAAGCCATACTTGGAGCAAATAGCCGACATCTTCTGAAGCGGTCGAGAATCGAAAATAGAGAACTAGAATCGTCAATAACGGATACGGGACAATTCCTCATGTGAGTTTCTCACCTGCACCTGATTTGATACTATTCCGACAGATCCTGTCTTGTCAAGAAGATACTGACACACTTCTACGACGTGGTCTGAGTCAAAGTTACAAAGCCCCACGGAAGAAAGCAGCTCAGGGTGATCCTTGCTGATCAGTATCAACTCTTTCAGAATGGTTAGATACTCTTTTGAGGAGTACTAGAAACGATTTTGTTAGAGATGATGAACGCTTGATGATATCGGTGATACTTACATCATACCAGTGGAACTGCAGAAGCTCAACCCTTCCACTGAGTCGTCGGCTACGTTCTTTAACTGCAGCAAGAACCCAGTCACGGCTGATAGTCTGCTTGACGGCGCTGAATATACACCATTTCGTCGCGGCATAGATTGTATCCTTGATATCTGGTGGTAGTCGCTGCCGGAAATCGCCATAGATCAACTCAGCATCGCCCTTTAGAATACAGAAAATTAGCGTATAGTCCATTAAATTTGAGAAATAACCGTACGTAGTGATCTGCCATGTCTGCCGCGATCAAGCCGGATTCCACAAGTTGAATAAGCGCTGCTTCTTGGGTATCTGAAGTACCGGACCCCCAGGCTGGTGAAGATAACTGCCAGAACCCATTAAAGAGACGGGGCACTTCGTGAAGCCCTAGTTTGAACTTTTCAATCATAGAGTTTGGAGATGCTGCTTTTGCGACGTTGATTTGCAGAAGCCTGTTTGGTAGTGTGTCTGGTGGCACTTCCGAAAAGAAGAAAGTAAAGACATCTTGAACCTGTCTTTCGGCGCGAGCGAAGAGATACGGTAGATCTGATGTTTGGCAATATTCCTTACAGTTGCGGAAGGAAGCCAAAAGATTGAGGAGTTTCGTTTTCAAGCTTTCTGTTATATCGGGTTTGGCTTCTTTCAGAGCCTGCGCTGCTTGAACCACGTCGCCACCGAAAGTCCGAAAGGCTGCCTCTAGGTCTGAGCCTTGAGACCATTTGGCATTGCCTTCTGTGATTGATGATAAGAAGTGAGTGAGACTAATGTACGGCGCAGCACGTCAGTGTCAAAATATTTCTCTTGCCATTCAAAAGGGCAAGCACTAACTAAGTCAACGATTGCTCCGAAAGTTTCGATGAGAAAATGCACCTCGTAATCTCAAGATACTGGTTGCATTCGACTGACAACTCATCAGAGACTGGGAACAGAGATGATGGAGGAGTGAGTTCAGGTGGGGATCGTGTCAGGTGCTCCCTGATATGTTGCACGAATGGCTGCTGAGTAACCGATCCTTGTGAGATTAATGTTCGCAAGGCTGATCGTAGGAGCTTCTTAGGTACTGTTTGGGGCCACGTTATCAGAAGATATGACATTCAATTGCGGAAAAAACACGTACGGTTGGCGATGAGAACATCATCCATCATATTTCTATTCTTGTTAATACCTGCACGTCAAAACGGGAGGATAAGCTTACACGTGACCTCCCATTGTTTCTTAGTGGAAGCAGTTCAAGACTGAGGTAGGTAGCGTGATGATCCTGCGGACTAGATACCGTAATTGTTGGTGACTCTTGCATGGCGTCACATGAACCCAAAATCAAAAAAGGCTCTCTATAACTAAAGACCCCTCATCGTCGTCCCCGCACTGTCCAGAATGGCTGCCTCCACGGGCACAAACAGATTGACAAGGATCCGAGTGGAGTTTGATAGAAGGACTGGTGGCGAGATCATAGTTCCCGACTCGGATAAGTTACATCGGGTGCCAATACCCGAATCTAGAATCCGGGATTCCAGATGATATCGGCAATCGGACAACCAGTCTGCCTGTAACGAAAAGCTAAACCAGTGTGCGTAGCAAATAACCTAGGTGCAAATAGCCTAGTAACAAACGCCCTCATGTCTATCATGCAAGTTTCTGTTTGGAGTCGGCTGATCGATTAATTAGATGGCGCTTTTGGCAGTATCTTAAAATGCCAGTGACTTGTGACGGGATAGCCTCCACGCTGTTTCGAGTTTGAAGAACCACAACCTGTAGTATTTGGCTCGTGATTTACATCGTATTTTATTTCTGATAAAGTGACTTAAGGTAGTCACTACCTTGTCAATAATAACAGCTCTCTGTAATTCTACCATCACCACTAGTTCCATTCGCAATTCCGTTCCGGTAGTATACCTGGGATCTGGCTCTTAACGATCCTCCCATCTTTCATCACTAGCATCAAGTTCTCTTTAATCCTGTCCAGACTCGTGACATCCTCGAGCGGGTTCTCCTTCAAGAAAAGCAGATCTGCAAAGGAGCCCTCGACGAGCTCGCCCAGTTTTCCTTCCATACCAACCTGTTTAGCTCCATTGATAGTAGCTTGACGTAGTACCACAGGGCTCGGTAAGATCTTGGACCGCACGACAAATTCATAAGTCTGCATAACCAATGTAGGCCCCGTGGTGTCGGTTCCATAGCAGACGATGACGCCTGCATCCTCTGCGTATCCGATCCCACGAATACCAGCATCGCCCACAATGGCGTTTTTACGAAGGCCATCCGGAGTTTCAAACTTGTCATAAGGCGGCATTGTAACGAAAGTATGAAGTGCCAAGGTAGGTGTTAGGAAAACTCCTTTCTCGGCCATCAGCTGTGCAGTCTCGGGGTCAATCATGTTGCCGTGCTCGATTCCTCGCACGCCACCGGCAATGGCGTGTCTTACGCCTTCAGCCGTGTAGCAATGGGCTGTGACAAGGGTGCCTCCCATGTTCTTATTGACTGTGGTAATTGCCTGCAGCTCCTCCACGGTGAATTGGAGAGACTCGAGTTTGTCCGTGGCTGATGCGATACCTCCGGAGGTGCACACTTTGAGATGCTGTGCTCCTTTACGCATATTGTCCCGCGCGGCTTGGAGGCATTCGGGAACCCCGTCGCAGAGTCTCCCAAGGGCAGAATTCGCGATACCATTACTCCGGCAACAGTGGTTATCACTCCAAACCTCGGTGTCATCGCCGTGGCCGCCAGTCTGGGACAGCATCCTCCCACCCTGGAAAACACGAGGTCCGGGTATCAGGAATTCCTCGGTGGCTTGAGCATGCGCGATTGTTGCACCGCCTGTATCCCGGACAGAAGTGAATCCATTAGAAAGAATACCTCGCAGAGTACCTGCGGTCCTGAGAACAGCAGTCTCGTGCGGAAATGTGAAAGCCCCGTGAAGTGTCTACAAATGGTCAGACAATTTTTCAATGTTGGTAGAAACACCACAAGCTCCTTACCGCGCTGCCGTGAACTGCCATCAAGTGAACATGACCTGTATTTTATTAACATCAAGTCCATGATTTCATGCAAGGACCGAAACACTCACAATCAATCAATCCTGGACACAAAAAGTATGAACTTGCGTCCATCTTTTCCACTTGCTGCTCTCCATAACGGAACTCGGCGGTCAAATCATGAGAAGTCGTGGGTGCAACCTTCACCACCTTGCCGCCTGCCAGATGCAGACTCATCCCCTTGTGGACAGTTCCCGCTCTAGGATCGACGAGCTTTGCATTGTAAAGAAGATACGGCTTCTGGGGCCCAGGAAGCCAAGGCTTTTCCGCAATATCATACTCCGGGTCGGGTGGATATATTGTTGCGGTCAGTTCTGCAAAAGACTTGACTGGTTTTGTTCCAATCTTTGGATGAGACGGGATGTTCATGTTGATGTCGGGCTTTGAGCTTTCGTGGTTAATAATCTCGAAGCTAGAAACACTATCACGACTTGAGTATGACCCGGTGTGTTGGATTGACCTCATCTTGGCAGGTTGTATGGAGTGTCTTCGGTTATCGTGATTGGTGAAACGCCGTGATGAATGACCAACAATGAAAACACGAGCAACCTTCGATTTATTGAAATGACTTGAGCTCCATATCGGCAAGCCTCCATTACTGCAAGTCAAGTGCTCCTTGGCATTGCATCTCGGGGGCCACCAATCGGAAGTGATTCGCAAGATTATCAGTCGTCGGGTACAAGCACCCGACGACACCGAGTGAACCAAACCATCTCCACAAGGTCTATCTGGAGGACAAAAGACATTAGATAATCCCAAAATGCAATCAAGACTCTGCTGAGCAAACAATATCCTATCCGTCAAAGGCCATGGTTGCCCTCGACACTGGCATTTTATCGACATTATGGGGTTTAAAGAGCATGACAAAGTGTCTAGACCGCCGGCAATAAGCCTACAAGGACGTCGAGGACTACTAAATGGAAGACACCATAACGCCCTACTACAATTCTTCACAATTGTAGGCATTGTGTACACATCATCATGTCTTTGGAGGATCAATTGGAGAATAACACCTCAGCCCAAACTACTCTCCAATCTAAACCCGCAAGACATCGACCCAGATACGGACTACCCGCTGAGGCCAGCACAAGACCCTTGGGATATTTCCACCTCATACCCCTACCCAAGGAAGCTTGTCAAGACTGTATCGGAGGGAACATGGCTCCGCATCACCACACACCCACGGAAGCCGGAGATCGTCTTCGACATGTTAGGGGATCTCTATTGCATGTCAACTGAAGGGGACGGAAGTGAGATAGCGATTCCACTACTCGTGGGTATTCCGTATGAAAAAGAGGCCGAGTTCTCAAGTGATGGTACTCGCTTAGTGTTTATCTCAGATGCTAGCTTTGGTGTGGACAATATCTGGACAATGCCCTACACGGGCTGCGAGGATATGGGGAAACGTTCGATGGAACAAAGACGCAAGTCTACAGTACAGCAGACCAACTCGACTTTCAGGTTCTTTTCAAGTCCTGCTTTTCACCCAACTGAGGCCAAAATAGTCGCTACAAAAAGGTTCCTGACCGGAAGGCCAAATGGTGCAGGCGAGATATGGGAATTTCCATTGTTGGAGAATAATACCGGGCGACTGCCGGAAAGAGGTGGCAAGCGTATTATTCACAGAAAGCTCCCACCATCTTGGTCAGCGAGCCAATATCCTCAAAGTCAACTAGGCTCCGAACAAGCTCGGTACACGCCATCTGGAGATGGCATCATCTTCTCTCGCAACATCAAGGATGACATGACTGGAAAGTTCTCATACAACAAAGACGTGCACGCTGGTATTAGCGCCGTCTTCATTCTTAATACCACGACTGGGCGTACGAATGAAGTTGTTGCCGCTACTCAGAGTGAACCAAATAAGCCAGCGAGTCCTGGTGGAGCGAACATGCCCAGGCTATCGTCCGACGGGATGACCTTGGCGTTCGTCCGTCGAAGCGGAGAGAAGGAAGTATTGGCTTTAAAGGACATGCGCTCCGGTACAGTGCACTACGTTTGGGACGGACTCTCATACGATTTAAGCACTATCCCGGCATTCATGGGTGCGTACCCGAACTACGGGTGGGCAGACAATGACACGTCGATCATCATCTGGTCTCAGGGGAAGATTTGGAAAGTCCCCATTGGTACAAACGGATTAGGGGAACGCATTGCTAACGGCCATGCACGTCAACTCCCCTTTTCTGCAACAATCAATCTTGATCTTGGTGCAACAAGATTCTCAGAGACGAAAATAAAAGACCGAGAGCTGTCAAACTTCCGCCGAGAATATGCTTTCAGAAGACTGAGAAGTAATATGGCCGGTGATGAAGTTGTATTTGAAGCCTCTGGCGATACTTACATGTACAGTCCCCAGGCTGGGACCTTGTTGGAACTTCCCCGCCCAGATATTTCAACATCCTGCTATTCTCCCTCATTTATCGCGGGGTCCCAATACATCATTCAGGCTTGCTGGGACAATCATAACCTTACGACGTTCCATCTCACTAGTCGAAAAGGTATGAGCTTGCTTCCGCTTGAGGGTGTGCCAAGGGGGAGGCACATATCTCCTGTCAGTGACGGTACTTATATTGCATACGTGCGTACTGGTAAAGATTACATGTTTGGTGACGTTGAGGAGACATTCGGAGAGGGCGTATGGATTGGAAAGATTCAGTTGCCCTCGGCATCCGGATCTGATCATGCAAAGGTAACTGATCTCCACCGACTCCCGGATGTCGACTCTGGACCCGAGACAACGCTTAATATCCATACTCTAAGCAGTCGGAATATACTACTCATTAACCAACCGGATTCTGTCATCGAATATGACATCAAAACGAGTCAATTCGAGAGGACAGCCTCAGGCAAAGCGTCGGTGGAGATGCGGGCCCATGTTGAAGGCTATAGCTATATCGTATTCCGCGACTTCCAGCATATTTGGCTCTCAAATGGATCTCAGAAGGGGCTACCTGATCTGTGGAGCAAGCCTGGCGATCTACAAACGCCAGAAAACTTGATTAGGCTTTCCCAAGTGGGCGGTCACGATGTCAACCTCAGCGGAGACGGTAAGCTGGTGATGTGGTTTCTTGGCCCTACGCTTCACTATGCTCGGATTAAGGACATCTTGGCAGCATGTCAGGGTGCTCCTCTTGCACTCCGCGACACGGGACAGTGTGCTGAATCAGTTATTCACACAAGCACTTTGAACGTTACATACGAAACAGCACTGAGCCACCAGACTCGGTTTGCCAACGACAAATCATTCGCAATTGTAAATGCTACTCTCGTCAGCATGGACCACAAAGAGGAGCAATTGATTAAGAACGCTACAATTGTAGTTCATAGGGGCGAGATCAAGGCTTCAGGGCCAGGTGTCCATATGGACATACCCACAGACGCGGAGGTTTTGAACGTTCAAGGAGGCGTCGTACTTCCAGGTTTTGTTGATGTTCATGGCCACTGGGGCGGCTTCATCTCACCTTACCCATTGCAATCTTGGGAGATGGAAACGTTTCTTGGCTACGGCGTCACTACGATACATAACCCTGCATCTAAGAATGTGGCCGGGCATGTGGAACGTAACCTCATCGAGAAAGGGCGTATGTACGGCCCGCGGGTGTTTCACACCGGCGATGTTCTCTACGGCTCAGTTCAGCCTCCAGTTTACACGGAAATCAATTCATTACAAGATGCCCGAGACGCATTATTACGGGTCAAGAAAGAAGGCGGAGAAGATTCGTTTTCTGTCAAGAATTATCAATTATCGGCCCGGTCTGCCCGGCAAAGGTTGCTTTTGGAGGCCAGCAAGCTGGATATGCTAGTTGTTCCAGAGGGCGGCTGGTCATTCGATTGGGGCCTAACATATTTCATTGACGGATACACATCACAAGAGCATCCGTTGCCCGTTCCTGAACTATATGATGATGTCCTCTCACTTGTGGAGGCAAGTGGAAGCTCGTATACGCCGCTTGCGGTGATGAATTATGGAGGTATATTTGGCCAGCATTGGGTTCATCAAACTTTCAATATTCCAGAGGACCCAAAACTTAGGCGATACGTCAAGCACGATATCCTGGAGAGCTTGACTGAGGTGAAGCAAGCCCCGAAGAGTTCCTACCTCTTCTTCAACACTACCATATCCACGGCAAAACTGGCGAAACGGGGCGTGCGAACCAATGTAGGCGCCCACGGGGAGCAGCCGATCGGATTTCTATATCACTCTGAAATGCTGATGATGGCTATGGGTGGACAGGAGCCGTACGAGGTCTTGAGACACGCCACAATTGGAGGGGCGACTTCGCTGGGACTGAACGCGTCTGCGGGATCGATTGAGCCTGGGAAGCTGGCCGATCTAGTCATCTACCCTCCTTCAGTTGATAGTATCGATAAGGCATGGGGAAACAGCATGCATATGGAGTACGTGATGCGGGGAGGCACATTGTTTTCTGTGGAGGATGGATTGGTGGAAATGTGGCCTCGGCGAGGGAGACGACAAGAACGGCCCTACATGAATCCTTAGGTCGTGATCTTATGCCCGAGGACAGTCAATATCAGCATTCTCATGTGCGAAGGATATAGAGGCAGCTTATTACCCAAGCTAGGCTGCGTAAATCTACCCAGTTATACGCTCATCAAACCTCGGATTACGGTAACTGAGAATATAAGTCAAGGCTCTATACAACAATTAAATGTTCGCTTTGGTCCCCAACTGCCAGTTGTTAGAGCACCCTTGCGAGTTGAACGATAGCCAGGAACATGGCCATGGGGAAGTCAATCTCAATCTTGAGAAGGGCCTCGAGGAGTCTGAAGGAAAGACCCCGTTGTAGGAGGTAAACAACCCATGACATCATAATATCTCTAAGCAACTATACCAAGATTAAATACACCAATCTGGTTGATTTCGAGGCTCTGTTATTGTTCCAGCGGCAGACTATGGCGAATTGCATAGGCGCAGTCAGCCTTCTATGAAACTGGTTTGCTGAAATAGGTATATAGCTTTGGATATTTCATCAAATTCACGTGGCATAGGTAGACAGAACATAACGTGTACAACAGCGCCGACTTTTAACTACAATATTATTTATTCATTAATTGCGACAAACGACGTTTCGTGCCCGCAAGGTTGTTGCGGGCGCCATCCTAGTGCCGATGAGAATCGTCGTCCCTATCCCTTTACTTCACGACGTCAAGTAAAAGCTTCGCATACGCCGCCGCTGTAGCGGCTGCATACTCCTGCCAGACGTCGTTCTTCTGACCATCGCAGTAATCGCTGATGCCGCGGATCACAAGGCAGGGGATTGCGTTAACCACGCCGGCGGCTTCCATCTCGAAGCAGATGGCGTTGAGTTTCCTCGCCTGCTCATCGCGGAACCCAGCAGCTTTGATGACTTGGTTGCCCGATGCGATCCTTCCGTAGTAGACCTTGGGTTCAAGGGTCAGGCGAGGAACGCGCTGCGACCGCACATGCTGCTCCTTCTGGGGGCATGGTCCTTGCAACGGGCATTCAAAACATGGTTGGAAAAGAACATCCTTGTCTTCTCCCTTGTGACAATACAGCACAGACATTTCGGAATTGCGAGAGATCTTATCGAGATGACGCATAAGCCGACCACTTTGTGGATTCGGATTTGCCTTTAATTGAGTACTGATAGCGTTCATCAGGATGTTCGGCGGGCGCGGCAATGGCTGTTCTTTCATCTCAAAGCCTCCCTCCTCCCATTTTCCCAGATCATGTTGAACCACTTCTTCACCAACAACCACATCACCGAGGCGAATATCGTTGTCTCGCGAAGGCACGCCGCCACCGATCCCAACTAGAAGGCAGAATGGGAGATTGAAGGTGTCTTTCATGGTAGTCGCAACACTCGCCGCTTCATTGGTCCCGTACCTGGAAAGACATGTGGCGACGACCATGTGGTGTTCCATCTTGCCGAACACGTACCGGTTGTCTTGGACATTCTCAGGGGCATTGTGTTCCCTGTCGAAGAGCGCCCAAACTGCTTTCAACTCCTTCGGCAATGCGCATAGAATCCCTACCGTATAAAGATGTTTGGGATATGTTTGGTGGGCTAGTTCCAGCACATGAGGAGGCGTAGGCTTGTTGCGGACGTTGCTTGAAAACTCCATTGATCGAATTCCTAGCCTTGACGAAGACGAGGCGTGGCACTCAGATTCGGACGGCGTCTGGGATGAGCCAATTCCGCTATCATTGGGGGACAGTAATGAGACCGGTTCCCCGAGCTCGCCTTTTCGTGGGTCATGCAAATCCCCCCAGACCCATGAGAACTTCGAACTGTGTCCAAAAATGAGAGCGCCCTCATTTGGTAATTTGTCCCCTCGAGGGCGTAATGATTCAGATAATGATAAAGACAAGGGGGAAACGGTTTGGACTGGCTCACAACTACTTTGCTTCGAGCCAGGCTGGCATTGACAGAACACGGGTTCGGACGGGGTATGCCAGATCAAGTTGTCACTGAGCCGGATGTGACCGTCGCTCGGGAATCCATGCTCTTTGAACACCCGGTCCAGATCTGAGACACAAACGGCGACGTAATAGCGGCCGGTCGGCAAGCTGGCCCATCCGCTGCAGGTTTCCACGTCCGGCTGGATAATGTCACCGAAGTCACACCCAAACAACGTGACAGCTTGGATAGCCCTCGTAAAATCAATCCAACCTTTACCGTGGGACTCGATCTTGGTAGCACGGGGATACAAAGTGTGCTGGTCCATGTCCGCCACGTGTATAAACTCCCAGCCTTCAAGATCGCCTCGTGGTTTGTTGCTCAGTTTGATACCGCATGTTCCCGCAATGTCGATTTGATGATCGATGAGATGCTCTAACAGGCTGCACAACTCCTCAATCTTGCTCCCGAGCTTAGTACCGTCACTGTGCAAAAGGAGTCTCCGGTTGTGGTCGTTGCTCAACGTCTCAAAGGCGGACATGGCGGTGAGAGGCCCGCCTGAATCTTGAAAATCCTCGCTCTTTAAAATAACCGACGTCTTGTAAGAGCCATCCAGATACGCTCGCAAGGCAAGTAAGAGAGCAATTGTGCCGCTCACAATCCAGCCTCGTTTGCCGTCCTTATCCCAAAGGAGCACGGGCCAAGGTTTCAAGGACTGGAGCCGTTTGACGTATCCATTGGAAAACAACTCAGACGACTCCCTAGCACCTATAGAGACATCAGACCCCATCGCCACGGTTCTTCCCCGTTTAACAGTCCTCCCAGTAAGGGCGCCGCCTGATTGAAGCTTCCCAAGCCGTGAGGACTTGACAGACGAACCTACGAACCATATTTTTAGTGACAATACTTGGAATTAATTAAACTTAAAGGGGTCTTACCAATCACGAGTTTCGCTCTCGAGCACCATCCGAGTACATGGCGATTATTCTCTAGTAGATCAAGGCGAGCTACTTCTTGCTCTTGCTCCAGGTCATTATCAAGATACGAGATTCGACTTCCGTCCCTTTTATAAAGGAGATGCCAGAACAGGGTATCCCCACTGCGCCGGACCGGGACCAACATCGTCGAGAAGCCTTTCAGGCAGACCTTGTCTTTGAACTGCTGAAGCTCCAGTGCTTGAGCGAGCTTGGCCATAATATTGAGAGGAATCTCTAGTCCCGTGTTCCACTCGGCTCGTCGAGGAATTGGATATCCCCTCACGATGACGGGGCATTTGAAAACAGCCTGCCAGCACTGGCCATTAGTATCTAATATTACCGGGATATTCTCCATGTCAAACTCGATCTTGCAAGCAATGCCAGTTGAGCGCGGCTTGGCCTGAGATTGAGAAAAAGGCAGCTTGTTCTGCAGAATGCTGATCGTTGGTGTACAGCAGAAGAGTCCGCTCTGTTTTGGTGTGGTTTTCAAAGCTGCCCCTAGCCAGGCAAGTTGTTCTCCGATCTCCGCGATGGTAGCCGCAACCCCGTAACTTTCTGCCAAGAACTTAGAATTCCTCACATAGACTCGGATGGTTGTTCCATCTGACAACGTGCCTATAGACGGGTTTGGTGTTGAGTAAGTGACATGAGCTAAGCAGCTAGGTTGCTCTTGCATAAAAATTACTCACGTGGTGGCGGATCGCTCTGATTTCCCTTGAGAACTTCCTCCATCAAAGCAATAATGTCCTCCGCGGTGGAAGGCCAAGTCTGGCCCAGATACTGAGCGCACGTTGCCGCCTGTGCGTCCATAGAAGACCCTGTCAAGGTGATAACGCTTTCAAACACCTCATGCGGTGGCCTCGAGTACCCTTGCTTTTCGAAGAATTCAAATACGTCCCACTCAAGCTCAAATGTTGCGCTGTAACTTTGAGAAGACATCTTCTTGCTAATTACGCGAGAAGGAGGGAGTGCCGACATGATCTCTTTACCGATTGTTTCCATAGTGTGTGGTTTCATCGGAACAAGGCGAATTTCATTTCGCAAGCGTGCTAGGAGCCATTTAAAAGCTGGGGTTTTGAATATAAACTCACGGTATTCCTGAATCCAGGATTCAGTCACATCTTCGCCCTCGTCTGATTCGTCAGACTCCTCAAGATCTGATAGGTAGCCGGGCAAGTTACGATCTTCCTCTAGCACGGGTTGTCCAGAGTTCTCGCTGTTGACCCAATCGTTTGTGCGTTCTTCTTTGTAAACATCGCCTAAGTTTGTAATTACCTTCTCGATAATATTTTCTTGGCCAAACCCAGTGTCCGCGAAAGCCGCAGCAATCTCGCTAAAGGTTATATATGTGTCAGAATAACCATAGCCTATCTCCAGGGTAATAAACGTTATGAAATTAGAGATAGGTTTTCACTCACTGCCTTCCCTTGTGTACAAAGGCCATGACACCTCTATGCATCTTATCACAGGCTTCATGCCCAATCTTCAGCGCAAAAACTCTGAGCAGCTCAGGCAAAGCTTCTGAGACCCGGGTCTGTGTCTCCTGGCTCAAGCGCAAGGACCGAGTCTCACTGGCTAAATGACTCGCCAGCTCCGAAATATAACATTCCCGCCTAGAAAAGGTCGTGTCAGATGCGTCTGAATATATTGTGGTATCCGTATCGTCAATACATTGATTGGCCGACTCTTGGAATGAGGAATCGGTAGTCGGGTCACCAAATTTATTTCCCCGAAAAGCTGAAGCGTACCCCGAATCAGTTGGAGGTGACGCGGTCACCGTTTGCGTTCCATCGTACCCAAAGAAAGGCCACATTATAGCGTCATGCCAATTACTTGAAGCCAATAGTGGTGCTTCCCTTGCCAGTAGATTGTTAGGCAAGCTGATATCTGCTCCATTTACGGCCCACAGGTTCGCAATGGCTGGCCTAAAGGGGCGCTTGAGTGTCGTGTAACCGTCCCGATCCGCGGCAGTGATATCCGCTCCGTTCTCGAGAAGCACTCTAACCCCTGCCTCACTTCCTGCCTTTGAGGCACTAAAAAGGCATGTTTCCCCAGCCTTATTGCGCACGTTGACATCCGCTCCATACTTTACAAGTAGCTTGACAACTGCTTCGTTTCCTCTTTGTGAGGCACTAAAAAGGCATGTTTCCCCAGCATTGCTGCGCCCGTTGATATCCGCTCCATGCTCCAGAAGTAGCTTGACTACGGTTTCATGACCTCCCTGAGATGCCAAATGAAGGGCCCGGTTGCCAATATTATTTTGAGTCTCGATGTGAGCTCCCTTAGCAATAAGGAGCTTCGTCACTGCTCCATGGCCGTTGGCCGCAGCTAAGCATAAGGCCGTATCACCAGATGATGTGTAAGCTTCGATATTCGCGTCTTTTTCGAGAAGAAATTGGACAATCGTCTGATGGCCGTTAGCTGCAGCACAAGGCAGAGAGTCCCCAACGTCAAGCCCCAGCTCAAATCCGATTCGTAGGAGACCCAACAAGTTATTTTCAGCAAAAATACACATCAGAGTCGTGTCTAGGCTGTGGCAACGGTTGTCATATTTCGCAAATAAATTGCTAAGCCTTAGCCAAGGTTTGGTGCAAAAGTCTCGGACAAAGTCGTACTCCGATATTGCTGGAGCCGCAGCCTCTGCATGCCAAAAAAGGTAGGAAGTTGCGTATTCCAAGAAAGGGAACTTGATCAAAATCTTGGCCTGTGTATATTTTGATTCAAGACGGATGTCCAAGGTTATTGGGACAATAGGTTCGATGTCTACTTTCATATACTGATAACAGCATTCCTTCAAACGGTGATGACTGGAGGCCGCAAACTCTTGCCAGCGATCAGGCCACAAGTCGCGTATACCATTTTCTTTAATAAGATACTCCCGTAGCGATTCATGAATAAATCGAACTGTTGGGTTGGTTTTTGAGTTGGAAATTTCTGCAAGGCCCCTTGACGAGCTCAACAAAAATCGACTGATGTGTCCAAAAGTAATAGCATCCTGATCCCATTCGGCCAAGCTCTCTGAAGGATTCAGGCCAGAAACAACCGCAAAGTAGAATTCTTCGTAGCGTAGAGGCCTTGCTGAAAAAAGGATCCACTGGATACAAAGCAAGAAGCGATCCATATCGTGCCTATCTCTCAAAATTATGTACTTAAATAGCTGGTTTAGGTCTGAAGGTAGTTCTTGCAGCCGCCTTTTCACGGTTAAGATATTGCCATGCTCGTATGCTTTGTTAAGAATGCCAATCACAACAACAACCCACGTGAATACGCCGTGTGACTTGTCAAGTATTTGGGCAATAACCTCCTTACTTTCCACTGCCAGTTCACGTTTGACATATCGTTTCAGGTCGTCGGTATGTCCAGGTTGATCCTCCAATATCAACTTCTGGCCGTCTTGAATGGTGATATAGGGATAGTGTCGGCTTGAACAGCATATATGAATCATCTTAGAAGCTTGCGATGCTAGCTTGCCCAGCTGGTCGAAATGTTCAATCATTGAACGAATATCATCTTCGTCGCACTCATCAAGAGCATCGATGTAGCAAATCAGGCGTCGGTGACCCAATTTCTGCACAATTCTGCCAAATATATCCTGAAGTGTCTCTATTGTGAGATTTGCTGGTGACGTTCGCTGGGAACCCAAAGCGTTGAATGACGTTCGGAGGTCTGGAAATTTTTGAAGCGTCTGATAGAGTAGTGAGCGATACATTCCTTCCGTCGTTTTTTCCAATGGACCTCCATTTGCGTTGAAGAAGAATGATATGACCGCCATATCTGAAGCTGGATTCCGACCCCAATTTTCGATACAAAATTTCATCAATGTTGATTTGCCAGCACCAGGCTTTCCGTTAATCCATAAACGGCCGTGGTGCTCATGGAACTTGCTTGGGTCCAACCAATCGACATAATACGGATGTCTAAGAAACCAACTGCAAGTTCCGGGGCGAGCAACCCTAATTGCATCGTACCCAGTTTGTCTCTCTTGAAAATCTAGCAGGTTTAGCGGATCTCTCGTTTGGAATGCTGACGGTTCTGGCCCTATCTGGGTGTGAGTTAAGAGCAGTTTTCTCGTAAAAGAAGCAGCTTGCAAGGAAACGTTACGACGTATGATCGAAAGAAGCTCCACCGTATATGCTGCCGCGACTGCAGAGGCATAGCTTTGCCACGCCTTGTTTTTGTGAGAGTCTGAATAGTCACATATGCCTCGTATGACAAGACATGGGAAACTATCTATCATCTGTGCCGCCTCCATCTCAAAACAAATGGCTCCTAGTTCCTTTGACAGCCGATCCCTAGCACTTGCGTCTTCAATGATTCGATTGCCGAATGCTATTTTCCCGTAGTGTATTATAGGTTCTTCTGATGTTCGAGGAGGTCTAACTTGGAGCTCCGTTATGTCGCAGTCATCGCAATCGGATGTAGAAATCGCGTGAGCGTACGAGCTTTCAAACAGCATATCTTCTACTCTTGGGCGAGCCCAGTCGGCCATTTTTGGGAAGCGTTGGACCATCTTGAAAAGGATATCCGGTACTTTGCTTTGAGTTCTGGAATGGCGTGTTCGAAGCCTTTTTATGGCGAGTGCAAGCGCCAGTGGGGGTCGATTGGGAAGTCCTGTGCAATGAAACTCGCCGTTTGGCAGTGTTTTGCCCATATCGTACTGAATAACCTGTTCGCCGACAACAATATCGCCAAGCCTGACATCTGTCTCCCGCGTTGGAGCTCCACCACCAATTCCAACCATGAGCCGTATGCCGATGGATGGGAAGCTATGTGACATTTTCGCAGCGGCGGCAGCGGCATGGCTTGTGCCGTATGTGCCACTTGGAATACATGTGATGACGATGTTGTGGGTGCCGATATTTCCCAAAGTGTAGCTGTTTCCATCCCGAGAACTTGTGACCAGCGGCTCGTGGATACGATCCAGCATTGCTTCTGCTGCAGCTCTCTCCACCGGAAGGGCACAAATCCAACCCACATTGTAATCCTCAGCTGCCAAAACTTTATTCAATCGGTCGTAGTAGCTCGGTCGTGGACGTGTTCGCCGATCGTTGAACGATTCATCTTCGTCGGTTGGGGGATGGGTTCTGCTTGTCGAAGCCATGGCTTGAGGGTGCTCAACTATTTCAACTACCATCGGAGTGTGTATCGCCAGCTTTCAAATGGAGGCTGGTTGAGCGAACCCGGGACGGCTGTCGCTACCGTAGAGGCGGAAGGGGACAGAGGCGAGGAGGCAAATGGTGAAGCGGGGGAGGGAGCCCTTTGCCTTCAAAGAATTCTGGGCTGACAGGCTGCCAATGCTCAGCCACATTCTCGGTATGTCTCATTGTGAGTCTGCCTGAATGAATGGCTGAACGGATGGCTGCGGTGTGCCCAAACCAGCCAATATGAGGCGCTTGGTTGTTCCAGTTATGCAGGACGCAAATGGCTAGGCGCCAATGGGACCAGCCGCGTCTCGAGAATCTGTCACAGCCACAACACTATGTGCACATGAGAGATTTCCCTTGATTTGATTATAAGCGTATGCGCCATAATGATAGAATGTGAGCTTTGGACAACTTCGACGTAGATTCGATAGATAAAAGTGTCCGACTTCTCAGGACCGAAAAGAAACAGCCTGCTGGTGATGTACCACTATTAGTAGAGATGATCAAGCTGGGATAGTACCTAGGACAGTTCCCAACAATCTCTGCAGGTGCGGGAGATTCTGAGTTTATTTTCGGCGATGATAAGGAGTTTGAAAGACTGGTCAAAAGTTTCACTAGGAGTTGGGCACAAGTAGCGCGAGAGAGGGCGGAGGAAGAATTAGAAGATAAGCATAAAAAGGCAGCCCAAAGTCCATCAAATGGCAAGCAGATTTCAGCGCAGCTACCCTAAACACCAATATGCCGCTTTCGACACGTTGGTCGGAGTTGGGAAGGGTGGCCGTTCCAGCTTAGGGCAACAATTACAGCTACAGAACTTGTCACATTTGCATCAACCCCCTAACCCAAGCCCAGCACCAATGTTCCTTGATCATTAAGGTATTCTTTCATGACCATTAAGCATTCTGACCTATCTCTAGATACTGGCTCGCTATAAAGCTGCCATGGATTCCGCACAAGCTTCACCAATGTCTCAAGGTGTTATAGTGATCTGGTTGAACTCAACCGAGCCAGATCTACAAGTCCATGATCATTTCCAGATCCCCGCCGGTAAATAAGAGGACTAGCGAACCACATGTTTAAGTGCTCCATGTTTTGGAGAATTTAACCCAGTTCAAGGCTATCCACCAACAGAAACAGCCGTGTTCCCCGATGTCCTTCATGGAAAAGGCTATGCAGGGCGTCAAGGGGGTTTCCCTGTAACAAAGCGCTTCGCTAGAAAACTGCGCAAATGGAACCAAGACGTGCGCAGGACCTAAACGAAAGGATTGAAGAACTTTATTCGAAGATGGTATGGAGAAGATTTGCGCCTGAATCTCCCGCCTCCAAAAGATCCAAAGCATGCCTTCTAGTCTCTTAGTGTTATGAGTAAATTGTGAGAACTGACTCAGAAATCCCTCGTAAATTTGACGCCCAGATTGAAAATACTGCATGACAACCCAATGTTGCCGATGATCTCTCTCAACTTGTTCTCACCCAGGAGCGCACCACCGAACTTCTCAAAGACAAGTTTGGCCAAACTTGCTCCTATTATCTTTCGAGTTCTCGTTTTCGCCCAGGGTTGATCCGTCGAATTTTTTAACCAGAGGTTTTTCCAAGTGGCCGATACATTCGGATTGAGATGTTGCGCCCTTTAACTCTCCAACCGAACTTGGTAAAAACATCCTTTGTCGCCAGTTCAGTTGCTTTCAGTGCGATTGCATAGGCATGATTACCAAGTGCGAGCATTGCCTTGCTGGTCTGGTGCAAGATACACGGGCTGTTTTGGTCACCGCACTGTGTTCTGTCCGCTCGATGTCTTTCCTGCCTTGAGGGTGTCGTCGCAATAGACTTTGTCGCTAGGCAAGGGTGAAGCTGGTGGACATGCGCTCTAGAGGTCCTCGAGCCACTTAGCAACCAAACTATTGATAACTAGCCAACCAACAGCCCAGCTCCGATCTCGTGGATGACGACAATATTGCCATTCATTTTTTAGATGCTCCAGACGAGGAACTTGAAGTGTTCTAGGAGGGGGAAGAAGTCTGCTAAGGACCTCGGACATCTGCCTTTAGCTTCGGCATTATTAGGCAAGGTCGGATTTGGCGCATCTTGATGTTCTTATTTTTCATGCACAAGATTTCCTTTTTGCCTGCCCACAGCTGTGAATCATCGGAGCCAATTCTGCGACACAGGTTGTTGAATGGCCTCGATCTTGCTGTTTAGCGCACAACCTTTGCGCCATGTCTCTGGCAGAGAGGCCTCCAACTGAAACGCCAAGCCAGGCGAAGGTAGTGGTAAAACAGACTGGAATGCAGCTCGGCCGAGGAATTGCAGCACTGAATGAAAATCACTACGGATTAAGCCAGTGGGAGGACTGATGACAGACTTGAAGACATTGTCGCAATTCGTTCTTGGCAAGAAGGAAAGCAAAACTTCTGTTTAAAATAAACCACATGACATCAAAGAGACTTGAACAGTGGAACTGAGCAGCATGAATATCCTTCTGATTGATTCTCTAGGGATCACACAGCGTTGCAGATACGGCCCTTCTTTTTGTGGTTGCATTAGATTATATATATAGTTATCCTCTATGTCGCTCATTGAAAACACCATCATCATCACCCCCAGCCCGCTATGTCAGCTTGTTCGACTGCTTGACGGGAAGCGCCACCCTCCTCGACCTGCGGCACATGTACCCATACATCCACGACAGCCCGTGGTTGACCAGCGAGAACCCAATCAGGCAGCCCAGGACGGCCAGACCGTACCAAGTCCACGGCCGGTCGCCCAGCCACATCAGGACGCGGGCATCTCCGGTATGCCAGGTGCTGCTCTCCAGGTCGGTGATGTACGGCAGCATCTGGTGGGGGGTGACGACGTTGAAGGTCGGCGAGGGTCGGGAGGGCAGGTGTCGGAGGTAGTCGGAAATCACCAAGCTGATGAACATCGGTCCCGAGGAGAACATGATGTTGCTGTAGGGCTGGAGGCGGGCCCAGAATCGGGTCCAGCGGTAGTAGAAGGGCAGCTCGGAAATGGCCTGGTAGAGGGCCGGGTGCTTGGCGGTGGAAATCATGACGTCGTTTGTGACACCCGTCGGCTTCGTCGACTGGAAGAGGGCGCGATGCTCCGACTCGGAGCTCACGTCGAAAATGGGGAATTGCTTGATGCACACCGTGTCCATGTCGAGGTAGATGCCTCCGAAGTGGTAGAGGACGAAGTAGCGGATGGCGTCTGCTCGCTGGATGGGGAATGCATAATTGTCCCAGAGGTCCACGAACCAGGGGTACTCGGTGGCTAGAAATTCATGCGCCGACTCGTCCGTCCAGAGCTGCCAAAAGGTCAGAACAATTTGTTTCTACAATTCCTGCGCGGGAAAATCCCCCGATGGGATGGGGGGACGGGATGCTGGTCGGGGCTTACCATGTATGTGAAGTTTGAGTAGACCGACTGGCAGCTTCGTTGGGAGTCGATCCATTTCTGCGGGATGGTGTCGTTGGCGCAGGTCTGGTGCAGGATCCGTGGAACTTCGTAATCGCCCGAGTCCGAGTCCTCGCTGCCCAACACTGAGCCGCCAGGCATGGCCCGGGGCCCGAAGAGCTCGTCGTTCCGCGTCAACAGGATGATCAATGGGCCGACGAGCCAGACGAGGAAGGCGATGATGGAAAGGTCAATCACCACCAGGGTGAATGAGAACTTGAACAGCCTCTTGGGCGAGAGGCATCGCAGCAGGAACAGGCGGCGCTGCTTGATGGAAGTGGGAGGCTGCTGCTCCTCGAGGCTGACCTCTTCATAGGAATATTTGCTCGCCATGCTGGTGGTGGTGGTGGTTCGTCAACATGGGGAAGGTTGTGGAAAAGCTTGAAAAAAGCTTGGCCCTTCCGTCGTGGGGGGAAGCGGGATAAAATCAAAGTTGCAACGTCATATTGATAGATCCCTTGGGCAAGGAGGGATCCTGCAAAAGGAATTTACACGGGTGGGTATCGCTCCTCGCTGAGGCCGTAGCGCGCTCCTTATTTTTGGAGGAGCAGCATGACAGGAGACAAGCCATCGACGTATTGCGTAAGACCACCACGCATCCATGCGAATCATGATTTCCTATATCGAGCAGCTACCCCAATCTAAAACGAAATGACGCCCCTAAGAGAACCCTACTTTGGATCATACGATCAGGTGCCTCATTGGGCGAGCTGGAGGGCAGAGAGGCAGCGCGACTAGCAGTGCATAAGCCACCTGAAGCTCCATATTTACTGCGTACTTACGCACGCTGCTCAGCCTGTGTAGCATGCACGACGGAGCAGATGGCAGGACATGAATGGCTGTGTCTCTAGTGGGTGTGCCTGTGTGTGCCGGCGCGGCCTGGCTGTTTGGCTACAGTCAGATTAGAGTGCCAGGCCTAACGGTCTGTGTGACGGAGGCCGCGTCATGTGCTGATGCGTAGCGTCTTCCGCCCTCTTCTCACTTTTAAAATGAGCCCTCCTCGCTTGAGATGCCACTTGTGGCCGCCCCCCCGGCTGTTTCTGGTGGGGACCCTGGCCGACGCAGACCAGCAGAGCAGAGATTGAAATTATCCTTAAGGTTATACGTCATTGGCGAGCCCAGGATGGATCCGGCAGGTGGAAAGCCAGCCGAAGAAGCCGAGCAGTCCGGTGTGTCCTACTATAGTACCCGCGCATCGGTTTTGGAGAATCTGAGATGCGAAGACCGAAAATATGCGAGGCGATGCGAGTCATGCCACGGGCCGCAGCCACTGGCAAAGGGCCCAGGCTGCTGCCCTCAGCGGACCCCCGAGCGGAAAGTCAGTCTGTCTTAAGATAAACTCGCGGAGTGGTACAATAATTGTGGTGCGTTTCATTCCCTGGTGTGGCCCAGCGGGAAATACAGGACGCCGACAGCCCGAGGAGGAGACTCACCATCCTGGTCGAAACAGACGGCATCCAATGATCACCATCCCGCTAGATGAGGGAAGCCGTAGTTCGGGAGCCCTGACCTCCGATTTCCTATCCGCCTCAGCATTCTCATTTTCAGGGAGGGAGCCATGTGCTCCAGTGCGCATTTTTAGCAACACGCGTCCCCTGCCCTCATCATTATCATTACGCTTGAACTCTATTGCCCGTGTCTCACATGTGCTCTGCGTGTGCAGCAAAAAAGGTACCGCGCGGGTCTGGGTAGCCAGTGGACGCGCCCTACTCCTGAGTCCTGCATACCCAACGGAAAATCTTGGCAGCATCTTGGCAGAGGTCCCTCCGCTTTTATTATTTGGAAAGATTTTATCCGCGCATTGAATGAAAACTTTATGGTTGGGTGTGGTCCTCAGTTGGTCGGCCTCTGCCCAAAGAAAGATAGTGAAGTGATCAGCTTGTCAGCTTCTTGGCGGGCCACTACACCAGACCAAACTACAAACCCAATTCTCCTGGCTTCAGCTGTGTACAGGTGAGACTCAATGTCATGACAGAGTCGAGCCAAGGGCGGTTCCCAGGAGTAAGCTACGTATCGCTCTGCCGTCGTGACATAGATGCAGGTCTTTATCGCTACAGCGTGCTTAACTTCAAAAGTGACCTGAACAAGGACCTCGATTATCGCACAACTTGTGACGAAGACGATTATGTTCAAAATCTAGACCTGACATGACGACTCCCGTTTTCTAGAAAGAGGGTGACTGGACGCGAATCTGGCTACGTCATCTGAGTTGCATTTACATCCTAAGCATCATCGAAGTGAATATGGCTGCTGGCTGAACTACAGGATGATCCTATGAACAGGCAAGCACCAATCCCAGACCCCGGAGTTCCTCCCAGAGATACGGTGAACGATCTCAAGTCGAAAACGTAATCTTGCCAAGTAACATCCCGACCGTCGAGGGCTGCTCCCCAGCTGCGGGGTACACGTAGCACACCTTGACAGCACAGCCAACTGGCTCCACGATTGTAGGAGAGACATTTGTGGATAGCTGGCGGTCTCCTCTACAAGAATGATCGATTCATAATCTAAGAAGCAAACCTGTGTCTGGAGCTATGGCTACTGAAGCATCTCTTCCTCAAGACGCCGTAACGTAGCACCCGATATGAGGTATTCAACACATGAATCCCGGGTCTCTCTCACCTCGACTTCACTCTGATCTTCCGACGCTTTGCTCCTCAGCGAGATTTACCGACAATCGGACGGTTCTATATTGGTAAGCGGGAATTGTCTTGTCAGTAATGATCTCCATGTGGGTCAAACGTCTTGTGTGGGCCTGACACAAAGATGAGGAGAGGAAGACATTGCATCTGTGTTCCTATGGATCTCCAAGGAAGTAAGCCATGATGTTCCCTCACAGGAACACAATTCCCAGTTGTTTAAGTCTAGAAAATCTTAAAATAGACAATGATATAATGTCAGTTTGAAGATGCTACGGTAAAAAGACAAAGGCTTCAACACAACACAAGAGGTCGGGAGTGGAATGATGCTGTTTATCCCGTACAGTGTCGTCATTGTTGATTTTGCCTACTCAGCCAACCTGAACTGGACGAATTGCAGGGGATAACATCAACGTTCAAAATTTGCTTTGCCTGGGAGTCCGCTCTGCTTCTTCTGGGCCTGGCGTCTCCCTGAGTTTAGAAGCTGGACCCCCCGGTCACACGCCTTCAAGCAAGCAAGAAAACCTGGAATGTTCGACAATTGAACCAATGTCTTAGTTCGGAGGGTCGGGCACAGAAGGAATACTTGACAAGATTGGACATAGCTGATACAGAATTGCCATCACGTATCGGACACATCAGACCAAGATGAGATTTAAGCGCATGAACTGAGTTCCCTCATCGTTTGAAGTTGTCCTTTAATCCACTTTTTCTTTCTTAATGCTAAAAAGAGAGTCGCATTTCCTTCTATCTTTCGGCAAGCCACTGCAACCATAAAGTCACAGTACGTAAAGGTGTATATTTTGTAAGTTCGACACCGTGCTTGCTGGATAAGTATGATACAAGCATATGGATTTAAAGAATTTCGATCTAGCTTTTGATCTTACCAAAAAGTGAAGGTAGTACTGTCTATCCAGCATTCTCATGGACACTAGCTTTAACTTGGCAAGTAACTATGTCGAAGTCTCTTTAGACAACAAATTGGACGCCCCTTTCTCGCGGAGTATACCAGCAAGTCTAATGCCCACATCCTCCGCTTCCTCATCGCTGCGAACGAGGGCCGAGAACTCAGCAGTAACCCCCGTTGTACCCTCCACATCGAGGACTGTGCCAGACAGTCGAAGTCTACCCCCATTATCCTGTGCGACAAGTTCCTCACCCCCCTGAGACGTTTCAAACGTTGAATGGACGCCGATTGGAGACGAGCAACCTCCCTGGAGGGTTCGCAGCATCGCCCTTTCGGCCATGGCAAGCCATCGTGACTTCTTATGATCGGCCGCTTGAACGAGCCGGAGCGTATCTTGACAGCCTGTCTTGATCTCGACACCAAGCGCGCCTTGGCCGACGGCATAAGGGAAAACTTTGGGATCAAGCCTTTGTGTGATTCGGCGCTCGAGGCCCAGCCGTACCAGTCCTGCGGTGGCCAGTAAAATACAAGAGAATTTCGAGTCCGGAGCATCGAGCTTAGCGAGGCGGGTGTCTCTAACATGGCGTGTCAGGTTCAACGTTCGCGTAGGTGTATTAATATTGTTAAGAAATTCTTCTCATCCAAGGTACTCACACATTCCCACGGCACTCCGCGACCTCCAGATGAGGCCAATTGTGTCGAATCAGCGCTCTTCTTCTCGACGAACTCGACCCAACCACGGAACCAGGTGGCAGCTGGTCAATAGTTTTATATTCGGAGTTTGGTCTCATAATCACGGCATCAGTTGGCTCTTCGCGCTCGGGAATAGCCCCGAGCAGACAGTTGGGCGGCAGTGTCGTCGGCATGTCCTTGAGACTGTGGACGAGGAGATGGGCCTTGCCAGACAACAAATCCTCCTCCAGCCCGTTCGTCCACAGGCTCTTGCCGACGTCAGACCCGCCCGTCTGCTTGGAGAGCTGCATGAACGGCGTCTGCTTGTCCGCATCGCCCACGACACTGCGAGTGGCAATTTCAAATGGAGGGGGCCGTTCCAGGGCTCTCTCCAGCTGCGATACGATGTAACGGGCCTGGATGAGAGCTAGTTCCGATTTGCGGCATCCAACAACCACCACCTCAGAACCGGAGGAGGTGAGACGGGGGTTGGGCAGGTCGGCGCCAGCGCTCTCAGGGTGCCCTTTCCCCTCCTTGTCTTGATCGTGGCTCATAGTTTCGTGTTTGTGGTTTTCGTGAATGTGTTTATCGTATTTGAGGATTCTGAAAAGTCTGCGCCGCTTAATAATGGAATTGAGGTTTAGGTCGTGGTGCTTGCTCCGGTATCGCCCTACCCTATACCTGTATCTTCACCATTCACTTTTTAAAGTAGGTCCAGTTCAAGGAAGAATTTGTTTAAATAGTCCTTTGCAAATATTATAGTCCATTAAAGTTCTCTTCCATTGCATTCCTTTCAGTTAATAGTTTCTAATCTTAGCTATCGGAAGCTGAAGTATTCCCGAGCTTCATACTCAAATCAGAGCAGACTGAAATACTCAGTTTAAATCCACTGCCCAAATACTTCCTCGGAAATCATGCTATCTAATTAATTTATTACCAAGGTCGCCAATAGAACCTTTCATTGAATTCGTACTATTTGCCCCTCTATTTTCGGCGAAATTATTCCCGAGTGCAAAGGCTACATAGGTCAAATGATCAATGCATGTATGATCGGGGGCCCATTGGCGATGGAGGATCAACACCTGATCGCCCTTTAGCCGAGAAAATTTGCTGATACGACTTGCCTAGTATCTTTAATGAGGATTTCATCACCCATTTGTGATGTAGAGGGGAAGTTCCGAAGGATGGGGTGCATCGCGGGGTAAAGATATAGCTAAAGACCCGAGTTGATCCTCGTATACGTTCTATCGGCCGCAAGGTTCCTCATCTCTATAAAAGGAAAAAGAAAGAAAGGAAAAGTATGGCTTTGCTTGAAAGTTCTTCCGGCCAGAATTAACACCACGATGTTGACATATCTTATCATACCCTTGCTTGTGGCAAGTTGCGCGAGAGCGCATCCCGTCAATGACCTTACAAGACTATTTGACGAGAATATATATGCGCGCCTTTGGAGAACTGCTTTGACTGGGCCACCGCAGTCCGGCTCGGAGAGTGGATGGCCACACTATACCCAAGGAGCCTACAACAACACGCCGCTTTCAAGCACTGCTGCAGGAGTGTACATCAACGCTCAGGCATCCGGTTGGACCTCAGGGTTCTTCCCTGATGCATTGTGGCAGGCCTACCGTCGTCGCAAGGAATTGTTGCCTCATACTTATGCGAAGGAGCCCTCATCGAATGAATGGTTGGCTATGGCTCAATCGTGGACGGAACCACTCAAAAGTAACATCAACTTGACCTCGACCCACGATCTCGGCTTCCTCGCAAAGCCTTTCGAGAGTGCCTTGCAGATCACTGGGACAGATGAGTATCTCCCAGTGCTAAGAAACATGTCCCTAAACCTTGGGAATCGCTTCGTACCTGGTGCTGGGATCATCCGCTCTTGGGACTGTAGTGATTACGTCTCATCGACCTGCAGCCACGACGATTCCGTCCTCGTTATTATAGACAATATGATGAACCTGGCTCTGCTTGCACGATCGGCAACGGATTACACTGGCAACACGACCTTGCTTGACATCGCCAAATCTCACGCTGATAAGACAATGGCCAACCATGTACGCCCAGACGGCTCCTCATTTCATGTATGCGACTACAGCGCAACCTCGGGCGACGTATACCTTTGCCGCACAGCACAAGGCCTTGCCGATGACAGCACCTGGTCGCGAGGCCAAGCATGGGGCATTTATGGCTTTGCAGAATTCTATTCGCTGACCAAGGACGTGGCTTATCTGGAGACCGCGATCCGCATGGCCAACTGGTTCATTGACCATCTCCCCGAGGACGGTCTCCCCTTTTGGGACTTCAAGGCAGAGTACATCCCCGACACAACACCCAGAGACAGCAGCGCAGCGGCTATCGCGGCAAGCGGAATGCTTCTTTTGCAGGAGCAGATTGAACTGGATGGCTATAAAGGCGTCAAATACGACTACCGTGCGGAAGCTGTACGGCTTTTGAAGACGTCCATTAAACTGGCTTTCGCAGGGGATATTAGCTTTTCTGACATGGTCGAACTCGGTGCCGAGACATTTATTGATACGCCTGCGAATACTCCAGCGACGAAAGGTTTCGAGAGTATTATGCTACACGCTACAAGCAACAATAACCCCAAGGTTCCGAATCGAAATTTTGACACTGGCCTTAGCTACGGTGATTTTTATCTGGTCGAGGCTGGGAATAGGCTGTTGGAGTTCAAGTCAGAGAAGACTTTGGTTGATGGATTGTGAATTGATCGTGAGCCTAACTTGGGACGGAAGGAGTCTACTCTTCTGAGGGTTGAGCTCATAGGCAGCTCATAGACTTGGATATGCTTATTGAATGACACTTCAAATTTGATTATTCCATCCAGCGACAAATAAATCCTCTTTGCCATTATCAGCGGCCTTTGACATTGTGATAATATGAAATGGTGACATCAGGCACAGCTATTCGTTACGAATAAAAAAATCCCTTTCTAGCCTCTCAGGATTTGGAAATTGATACATCTTTCGTCGAACGAACAGCGACTTCTCCGTATCAGTCACCGATTTCTTTCGTCTCAAAAGCCTCTATGACGTCCAGCGAGGTTCTTTCACCCCGAACTAGAAGGACACCCAGATGTTAATAACATGAGCAAACTCATACTACGCATCGATATCTATCTCTGTATCAGACAGCTCATCACCCTCATCATCACTATCGAACCCGTCCAAATACCCTGAGCTACACTGTCCATCTACTCCATCCCCTTCCATCTGGCTACGCCAATCCCATTCCGCGAGGAGTCTTACTGTACGATACCGGCGCGCGCTGGTCGCGACCGAGATTGCAGTGGCCCCATCATGGCCTTGTAAAGCTGCGTCGACCTTCCCCGATTGTAGAAGAAGCTTGACAAGATGAAAACCCTGGGACGACCCCGCAGCGAGCACGAGCGGTGTGAATCCCCTGTAATCCCTCACGTTGGCATCGAGATCCTCCTGCTGTAAGAGGCATTCGGTGACCTTCCTGGCATCAACGGCGCAAGCGTGATGCAGCGCGGTCCTACCCAGCTCGTCCGCTTCGTTAACATCGACTTTCCCCGAGTCCAGCAGATATCTCGTGACTGGCACGCTCTGTCCATATACCGCGCATACGAGTGCTGTCCGACCTCGCTCCCCCAACCTCTGGTCGAACCTTGAATCACCAGATTCCACTATGAGTTTCAAGACGGATACCTTACCCCTTCCAAGAGCAGACAAGAATGCCGTGGTGCCATCATTACTCCTTGCACACACATCGATCTTCCCAGTGTCCACCAAACATCTCATAACGGCTTCGTGGCCCCTTCCAGAAGCCAGCATCCACGGTGTATACCCGTGAGATGTCCTAGAGTCGGGATCTACTCTTCCTGAATCCAAGAGTAGCTCGACAGTTGACAGGTGACCTTCGGTGGCGGCCCACGCGAGTGGCGTGAATCCATGGTTGTCCCTGGAATCAACGTCCACATTCTCCATACCAATCAGCGTCTTCACCACATCCAGAAGGCCTTCCCTAGCAGCCAGTGAGAGCGCTCGGTGCCCATCATCGCCCCGGTGGTTTACATCCACGCCGTCCTGCTCGAGGAGCATCCTGGCAGCATCATCATGAGCGCCAGAAATGGCGAGCATGAGTGCGGAGTACTCGTTGTCGGTATGTGAACCAGCTTCAGCCTTTCCAGAATCCAGGAACAGCTTGACAGTGGCGGTGTAGCCACCCGCGGCGGCCAGCAAGAACGGCGTCGTTCCCATCTGATCCCTCGCGTTGATGTCTACCTCGCCCAAGCTCATCATTGTTTCAATCATAGGCCCCCGCGCCCAACGCATTGCCTGATACAATGGCGTCTCTCCCCGCAGGACGGGTGAATGGGGAGCGATGCCGGCATGCTCCATCAGGAGCTTCACCACGGCTGCGTGGCTCCTCATAATGGCCATTTCCAGCACCCCGTAGTCGCCTCGCTGCATCTCGCTCTGGCCGGAGTCCAGCAGGAGCTCGACCGCGGCGGCGTAACCCATATCAGCTGCGGTGAGCAAGGGCGTCCTGCCGGCCCTGTCCCCTAAATCAACCTTGACTTTACCCGAGCCGAGCAGCAGCTTCAGCATGCTCTCGTCCCGTAGGTTGACAGCTGCCAGCAGCGGCGTCTCGCCCAGGTTCCTATCCTGGAAGTTTCCATCGGCATTTTCAGACGACAGTATCAGTCTGGCCGTTTTCTCGTCTCCATTCCTCACCGAGTGCCACAAGGCTTCGCCCCCCGGGGCCCCGGCGTTGACCGCCTTGATTGCTGTCTCCTCCCTGCAAAAAAGGACAGCCCAGGTCAGGGCAGAGCCGCCGAAGTCCTCTGCATTGCGGCGGTACAGGACGCTATTAAAGGAATGGTAGAGATGGCGACTGGTCAGGACGAGCGCGTTGATGTCTCTTTCTGTCTCGAGCCAGGAGACGACGGCTGCGAGGATTTCATTTGGGAGGCGGAGCATTGGAAGCAGGTGAGCCGAGTCGCGAGATGAGATCCAGGTGGGTAATGGGCTACTGACTGGGACAGAAATGGCGAACTGACAGGTGCAAAATCAAGTCAAGAGTATTGGCTCGTCAAGTATCACGCTGGTTTTGAAGTAACTTCTTCTGTTTATCGTCGCACAATCATGCTGGGCCGAATGGGCTGAAATGGCGGTTAGCCCTACCCTCACGGGAGATTTGATGTCTCAGTTGATGCGTGTCAGCATCATTCATGTCGGCTGGAGACAGTAGACTGGCAGGCCACACAAACGGGCAGGACGCCGCAGGACGTTTGAGGGTTTTGCGAGGGGACCAACGAAGTACAGCACTACTAAATCTATCAGTAGATCCTTTTAATTGAACACTTGAGATACAATTTCTCTTCACAAAGCCCCGTATGCTTGGTCATAGTGGCGACTTCCTCCTGTTGTCTGGGTGGTCTAGGGTAGTTAGACATCAGAACCGTTGCTCGGACGGAAGATCATTGAAATTAGGGCGGCAGCACAAACGTTACACACAAAGCCACAATGTGTTCCGCCATAAGGCGAACTCACAATGGAAGCCATATATAGAAACAATCACGCAGCGCAATAAACTCATGCCAGGAAGAAGCTTATTGTGCTGATCAGAGGGTGCTAAGCCATAACCTGCACATTAGGGCCGGGGCCTAACTCTAAGACAAGGTGACACTGCGCTCGTCTCAGCAGGGCTTGGCTGCCTCTCTGCGGGCGGCCTCTGGATGATCCCAATGTTGGTGTCGCATTCCGCAGATCATCGAGGCGCGGACCGGATAAACAAACTGGCAATCTATTGATGGATTTGATTGATGGATGGAACACTTTTCTGTACTTGCAATGTGTATTGCGCAGAGTCTTTTGGCTCGGAAATGATGTAGGTGTCGTCTATAATTGGATGTAGAGGAGTTCGTCTTGTGTTGGTACTTTGTGTGATGCAGATGGGCTCGTGTGTCAATTTAATTTGATGTCATCCGGTTGCAAGGGAAGGGAGATCGCGACTTTTGATTCTAGGCGGCATCCGCAGTTGTGCAGCGCAACACAGGGCGACGTAATAAATTGAAGCCAAGGCGCTGCGCCGTGGCAGCACCAACAGCGACGTCGATTTTCATTTCTAAATTTGAGCTGCAGGGTCGCACCGTTGGTTACGTGCCATCGAAGTGCGTTTCAACGGTGCTCCTCCTCGGTGTCCGACGACCCATCACGGTTTGTTTCAACGGTTTGATGGAGTCACGCGAGGCAGTGTTGGAGGATGGTTACAGCGTGCTGGCTTGGTTGGCTGGCGGCTGCGGATTACTAACGGTGGTCGCGTGAGTTGCTGCCCCAGAGCGTCTACCCAGACTCATATTACTTCATCCAGGCACACAGCATTGCCCAAAGCAAAAAGAAAGGCCCGACCAGGGCATCTGCACGAAGAAGGGGGCGGAGATACGAGCAGCCGCTTGTACTCTGGCCCTTCAGCTGGGTGGGGAGCTACCTCAGCTTGCTCAGCGACTCGGCTGCCACTAGGGTAGGGAGCACGCTAGGATCACTAGCCGGCGGAGTGTCAGCACACAAGACGGCGGGGCCCTAGCGACTAACACGCTGCTATAATTGGCTCCAGCGCATTTCTGGCGGTGGCTGCCCGCCCCAGCCACACGCGGATCGCTCTGGACCTCCCACAGCACCAACTGAACCGCCTGCACAGCGTAACCAACCAACGACCGAATGAGGCACCGTACGCTGAGACAGTTTCGTGCAATAAGCCTGCGTTTCCCACCGCCATAAGACGGACAAGAGCCAAGTGACTGCGGCCCGAAACGGCCCACAAAGACTGCCTTGTCCACGCGTCAAATTCTGCTCTTCAATCTAAAAAAGGAGCCCCAGTCGTTCTGTCCCGGGCTGCCATTGTCCTGTCTGCTCTCGCCTTCTTCCGACCAACTTTATTTCCCCTGTTTTTTCTATTCTTAATCTCCAGTCTCCCTCTACCCACATCCATCCCCTCACGTGTGCACGCGACCTCACCACCACAGCACGCGACCCCAGCAAATCCATGAGTTCGCCATGTATCGCACTCTAGGAAAAGTCCCTCCCGTCTCCAAGAGGTTAATTGCCTCCTATGTCCTCGACTGGATCATCATCTTCGCTACCGCGGGCGCTGGCCTTGCCCTCGGTCGCTTCGAGCCGCACAAGCGCCACTTCTCCCTGATGGACCCAACCATATCGTAAGGCTTCTGAGGCTTCGCCCTACGTCACACCCAGCCGCTAATCGCTTGACAGGTTCCCATACACAGAAAAGGAGCTTGTGCCCATCTGGCTCGCCGGTGTTATCAGTGGCGGCATCCCAATCGCCCTCGTTATTCTTGTATCACTGATCTTCGTGCCTGGGCCAACTGTGCCCGTTGGCACACCCAAGGCCATCGTCTGGAGACGCAAGCTATGGGAGCTGCATGTTGGATTGCTAGGTCTTGGTCTCTCCCTTGCCACCGCTCTGTTCTTCACCGAGGCCACCAAGAACATCTTTGGCAAGCCCCGCCCTGACATGCTCAGCCGATGCCAGCCAGACATTGAGAACTGGAAGAACTACATTGTTGGCGGGTATGAGCTGGGCAGCATGGACGGCCGTGTCGTCTCGGCTGCCATCTGCCAGCAGACCGACTCCAAGAAGCTCGACGACGGATTCCGCTCCTACCCTAGTGGTCATTCATCCACCGCTGCCGCCGGTCTGCTCTACCTAAGTCTCTTCCTCGCCAGCAAGCTGTCCGTCAGGATCCCCTTCGCCATGCCTTCCGCCTCTGCCCTCTCCCGAGCCGATGCCTACGCCGCCTTCCCGGTCTCTGAGCGCAAGGCCACCTCCCCCGAGCCCTACGAGCCCCTCGCCAAGCCCGCCGGAAAGGCCTTCCACGCTTTCCGCAGCCAGGCCGCCTCTCCGCCTCTTTACCTGCTCTTCCTCATCACCGTGCCCTTCTCGGTGGGCGTCTTCATCGCCGCCTCGCGCTGGTACGACTACCGCCACCACGGCTTCGACATCCTCTTCGGCTTCACCATGGGCGCCATCCTCGCCATCAACAGCTTCCGCTTCTACCACACCCCCATCAGCGCCGGTGCAGGCTGGGCATGGGGCCCCCGAAGCCACAGGCACGCCTTCTGGTCCGGCATCGGCCTCTTCGGCTACAGGAGCAACGCGGGCGAGGTGCACCAGCAGCAGTACACCGAGGTGTCGGGGAGGGACATGACGGAGCTCCGAGGCCCCACGCCCGACATCGAGGCCAACCTCTCCTCCAACCGCGCAAGGAACGACTACGAGCTGCAGCAGATGCAGCACCAGCAGCAGGACGCTGGGTTTGATTTCGGGACGCACCCCACGACGCAAAGCAACCGCATCTGAGCCTGCTGAGCCGGATGTGTTTTAGATTCACGATGTTATTTTTAATGTAGATTTTCAATTCAATTCATTTCTTTCCCCTTCAATTTTTTTCCACTTTGAAAAAAGAAAAGTCAGATTTGAGGACACGGTGTGTCATGCTGTCAGCATTATCCCGGACCGCCCCAGCCACGTTGATCAGATACAGTCAGCACATGGATCGGTGTGAACGGTAGTTGTCCAGATAAGCTGCTGTCATCTTACGACCCGCTACGACGACGACAACTTGCGGTTATTTCCAGGGTTTGAGCATGTGACGTGCTCGACCGTTGACAAAGCGGCATCCTTCCCACAGTTAGACTCCGGCTCCGAACAAGGACGACGCATTGTGTTGTAGTGCAAACCCAAAATCCGCCGTTTATGCCAAGCAATGCACAGTCGTATTACTGAGACGCAGGCCAGCCCACCCCAAATTGCTACGACTTGTCGCTTGATTTGAGAAGTCGCTCGGTCATCGTGGGGGCGAAGGTGACGGGGTCGACATTATAGGAGATGCGCATCATCCCCGCCGGGGAGAAGGATTTGACCTCCACCACCCTTCTCCCTTGCCCTGTTGGTGAAGATTCTCGTATGCTGCGTGACACCCCTCACGAGAATCAGCATGGGAGGCAGTCCGCCCCCGTAGGTGGGCTTTGGTGGGTGAGCCGGATTTGGAAGGACGTGTGTAGACGGGTTGGCGATGCTGCTGTGTCTCCTCGATGTTTAGCTAAAGGCAGAGCTTTCTGCGAGGTGCGGGATCTCTTGTTCGGTGATGATCGTCCACGGCCTTTCACGAGTTCTTAGCTGAAGAGCAGATGTTCTTCCCCGTGAACTACCGTGCCTGGTTTAAAAAGGTGGCTTTGAATGCTGGGTATCTTGGACGGAAACTCTTGGGCAGGTAGAAGCTTTGATGTTCGGTTCATTGAAGAAGGCAAGCGATTGGTTCGGAATGACCGTCCTGGGCCTTATTCCGAGGAGTTTACCTTCGAATAGACGATGCATGTGGGACCGGGTATGTCTCGTGCTGGGCCAGGCCAGTTATTGTTCATGGTTAGCAATTTTAGAATACAGTTTGCCCTCCGCCTTTCCCCAATTCAACTATCACTTCACCCACAACGGCCCAGCTCGAACGCTTCAACTTGTTTGGTCCTTGATAGAATAAGGCGTTACTATCATGACGGGTAGCCTTGAAACCCTGTTATGACTGCCCGTAGTTAACTCGGATTCTCCTTAACTGGCCTGGCTGAGCTTAAAGATACGGAAGACAATAATACGCGAAATAGAGACGGACTGGAGTCCAGAAACAAACTCACTTCTAGAAGCAATCGTCAATTTGCTGTGATTGTGATGGAAGGGATAGTGTGCCGTCATTTGCCGAAAAGCCATCCTTATGGGGGAGAGTCGAGGCTTGGGAGAATGAGGGTGAGGAGGAGGTGACATATGGGCGAGGCAAAGACAAGCTTCGTCGAGTTGAGTCAGTTAGAAACTCATGGTTTAGATGTGAAAGTTCTTTTCCCATAGACAGTAAAATATACCGAAACTCCCTGTCGAAGTCAGGATTCAAACATGATCGGAGGCATTTGAGAAGCAATAGTAAATGCCAAGTTTAATATAAGCTGACTCTTGACCAGACCGTCGCTCAATTCGGAGTATTATTAACAGACTACAATCGGTACGAATATTTTGCAAAATCCTGCACAACTTCCTGGGCGGCGCGCTCGCCGCTACGGACAGCGCCCTCCATATATCCCTTCCACTCCGCCGCCGTCTCGGTACCTGCGAAATGAAGGTTACCCAAGGGCTGGCGCAGAGAACCCGAGCCGAGGGAGTCGAGCACGCCCGGGGGCAAGCTGGCACAAGGACAGCCGCCGCCAGTCCACCTGTCCTGGGCCCAGTCGAAGCATTGCATCTCGACGAAGTCGGCATCCACCCTTGCCCTGTCGCCGTACAGAGCACCAAGCTGAGCGAGGAGCTTTTCCTTCCTTTGATCCTCGGGGAGCGCTCCCCATTCGGCCCCGGGTGCGCCAACCATGAAGCAGGTGAAAGCATGCTTGTTATCAGCCGGGCTGCTGGTGTCGCGGATGACGCTTGCCGGGCCGACGAAGGATTGCACCAGGCCGCAGAAGCCCTTCTCGACCCAGAAGGGGGACTTGAACAGTAAGATGGCCTTGTTATAGTAGCCATACCTAGCCGACTCTGACCAAGCCAGCTTAACGGGGTCCAGCCTTGGCTCAAAGTTGATGGTCTTCAGTGCCGGGCTGGGGATGGTTGTGATCACCTTGCGGCCGCGGTAGGATTCGCCGTTCTCAGTCACAACCTCCACGGCGCCAGGCCCATGCTGCTTGATATCGCTCACTGCTGTGTTCAGGCGCACTGTATTGTCAGGCAACTCTGAAGCCAGCCCCGTCGAGAATGACTGCGTGCCTTGTCTGATGCGCAGATGCTGACCACCGCCCTTGCGATCGGACCTCATGGTGAGAAGCCCCCCACCAGACTTGCAATAGTTGAGAAAGAAGAGTGCTGAGAGTTCGGAGGGCTCTACACCAAGCATGGCGCGAGTCCACACGGTGGCTGTAGCGATACTTGTCTCACTCGCGTTGAGAGACTTGAGGTAGGCCTCAAACGTCATGGCGTCGAGAGTTGTGGCCTTGGGGTTGGCCGTGTCCAACGCTTGGCAGTCTGCCTCGCAGGTGTCGCGGATCCGGGCGACATCATCTGCTGTCGCTTTATCAAACTGGGTGAGATTGGGTTAGTTCACAAGCCTCGTCTGGTAGCATCATTGTCGACGTACCTTTGGCAATTCACCGTACGCAAAGTCGCCTATGCGGCCTTCTGCGTCCTGTATTAAACAGTTGCCAGTGGTGTTCTGTTCAATGAGTTCCACTCCATATCGCCTCGCAAGTCCAATCATCTTGGTCTGGTTGACATCGTTGATCCAAGCAGCGCCATACTCGAGGATGCCGTTCTTGTCCGAGGTCGGTCGGGACCATGTTCGTCCACCTACGCGGTCTCGCGACTCCAGAACGACACAGGATAAGCCGCTGGCAATGACATCGCGCGCTGCGGCAAGACCGGCCAGGCCGGCGCCAATGACAAAAACGTCAACTGAGCTGGCTCCTAATTGGCCCTCTGCCAAAGAGCGAGGGACAGAGGGAGTCGGCTCTGGGCACGCGATGACAGCGTCAACCTCAAAGAGCCAGCCGGGAATGGCCAATTGGGCCACGGGGACCAGGGTAATGGCAGGGCGATGACCGCGCAGGAAGCGCTGGATATGGCGAGTGTGTTTCCTGTGTGCGGGGTCGTAGTCGACGATGTACAGACAAAGCTTGGCAATGTCATTGACGGTGGCGCCGGCAGCGACCATGATCTTGCGAAGGTTGAATAGTGCCAGCTGGATCTGGGATTCGTAGTCGGCGGGCACATGGTTGTCCTTTGTGGCGCCGACCTGGCCAGAGACGTGGATGAGTCTGGCGCCAGGGGCTGTGATGGTAGCTGGGGCATGATACACCTTGCTGGTGTTCTCCAGATCAAGTTGCTTGACAAGTGGACTCATGGCTGACTGTGCTGGAGGCAGAGCAAAGCGCTTTGCCACTTGTAGACGAGCAATGAGGTGATAGAGATCTAGTGATGGCCTAGAGTAGTATGATGATGCAAGTGGTGAACTATCTATTATACTAAGATGTTGTCTCCTTAGGTGATAGCCATGTTCTCTCCCTTAATAAACAACCTCATGTGATCACGGTCGCAAAATGCTGCTTATCGAGCCCCTGGGCCCGATCTCGGTATCTGACCTTGAACTTCACCAATGGCATCTCTTACGCCCGCAGACTGGATGCGTCGCTGCCCTATGCCATATCCACAATTATGCTTGCTGATCTAGTCCCCTCCCAAAAGACGAAGAAAGAGGAAGCGATGGTCGTGGGGGTGGTGGAGAGTTACTCAGTAATAATGGCAGTTTGATTGGTCTTAGTCTCAGGACCGAGTCAAGCGGGAAGCCTTCGACTAGATCTTGAATCCACATTATGCGACCCTCCACCCGTTCCTCAATGCCCGAATACTACGCGGATTGTTCTCCTCACCAGATTTGGATAGCGATAGCGATGTGTTGGCCGAGTCGGTTCGTACATAGGTAGCATATTGGTCACAAGGGTATATTCCCGCCTGGAGACGAAGCAATCATCACTAGCTACCCCTGTTTTAACCAAGAGTACCATTGAATCGCCACTGGCATCTTCTCTACCTCTCCCTGCTTCCATTTCAAGAGAGATAAGACTTAGATACCAGCAAACGATAAACATTGAAGTCATGTCGTCTTGGCGCACGCTCAAGGACCCTTCCCTGCTCATTGGAAAGAATCTGATAGGCGGAAAATGGGTTGAGGCGCTGTCTGGGCAGAGATTTGACGTGTTCGGTTCGTTTCCTTCTTTGATTTTGCCTCTTCACCATAAGAATCTCTCCTGACGAGAACTTAGATCCTGCGACAACCCAGCGCATCGGTTCTTGTCCAGAATCAGGCGAACAAGATGCTTTACAAGCGATAGATGCCGCAGCCAAGGCCATGCCAGCATGGAGAACCCGCACCGGTCGCGAGCGCTCTCGCATCCTGCGCCGGTGGTACGAGCTGGTTCTCGAAAACAAGGAAGATCTCGCCAAGCTGATAAGCTGGGAGAATGGCAAGGCCCAAGCAGACGCAATGGGCGAGGTCCAGTTCGCAGCGAGCTTTCTCGAATGGTTCGCTGAAGAGGCTGCGCGTGTGTACGGGGATGTGATCCCTCATAGCACGCCAGGCTACCGGGTTGTCGTATCAAAGGAGCCGGTAGGCGTGTGCGGCCTCATTACCCCGTAAGTCATTCCCAGGAAGTTTGCGAGTCCGGCTTGACGCGGTGTAATGGCTCGCATGGCTAATTTTTCCTGTATAGTTGGAACTTTCCAGGCGCCATGGTCACGAGAAAGCTCGGCCCGGCTTTGGCTGCCGGATGTGCTGTTGTCCTGAAGACAGCCGGAGAGACGCCATTTACTGCCACTGCCATGGCATATCTCGCCGAAAAGGCCGGTGTTCCAGCTGGTGTGATCAACATCGTGAACGCCCTTGAGAACACACCACAGATCGGCCAGGTTCTCTGTTCATCTCCTATTATCCGGAAGATCTCATTTACTGGATCTACGCGAGTAGGACGCTTGCTCATGAAACAATCCAGCGACACTGTGAAGAAGCTGAGTCTTGAACTGGGCGGAAATGCCCCATTCATTGTGTTTGATGACGCGGACGTCGACCTGGCTGTCAAGGGTGTTGTGGTTGCCAAGTTCAAGGTCACTGGACAGACTTGTGTCTGCGCCAACCGCATCTATGTGCAAAGCGGAGTGTACGACTATTTCATCAAGAAATTGACTGCCTCTGTGGCAGCGTTCAAGATTGGAAACGCTACAGACAGCACGGTCACACACGGACCCTTGATCAACGCAGGTGCGGCGCTAAGAGTCAGCGAGATGGTTGAAGATGCTGTCAAAAAGGGCGCCCAGGTAGTTGTTGGCGGAAAGAAGATACCCGAATTGGGTAAGTTATAGCATGTATTGAGAGCGTTGAATGGTTTCACTGACTTGACTAGGACCCGCCTTCTATGAGCCAACTATTTTGAGCGGAAATATCACCCAAGATATGCGAATTGTCCAGGAGGAGATATTTGGTCCCGTTGCCGCCATCCAGAAATTTGACACCGAAGACAGCGTAGTCGACGCCGCAAACGACTGTGACGTTGGCCTTGCGTCATATGTCTACACGGAGAACTTGGGCCGTGCCGCTCGTGTGTCTGAGCTTCTTCACTCGGGCATGGTCGCCGTAAACTCTGGCGTGATATCTGATGCAGCATCTCCGTAAGTCGCATACCGAACTCTGATACCCGCATATGCTAACCAAAGGAACTACACAGATTTGGAGGCATCAAGCAGTCAGGCATTGGTCGCGAGGGAAGCAAATATGGCCTGGATGATTATATGCAAACGAAAACTTTGGTTGTGGGCAATCTAAATATTGTCCATCGCGCATCGATTTAAAAACATACACAGGGTTGAATCTAAATAGCAAGAAAATAAAGAGAGCACATCATATACTTGCCTACGGACAATAATGTCCGTTCACTTCTGCTCTATTTTGGTAGTCTTTACTGGAACAATGGATTTCTGTGATCTTAACTACATGATACTACTCTGGACTGTGTGATATTGCACGAAATTGGTATGCTGGTGAGGGGAGCAGAGTATTTGATATTCCTTCTCTACTCATTTGATAAGCAATAATTTTTCTTTATGAAGTATTTCTTGAGAGAGAGTAAAGAAAGGGTTGGGCTTGACCATTTCATGCCGAGTTATCGTTTAGCGAGGATCTTCGTAATGTCTCATGGGACAAGATGATAGGAAGATGGAGCGTTCAGTAATCAGCAGCCCGAAGCGACATGAAGATCCACACTCGCTCATACAAGAACAGGTAGCCATGCTCTAACTATCCAAATCAGGATACAAAGGATCGAAAACGAAATCGCCCGAGATCAGAGATAACATATCTCCGCCATCGGACCCACAGACAAGGGAAACCAGGGCTTTGTTTTCTCCCCCCACTGCTTGAGGCGCTAGTAGAGATGACAGGACCGAGTCACTAAGCTAGCCATGTGTCTTCCCGAGTTCTTGGTAGTATCTAGCGATCCCAGACGTGAGAATGCAAAGGCAAGCTCTGGCGAGTCACGTCTGTTTCCTCTTGCCCCACTGACTCAACCTCACTCCTGTCGTGTAATCCAAGCCAAGTAGCTGTTTAGTGAGGCGGGCCAGAATCGTTTACTAGTAGAAATGGTTGATTTATTATAATTTGACTTAGTTCCAGGCATATGGAGCTAGAGTTGGAATCCGGTTGTGCGTATCCTCTAGACCGTGACATTCAACTTTGGTATCACTGATCGATATTTCTCCAAACATGGCAGATCCCCTTACATTAGATGAGGTCGAGGCTGCAGCCAAGAAGTCACTTCCCAGCAAAATATATGACTTTTATGCTTCAGGAGCAGATGGCCAACGTGCAGTTGCGAGAAACCGTCATGCATTTTCAAGGTACACAGATATTGGGGAAAAATACGAGAATTTTTGCAAGACTAACATGTCTATTGTAGACTCTTTATCAGGCCTCGAGTGCTGCAAGATGTATCTGACGTTGATACATCCGTAGAGCTCTTCGGTGTCCGCTCAGCTCTGCCGGTGGGAATTGCCCCAAGCGCCATGCAGAGGCTCGCTGGTGGCGATGGAGAAATCGATGTTGCAAAAGCCGCAGCCGGCATGGGACTAAATCTAACCCTTTCTTCGCAATCCACAAGTTCGCTGGAAGATGTGATGCAGGCAAAAATCGATACAGAGAAAGGCTTCCCTGGGCCTCCATTTTGGATGCAAATTTATCTGCACGACGACATTCAGAAGAGTGTGCCTTTGATTAGACGGGCGGAAGGCAAGTACTCTTTACCTCAATATCGTCTCGTCAAGGTTCATTACACCAGTATACTGACTATATTCAAATCCACAGCCGCTGGCTACCAAGCCCTGGTGCTCACAGTTGACACGCCCGTGCTGGGCAACCGTCTTGCTGAGCGCAAGGAAGCTGTCGTCCTACCAAAGGGCTTAAGCTTACCCAACTTAGAAAAGACAACTCCGGGCGCGAAGCCGCAGCCGAGCATTAACAGGCAGTTCATGAACGTGAGATCCGCTGCCGAAGCCAAGGCGCTTCGTGCGGCTTCTGGTTCCAAGATGCACAGCGCGAGCCTCACTTGGGAACGAACCATCACGGAGTTACGGAAAGTGACAAAGATGAAGATTATTCTGAAAGGCATCATGACCGCGGAGGATGCCGCGCTTTCTGTTCAATATGGCGCCGATGCTATTATCGTGTCAAACCACGGCGGTCGCCAGCTGGACGAAACGTGCTCGACCATAGAGGCTCTGCCTGAAGTATCTGTGGCCGTGAATGGTGCTTTGCCAGTCATCATAGACGGGGGAGTTAGGACCGGCGCGGATGTGTTCAAGTGTTTGGCCCTGGGTGCTGATTTTGTGCTCGTCGGGCGTCCTGCGCTCTGGGGACTTGCCTACGACGGTTGCCGGGGTGTCGAGACGGTCATGCACATTCTTGAGCGAGAGTTGAGTCGGACAATGGCCTTAGCAGGCGTGAGGAGTGTAAAGGAAATATCCAGGGGCATGTTGGGAGTCGCCAACCGAAACGGGTTCGGGGTATCAAAGTTATAGTATAGTTAAGAAGTGTATTATCAAATGTTCAAGGTGCCCTCAAGTCCTGGTTCTCATCGAGATACAGACAATTTGACAACAAAATTCTTCACTTTCAAATCGACGAACATGCTTTCTTCGTTTCAAGTACTGGAATCCACTTATCGTCCATACACTCTAGCCTTAAGATCAGCTATCATTATGATGCATTGTTGGTTATAACAAGATTTCATTTAAAACAACACGTCTATCTGGTATCCTAAATGCCCTTGCTGAGCTCCCCTCGAGACTGCCAAATTTCAAACTCCAGGTCAGGCTGGAACTCCGCGTACAAAGTTTCCTGGTGATAGTGTTAGTGATTGTAACTTGAACGTTATGAATTGGATATTTCCAGAGTGAATACTTACAGGGTCGGCATTCACATTAGCAGTGTACTGGGCCGCCTCCTTTCCGATAAGCTTCTTTTCCCACTTGGCACTGTCGACCAAAAGCTGAACCTCACACGTCCTCTCCATCGCAGTGAAAAGATATGCAGCTTCGTCAACTGTGCCACCGGCTGTTAAAAGACCGTGGTTCTGCAGAATCAGCACTCGTGCTTCCTTGCCCAGTGCGCTCACAATGTGCTCTCCCTCCTCCGCCTCTAACACCACGCCGCCAAAGGATTCATAAACAGCCTGGATTCCATGGAAAGTACAACTGTCCTGGTTAAGGAGATCTAACGGCTTTCCAAAAGCGGACCAGGCCTTTCCGTAGACAGAGTGCGTATGGCAAGCAGCGTTGATGTCGGGGCGAGCTTTATGGATGGCGCTATGGATCATGAAACCGGCAGCATTGACGGCAACCTTGTTTCCGCCGATTACTTGGCCCTCTTCATTCACATGAACCATGTCACTCGCCTTGAGCATGCCAAAGTGTACGCCGAGTCTAAGTTTTGTCTCCGTCAGCCATGATTTGCTTTAGATGCCATCCACGGCAACCTGTGGGATGAAGAACTAGTACTTACGGGTTGATCCAGAAGGTATTTGGGTCTACTGGGTCACGGACACTGATGTGGCCAGCAGTACCCTCAGTGAAGCCCTTGCGAGCAAAAACCCTGAACGCGCCGGCCATGTGCTCGAGCTGCCACTGCCTTTTCTTGTAGGGGTCGTCAATCTTGGGAATGCCTGCAAGTTCATACCCCCCTGTGGCGCAGGCAGCGAGACCCTGTGGCTTCGGGGGTTTCAAGTCCTCATTTTGCAGAGAGATCTTGGCGGGTGCCGTCTCGGTAATCGTTGTCGAAGACATGATGTATGTGCTCAGGGCTCAGTTGTTGTTTGCTTGATTGTGTCAAGGACCACCGATAAACCCATAAGCCAACTCAACGGGATGTGCTCGTTTAGTTTTCGATCAGAGATAAGGCCTGAGAAGAATAAAGATGGTTTGAATACCATGAGCAATATCTTGGCAGACGTGACTGTCCCTGGGCTCTGTCAAGCCCACCCAAGGATCAAAGATGCCTCGTCACTCCACAGTCTACATGGGCCACACAAGCTTGAGTGAAAGGCATGGATGTTATCGTGTATGCATAAGACGCTAGCTTGTCCGAGGATAATATTATCCACCATACCACAGAGATAGCGACGAGCGGGGCGTGGAACGACTCGAGGGAAAACCCAGGCGACACGCTAACTCCACCAGCATCCATTTTGACAATCCAAGCGATGGCGGGGATGGTGATAAGGGGGTGAGGGGGCCAGTCGATCAGGGTATCCCCGACAAACTGCCCTCTTCTTATCACGATGCCCCGGTTTTCTCGCTGGGTGTATCCTCCCCGCCTCGTGGGTGTTAGAAAGATGTCTGGCCCCATCGGTCGCTCATGGTTTCCTCCATCTTGTCCACCCTTTTACACCGCACCGCCTGAGCAGCTGCCTCTGCATTCCACGTTCAGCCAGCGGCCAGTTCACCCCATCTGAGAGACTGATCCTGCCTGGCATCGACGGCAAGCAAGAGGTAGCGATAAGAGATGAATGATGAGATCGCCTCCGACTTCTGGGCCCCGAAAGCACAGGAAGACATTCACGGGATGCTGGACATGCCGCTCTCGGAAGGTCAAGTGCGATGAGGCGAGGCCAACGTGCCTCCAATGCCGATCAAAGAGTCTGTTCTGCCAAGGGTATGGAGTTCGGCTACAGTGGGTTCATTCGTCTGAAGGAGGCATCGACCATGATGTCCCTCGCATGAAGATTCAACGGAGCCAGGTCACAACTAGTACGTGTAGAATGATAACCCAGGCTGAAGCTAAGTCCCCGTTGGCTAAGATAACGCCTTGCAGAGCATAATTGCCAGTCTTTCGAATCGGCCGAGATAGATGACATCCTTGATTCCATCGACGCCTACGAGCCGCTGGAGCCTTCTGTTCCTGGCTCTGGCGACCACCTCTTTATCCACAACTTCGGAGTGTTGAATCCCTGTCCCCTCTCTCAAGTGGAGAGCTTACCTGCAGCTGTCATTCCTGACGAGCACGATTCGTCCATGGCCTCAGATGAAGGTTCGCCATTTGAGAGTATTACCGACGACCACCTGAATGCTAAGCAACTTCACTCATCACATCTCGATGGAGCAACTCCCCCTTTATTCTTGAGCGAGGACGACTCCCACGCGTCACAAGCAGACTTCGACTCTAGTATTTTGTTTGATGCCATTTCACCATCATTCTTCGACGCTCCCAATTTCGCCGTGGGAGAAGTTAACGACCATGACTCTGAGCCGTTGCAAGACCCAGGACTTGTGCCTCTACAGCTCTATGAATGGGCCTCGATAGGCAGTGCTTTGATCCGTAACCCATGCTCATCATCTCTACCGGAGCAGGAACAGTTCCTCATGTACCACTACACCCACCGAGCCGTGAATCTTTTTTGCGTGATTGATAATCGGAAAAGCCCCTGGAAAACAATTCATCTGCCTCGGGCGATGCAGAGCATTGGACAATTAAGTATCTCAGGGTCGAGCTCATCCATCAGAAACGCCCTACGAAATGCACTCCTCTCCATAAGCGCCTTCTACCTCTCCAACGAGGGGAAATCGCGTTTCTGTCCCGATGATGCTGCGAAGTGGGCGCGGCAAGCAACGATCCTCCGAGGCAGGGCTATTGAACTTCTCAAAGATGCAGTGAACACCGACTTCAACACTAAATGCATACCCAAATACAAAGAGTTCTTGGCAACCATGCTTTCAATGATTACGATTAATGTAGGGAAGCCATGCTCTGTATCATACCGGAATCCGCCAAGCTAACTTGACGACAACGCACAGGTTATGTCGGGAGACACAAGTACATGCGGTGTTCACCTGGACGGTGCTTTTCGCTTCATGACACAGGCAAAGACCTGGAAGACCAAGTTTTCTCCCAAGGCGCTTGCACTCCACCGCATCTACTTTTATCTGCAGGCCATATACGAAAGCACCGCTCTTCATTATCATGAAATCGGGTCTTCTTCCTACCAGTCCCTCGATGCAGGTGCGCAACGGCCACTGCGGTTGACATTACGGGACGGCATCGACCCAGCCGCCACAACTCTCTCCCAGTCTGCTCGGTTATCGATCGAGCCTACCTTACAGATGAGCACGTACGAGTGTATCTACGGGGTCCCCCAGAACCTCTTGGTTCTCTTCTTCGAGAGCACGCGGCTGATCCGACGAGTCTTCTCCTTTCAGAAAAAGGAGGGTAAAGGAAACCTGTCTGCTGAGCTTGTGAGCTACTGCGACGATTTAGAACAGTCAATAATGGACTGGCCCATTGACACTGAACTACAACGTTGCCGACTGGATACTTCAGGCCCGAGCTACGACATTATCCGGCACACAACATGCGCTTTCCACAATGCCCTCATCATCTACTTTGCACAGCATATCCGACGCCTCAGCTATAGATACCTACACCAGTATGTGCAAACCGTGCTCGAGAACATTGAGGCGATAGAGAAGATCAAGGCGGAATCACGCATCTTGGCGGCACCGATATACTGGCCCGCGTTCATCGCTGCGAGCGAGGCTTTCAACGAGACCTTGCAGAACCGCTTCAAGACTTGGTATGATCAGGTCGAAGTGTACGGGATTGAGGCAAGGAGATCAGGGATACAGGTGCTCTTGGAGGTGTGGAAGCGCGGCCCTACGACTGGAGCCGATATGACGAGCCGGTGGCGGATGGTTGTGGAGGAGACTGGGGCTCACTTGATGTTAAGTTGAAGCATGAGATCAAATACAGTAAAGCTAAATATTGTGCGATGTGATTATGTGAAGTGAACCTATCGATGTTGGTGATACTTCCACCGCAGTGATTTTGTCTCCAACCCAAAAGTGCTCGCGATTCGCATATAATGTTTTTATCCTCTATATCCCAATGTTCAAATGGCACTTTCGGGAGTAGACAGCACGGACTGAGATCCGTACTTGACTCAGTGCTCATGATATATGACTGTTTACAAACAAAAAGTGTATTGACGCTTGCATATAAGCAAAATTCCATAAATTATGTATCTAATTTCTATACTGATCGACCACAGCATCTCATAGGCAAGATTCCACTCCAAGAATTTCAACTACTCATAATAATCAGGGCCGTATTAAACAACCGTGGCTGGGCATCAGTCCATCACCAACAATGACTATCTTAATGTCCAAGACCCTTGGCTCTGGCCCGGTCAACCTCCCGCCAGTACTTGGCCGCAGTCTTCTCTCGCATGGAGCGTCCGAACCGGGTCATGACGAAGATCGAGGCGTTCCACACCAGAGAAATTCCCGCCACGACGCAGTACACAACGAGGTAGCCGCTGGCATTCAACCAAGGTGTGATGCCGAAGTTGATGGCAAAGGACAGGGTGTTTCGAATGATGACGCAGGTCGTGACCATCTGGCCTGCCAGCTCGGGATAGCTGCCAATGGCGTAGTTGAGCGCGCCGGCAACGGACAGGGACGAGTTGATGGCCAGGGTGAACTGGGTAAAGGCTAGAGCGAACCAGTGGAGGTGATAGGTGATGGCGAGTCCGTAAAGGATCATGCTGGCAGGGACGAGAATGCAGCTGAGAGTAAAGAGGTAGAGGGTGTGCTCTGGTTCCGAGATTCCACCGTTGCGGCGAGCCAGTTTGATGGTAAGCATGCTGCCAATCTTGCCGCAGTAGAGACCTCTGTTAGCAGCGAGTGTTAGTTATCGATCCGTAAAAATATTCATGTAGCAGATGGGGCAAACTAACCCAATGATGGTACCTAGGATGCCACCGGCATAACCACCAGCGACACCTGCCGTAGTGAAGCCATACTCAGTTGTATAGATGGTACCGATAGTAGCGTTTTGCATGCCCGTCCAGACAAGGTTATTCGCTCCATACATGAGACTGGATGTGAGGTTAGCAAAAGCCTTGATAGCACAAGAAAAAAGCAATGGAAACTTACCCAGCGTAGACCACAGAGGGATATGTGAAGCCCTTGAAAGGAGCAATGATAATATCAAGGAAACGATTGGGTCGCTTCTTGTCCTTAATTCCAAGCTTCTGCAGGTATGTCTTCTTAGCCCACTGGATTTCACCTCGCTCCGTATCGGCAACCGAAGTCGTGACCGTCTTCTCCTTCGACTCGGCGCCCTTGTCCGTAGATGAAGCATCGGCAGCCTGGACGTTGGTAGCAGCTCTCGGGTGAGCGTCGTGCTTGCGGTCATAGTTGGTCTCCTCCATGAGGAAGAAGCAGTAGACGAACGCGATGGCGTTGAAGATGGCGCACCACCAGAGAGTCCATTTCCATCCCATGCCGACGTTGATGAAGCCGGAAAGCATGGGCGCCAGCTTGCCGCAGAGAGCCAGAGACCAGCCATACCAGGCAAGATACTGAGGGCGCTGGTGAGCGAACCAGATGTCGGTGATGGAGATTTCCGCAAGAGACTCGACGGGGGCGCCGAAGAATCCCAGCAGGATTCGGTTGGCGAGGTACGGGCCTGAGGTTGTGCACAGGGGAGCACAAGCCAGAACGATGACATTGGCGACCAGCGAGAATAAGTATGTAGGTCGCTTTCCGTACTGAAGCGCAACAGCTTGCCAAAGTACGCAGCCCCAGCCATAGAAGAGAAACTGAAGCATGTTAGGGTAATGTTCACCTCTCCCGTTCTTTGCGGAACTTTTCAACTCACCATGATGCCAGTTCCATTATTAATATCGGTCAAACTGAGTGAGGTGTTGAGACGGATAGGTGTTACGACTGAGTACACGGCGCTGGACGGGATCGCGATCATGATGGTATACATGAGCACACAGCTGGTT